CACGCACGAAATTCTGCGCCCCCAATCATTATGAAAAATGCCCCGGAATTCCACTCCACGTAGCTGCCCACATGAACATGCCTAAGGGCCTGACATGTGAGGTAATGAACTCGCCATGAACGAGATACACTTGAGAAGTTGTGAAGACCCGAACAAGTTGCATCCCCATTCATTGCCAACATGGCGTGGAAATTGCAGGAAACCTGTGCTCCAAGATGCATGGTGAAAGCCCGAAGCTGCCTGGATCTTAGTTCGCGAAGACAGGCGAGCGTGTCGTGGCACGCCAAGGCCTCTCGCAACTTCTCTCATGGCCTTTATGACGAAATTGTACTACCGGGTGGGCGATGCCGAAACACGCCGAGGAGACTCCAAGCTCACGCGCCACTACAAAGTCGTGTAGAATTGGGCAACAAAAACATGAAAGGTTCAGGCGACTTTGCGAGCACTGTTCTTTCCAAACCTGAGTTCAGCCCGCTGGTCTGTGAACAAACCCTCATCTGATTCAGGCCAGTAATAAAATGACATCTGCAGGCCATTGTGTCTAGCAATCCCTTGACAAAAGCCGCGAAGGCCACCCGCTGTACCTCCACTAGCTCGTGGAGCAAGAAGCACTCCGCTGGATCTTGGTCAGGCGCAGGGTGTTTCAATTTTTCCCTGACAGCTATGGTTCAGGACTCAAGGCCTACAGGGTTTCGGCCGGAAGCCATGACAGAATCGCGTTTCAGTTGGTTGGTCATTCTGCGTATGCATCCCAGTCGCTCGATGAACTCACATGGCAATTTGTACCTGGTATATTTCCGATCATAATACACGGCATCGCACCTTTCTTAGTAAAGGGCTTTGCACACCTCGTCGCGATCGCAGCTTGAAGTCTGAGCGACGACATGCTGAGCCCCTCCCCTTTTTCCAGAGGCGGTGTGTCATTGCCTCCTTTGACGAATCCAGATAGCAAGACTGCGAAACAGCAACAGGATGGGATCCGATGCACTATCGAGGTCTCTTAGCTCTCGAACATCGCCATGTGATATTCTTGGCTTCCCGTGGCGACACGAGGCATCACGTTTGCAGCAGTGCTCCCACTAGCTGACTAGCAGTCGAGCTAGTAAAGTTGCCATATCCCATGTCCATGTTCCCCTGAAGCGATTCCTTCCTCACCTGCAAGAAGATAAGCTTGCAAGCTCTTTCTCATGACCCGACTGGCTAATCTATCAAGGCATCCCACTTGCCAGGTGAACTACGGGACCCGACATGACCTCAAACTCATGCATTTCTGCGATTATGTTCGTTTGCGTTCTTCGGCATCGGATCGAGCGGATATGTCTGGCTGCACCAAAGTACTCTGGGTCTGGATCGCGCAGTCCATTTTTCTCGTCCCTCGTCCACAACCTTCACACCTTACTGCACTAGCCGCCTCAAATTGCCGGCAGGGAGCAACAGAAGAAGCCCGCTGCTCAACATAGGGCCAGTCTGTCTCTGGTTGGGCGCTAATCGCGGAACCTGCAGGCAGGATAGCCGTGTCTCTAAGAAGTGAAGGCCGAGTTCTGTGGCACAGGCTTCGATGGCTGATGGTTGTGGAAAACCATAATGAAATCCTGACTGGGCCCGCAGTGAAGAAGTTTTATGGAAACATCCTGAAACTTTGCGCGCTTATTTTTGGTCTTTGCTGGCCCCTACATGTACCGATGGGCACACAGCTGAGAAAGTAGCAAATGCCTGGTACTGGAGCTGCTTTCGACATGTTTTTCATGGCCGCAATGCAGGTGTCGATGAGGGTCTATCTTAGTCAAAGTACAAGCGGCAAGCAGTCAAGCACGTTTCGAGAGGAAAGTCTTAAACATCTTTAAATCGACCGCCCCACCGCCGCCCAACCAAACCATTACATAAACAACCCGACCAGGCAAGCATCAAAGCAGCAGCTGTCCAAGCCAAACTTGCTTTAAAGTAGCTCCCCCGCAATGCGCCACATACAGCTGATTTTCGAGACAGTTCGTGGCAGTTGTTGCAAACACCCACGTCTCCTGCTTCGAAAGTTTTGCTTCAAGCGCATGACCGCAGGTTCATTGCGTGGTAGCTTTCTGCAAAATATTGTATGTCCTTCCCCAATAAGTTGCTATGCAAGCCACCCTGCTTCGTTCGTGGCAAAGTTTGGCTTTAAAGCAACTCCCTGCACACGGCTTCTTTCGAGACCGTAAGTTACATTCTGTGGAAGTTCTTTTTGCAAACCAATGCGTTCCCTCGAAAGGCTCTGCGTCAAAGCAGCTCCCTAATTCCTGAAAACAGACATGTTTAGTCAAGTTCCTTTGCAAACCACCAAATTTGTTGCTTTTGCAAACCAACGCATTCCATTGCTCGATAGGTTCTTGCGCTAAAGCAACTCCTCTAACGCATTCGTTAGTGACGATTCGTTACATGGTAGGTGCTCTGCCAAACCATCGTGCTTCCTTCTTTGGCACATCTTGTTTCAATGCAACTCCCCGCGCACAGCTTCTATTCGTGACTGCTTCGTTGTATCGTGGCCTTTTGCTATTCGAACTGTTTTGCTGTAAAGCAGACTCCTGTCCCCGGATCTCTGCACTGTTTCATGGCGTGCTAGTTTTCAAACAGCCGCGTGCGTCTTCATTGAATGACCATGTCGTTGCGTAGTAGTGATCTTGAAAACCAACACATTTCGGATGCCTGCTTGGTCTCAGAACTTCTTAGTGTGTCGGATCTGGGTCCATTACAGCTCAAAAAGCCAAAGTCGAGATCCTCCCAAAGTCTCTGGCAGTCGGAACCCAGTCTCTAAACTCCACTCGATGCTGTGTTGGGCCTCAAGGCTTCCCAACCCTGACAGGTGCAGAGCCTTGGACGAACAAACCCAGACAACTTCGAGGCCTTGGGCAGTGGAATTGTGGTAGGCGACTTTGCGGAGAGTGCGAGCGCCATGCTTTGGGCCTAGGTGTTGGTCAGGGGTGGTCAGGGTCTCAGGCCGAAGTTTCTGGAGATTTCTGTTTTCAGGTTTTAGGGTTTAGGGGTTTAATCTACAGGAATTTACAGTAGGTTCGGAAACACAGAGTGAAGTTGAACAGGTGCTCGCGAAACATGGACCAGATCGCATACAAGTACACTCACACCCTCCAGCCGAACATGGCTCTTGCCCTCAACCCAAACCCCTGAAGCAGCACTGGTGACAAAGCTGAAATCTTTGCATTCTACACCTGCACCTTCTTTCTCCACAAGTCCTTGAAATCTGGAACTGTGTCGACTCTTTAAGAATCTGGTAGCTCCTCGGCGCTGACGCGGAGTTCTACGAAGCTGCTACTGACCCCACAGGGCTCTGAGCCACAGCAAGGGTCCTGTGATTTCGCAAGTTTTTCAAGGCACAGTGTCACAGGGGTGGGGCGTATAGTGTATAGTGTACCCAATGCAGCACCCCATGCAACCCCTTCCTCTCTTACACGACGCAAGCTGTTCAAGCCTGGAGTTAAAATAAGATTGGCGCTTCGGTCAACCCTTCCCAATGATGCTACAGGAAATATGTTAGAACAAGGTAACGTCTGGGGAAACCAGGAACAAGACTAGCAGCTGGCATGCGGTCTGCTAGACTCATGCAGACCATGCAGACTCATGCAGACTCTTTTCGTCATGTCCCAACAGCCCTGAAAACGATGTGCTCGCGCCTCCAGCACCTGTACGGCTCGAAAGATGGTAGGAAGAACGTCACCTCGTGGCAGCTCTACAAACCGCTCTGCCCTGACCTCGAAGGAGGTGCCACCCCCCCCCCCCCCCCCATAGTGTTGAAATCCCAACATCCAAGCGCCCAAGCCTGCGCAGTTCAACCTAAACTTAAGCGCTGGAACACCTTGGACAGAGCTAGCGTGCCAGGGCCAGAGGGTGCAATGAGAAGACAAACTACAAGCTGAACACCTAAAGACACTGTTGGTCAGGGTGCAAGGTTCCGGCTCGGGTGTCTGCTTGGGGGCAGAGGAGGCCCAAACTCTGTCTGGGGACTGCGCCAGTCGACGCAGCATGGTGTTGTTGTGCATTCCTGTTGAGAAGCTCAATGGCTGGTCTTTAAAAAAATAAGCTGAAAATCCTGAGCACAGCAATGTCCTCAACATCTTGTGCTCAGGCCGATTACTGATGAGCATTGTCGTTGGAATCTACACTGGAGTACGATGGATGCATCTTGCAGGACTGGTTGGTCCAGCTTCTGTTCTCACACTCCTTCAAATATAGGGAAGTTCCGGGAAGACGCAATCAAGGAAACACGTTCCACATCTGCACATCCAAAAGAAAGACTCGTGACCCAAGATGCCTTAGGCCCTCCAAGGCCCCCAGTCGCTGGAGCTCCAGGCCTGGGCCACAAAAACAAACTCGTAGACTTAAATAACCCTCTGAGCAAGGCCGTTGAAGGTTCATGCTATCCCGAAGGCCATGGCTGCCAGTGACTATGCCGTGCACAAACAATCAGAACGTTACAGCTATGTCGAGCTCCATGAACTACGGCTTGGCGACCCGAAGGCTGAAGAAGGTTGAAAAGCTCTCACAGCCATCCCTCTACCAGCTGTCGCAATCTGGTTACTAAGGACATTGAAGAAAGACACACCCACCATGTCCTGCTTTTTCGTCGAGCACATAGCTTGCAGAAGCCCGGGTCCAGCGTGGCGCACAGACGCAGCTGTTACCATTCTACAGCAGGAAGCAGCCCGAGTAGAAGGTAAAAGCAACAGCGATAGCTCTACACCTTCTAAGCCTTCGTCTTAGAAACCCGAAATTTTGGGAAGCTACAGTATGTTTTTGGTGATGGCGCCGCTAGGAAACCGTTTCCTACAAGCGCCGCTAGCATGTTTTAGGCTCTGGCGCCGAGGGCCTCCAAGCATTCGACACGGTGAAGCCACACGATGCCCTAGAATACACACACAGTCTTCGTAGACGAGCACCAGCGGCAGAAACTCATCCACAGTCTTTGTAGACGAGCAAAAACGCCAGAAAACTCGTCCAGAGGAGCTTAGGGCCCCTCAAGCCACCGGAGTGGTGGAAGGCTTCCACCTAGCAGCCAGTACAGCAGAGCGAACCTCAAGGCAGTGACTTACGACCGCCGCATCAGTAGAAAGCCCCACTGGCCAAGCTAAACGTCCTTGCAGTGAATCACTCGGTTTGCGCGGTCTGCTGCTCACAAAAGCAGGGCATGACCAAAGGAGATGCTCAGTCGTGGGAACCTCACGACCGCAAAGCTCACACGGGGTCTCATCTCTCTGAATCGTTGCGGGGCTGGCAAATGCACCGGAGAGAAATCCAAAAGCAGCATAGCTGGATTGAGCCACCTCTCTCGCAAGCTTACATCTGCGTTCACTGTACTGCTGATCGGCGCAAGCCGTTGCATCATTTCTGCTGGAGGAGTGCCAAGCCTCCCACTCAGAACGCCTCCATGCTTCACGCAACAGATGTGCAAGAAGGCCCTTATCTGTTGCAAAATTCCTTCCGTTGCGATCAAGGGAAAAGTAACGATTCATCTGCGCGTGCTTCCAGCACCAAGGAGCTGTAATCTCCCAACCAGTTTGTTTGAGCGATTGAGCAATTGTTGCTGACCACCCCTGCTGCGCATCCCACGTGCAGGGTAGACCTTCAGGGAACTTTAGAGCGCATCTGCGGGCAGCCATAACATTCATCTCCAAAATGCGAAAAGGTAAGTCCGTGCGATGGCCTCTCAAGATGTTGCGCAGATGCACACATGCACGCTTCGGCTCGTTAAGGGCCTTGCGCACAGTAGCACCAAACTGTCGGAACTGAGCTTTGGTTGGCAGTTTGAAGAACCAGCCCCATGCTGCCTTCGCGAAGGGAGCAGCAGCCATGATCATCACCTTGCGCTTGTAAGGCACCGGCAGGCAGGAAGCTCTGCGAACAAGCCTTTGCGACTTGCAGAGGCGCTCTTCCTCTTTTGGCGTGTTCTTACGCCGCGCTGTGCCTTTGAAGGCAGTGCCTAGAAGACAAGGATAGCAGCTGACTTGCTGTTCCGGAACTCCGTTTCTTAACAGAGCTTGCTTGCAACTCTGGTCAGCAGCGAAAAACTGCGTCTTGCTGTAGTTCTCACGCAAACCCAATTTGTCTGACCACGAATGCCACTTGCGCATGACTTCCACTGTCTCCGCAGCCGTTGGTGTAGCCCAGCTGCGATCATCGACGAAGCTGCGAGCAGTCATCTGAGGATGTTGGTTGGAAATCTGCTGCATGGGCACCTTGAGCGTAGCCACAAGACCAGCCAGTGACCAAGGGTCGCCTTGCGGCAAGGACCTTGACACATCGATCGAAGTCTGATGCACCAGGCCTTCAAAGAAAAGCCAACGTTGCTGTTGGCCCCACGTTGTAGAGAGCAAAGACGCGATGCCTTCCGGGAGCCCCAATCTCTTCATGATGCCCACCGCCAGATGTGGATCGCAGTAGTCATAGGCGAGACTGTAGTCCAAAGTGGCCACGAACTGCTTTTCAGCGGCAGCGGCGGCCAACGGAGCTAAGGCCTCGAAGACCTCGCCTTTAGCCTTGCCGCCGATGGCCTCTTCCGGCCACCACGTAGACATCCACTCTTGAGCAGGCTGGGACCTCAATCTACTGCTTGCCCAAACTCTGTAGAAAGAGCTGGAGATAGATATGGGCCTCAAATCTGCGACTTCGCAAACACCGTCGGCTCTGACGATCTTGGAAGGTTTAGGGATATGGCATTGCTTGAATTGCCTCCAGCCGCTTGGACTAAGGCCGACTGCTTCGATCCATTGCGTGAAGTCACAGAAAACATCCCATTGCTCCAAAGGAATGGAAGCGACCTCTGACCCCGACCAACCGTCGATGCCGCTGGCCTTACCGCGAAGTTTGCTGGCCGAAGCAGCACACTCGGCGGTGCTCAACTTGGGCCACTCATCAAGATTCCAGCGTTGGTACCCAGGTTGATGCTGGAGATGAAGCCAAACCTCATGGGAATCAACAGGAGTACGGTCCCATACTTGCTGCCAGTGAGCCTTGATAACATCAAGGGCATCCGAAACCAATGTTACCGGCTCGCTGATTTGAAGCTTTTCAGCAATGAGTCCTTTGAAAACTTGCGGGGCGCCACGCTTGAGCCATTTGTAGCAGAGGGAGTTGCTGTTCTGCAAAGACTGCCTCCAAGCATGAAGCCTGTGCTGCTTCTCCTTCTGTCTCTCCTTGGCCAGATCGACAGTAATTTGCTTCAGCCTCTGCTGCCAGGTGCCATCGGGACAAAGAGGATTTCGCAGAACTTTTTGCTGCAGATTTTGAGCTTCCTGAGTATGCATCTTCTGGCGCTGCTCAAGACCAACCAACTCGCGAAGCTTGGCCTCCAAGTTCCGAAGTTTGCGCAATCGAAAGGGTGCTGTAGAACTGTCCAGCTTGCCGAAGAGCGGGTAGTTGGAGACAAGCTTGGGCCGGTTCTTGCGCTTCCTAGGGCCAAGCCTTTCAAAAGCACAGAGAAGCACTGCAGCGCGAAGCATATTTTCGTAGTACAAGTTGATTTTGTCCCAAACTCGATCAACATCTTGTTGCGAAACGTTCTGTGCGCGCTCAGGGATGGTCGGCTTGGTACTGCTCTGAGCCCACTCATCACAAGCTTGCTTCCAGACTTTCCACGGCATAGAAGCCTCAAAGGAAAGGCCATCTGTGCTGCGTAGCCGTAGTGTCTTGTACTCTTGTTTTGCTTGTACAAGGACCTCAAACTGCAAAGCCTTGTGGTCCGAGAAGGAACCGTCGTAGAAGTCAAGTCGAGAAACGTCACCCTGCGAGTTGGAGAGGATATAGTCCAGCGTCCGTGTACCTCCCCATCTCGTCGGCAACATCTTCTGATTTTCGTCACAAACTGCAAGAGCCTCGAGGCCGTCGTCGACGAAGCTTTCGTAGTAGAAATTTTCTTCTGGTTCATCATTCCAGTCGCCTGTTCGTAGCCAGTGACAACCTCGCGGAAGAAGGACTTGCACCTCTTGCAAGTGCTCCACAAGAGGAAGGCGCGGTTCATCAGGAGGTTGATAGATGCAAGAGAACGCCGCGCCCTCGATCATGACGGTGACGGACTGATACTCCCGCACAGCAGAACTGGCCACGAGCCTGGCTCTAAGGTTTTTCTTTGCGAACATGATGGCACCGCCCCAGGCTTGTTTGCTTCTTTCTTGCGACTCGGCCTCGAAAGAGCGATAACCGCGAGAAGAAGCGGAGCGAACGAGAGCGTGTAGCTCAGATTGCTTCAAGCCATATTCCTGGAGCATGATGACATCATATCCTTGCGCAGCGGCATCTTTGAAAGCATCCCACGTGCTGACACCGCGACCGGTGTTTGTAGAAAAACACCAAACACTGCTGGAAGTACAACTTGCTGATGGACCAGGTTGGCGCTCGACGTCACCGCACTCCGTCAGATCAGCCTGCCACTCTGTTTTCTGGCGAGCCCATCTCTGCGAACTGTCCGTAACATCGTGAAAACCAAAAAGTCCATCGAAAAACTTCACGCTCTGTCCCATGGCCTTGACGAAGTTTCGAGCATGCTTGGGTTCGTTCTTCTTGAGGTTTCGCCACCAGGTCCTGCGACGAGCGAAGGCAAAGCCGTTGGACTTCATTTCATCCAGTCTCTGCTTGCAAGTTTTCTGCGCCTCCTTGGTGCCGTACTTGCCAACCACGCTGTAACACTTGGTGCAGTAAAACTTGGCGCCACGCATTCCCTGAAGGATTCTTTCCTCCGGCATAACTTTGACGAGGTTGTGCGTCTTGAACTGCTTGTTTCTCTTGTCGGCATGCGTTTTTGCCGCAGAGGAAGCTACGTGCCCTCCCTTCGGCTTGCCCTTCATGCCAAGATGAGCAAGCTTGCTCCTTGTCCAGCCCTTGTGCTTGTCGTCGATGTGGTACTGTATAGCTCTGCCTTTATCCTGGCTAGGAAGACGAGGGAGAGCAGCATCACAAAGTGGGCACTCCCACTCCGCATCGGTTTGGTCAAGGTCGTAGTGCACCATCGGCGTGACCGGTGGGGCTTTGGTGAAAGCCTCCTTGCTGAGCGTAGGGTGGCGGGTTTCAGTGGTAGTGCTTGCTGCTCACGACGCTGCCGTACTTGCCCTCGAAGGTAACACCGCACCCAGGAACCGGGCATTTCCAGTTGTGAGGTCGCGCAGCAATGACTTTGCAATACTTGATCCTGTCCTTTTTGCGTTGCTCCTTTTCTTTCTTGGTCTTAGCTGGCGGCTTGCGCGGGCGCTTCTGTTTGAGTGGCTGCTGAAGCTTTGCACTGCTGCTGCTGCTCTTGTGCTTGCTTTGCACGTCGTCTTGAAGTTTTCTCTTGCTGCCACTTTGGTGGTCGTCCGTAGCAGGTGTAGCCAAACCCCACCGATTGATCTTGGATCTCGTAGGCGTAGTCGCAGGAGTTCTTGTTCCCCATCTTGGCGGTGAAGGGGTCCTGCGCGCACCAGTGTTTGGAGTGGCCGGCCCCCAGCGTGACGCAGAAGAGGAAGAGGGTTTCCTCGGAGTAGTACTTGGTGCGCAAGCGCCCCAACGACCCCCTTCCACACTTCTAGGCGTAGTCGCAGAGCGTAGAGACTTTGCAGGCGTGTTCGTCTCACCAGCTCCCCCAACTTGAGGAAATAAGGAGTTCGTTTCTCGGAGCCACATCCGAGGGATTTCGCAATCATGTTGTGGGGGGAGAAGACAAACGTAGTGGTTGTTGCGAAGCACAAGAGCAACGCCAGTGTAGTTGGCCTTGCTGACGGCGAAGTCGTCCTGGAATCGTGGTGCCACCACGCCACGATGCCAGACTCGTTGAGTTCGGGGTCGCCCTTGTCGTTGTTGCTCGTCTTTGGGTAGCTTGTAGAAGTCGCTATCAACTTTTTTGCTGGTGGCACAATTGGAACACCTGTTCGCTCCGCAACTGCTTTGATGATGAGCTGGTTGGCCCAGCAGCCCTTGTTTGCGGAAAGTTTGAGGAAATCATCAAAGTCTTTCGGAGCCGGTTGGTTGACCTCCTGGTACAAGGTGGCCATGTCTTCCTGCTGGTAGAAGCTCTTGAAGCGATTGTAGTGCTTAGGGTCTTTCATGTGCGTGACGGCTGCAACTCGAAGCTTGCATGCTTCTCTCTCTGCACTCTTTGCGTCGGTGGGGAGCTTGCGAGCATTAGCGTCGCTGTGAACGAAGGCTTTGAAAAAGCAATCTCCATCTCCTCCTGCATCAACCTCTCTCCATCCAAGCTGCCTAGCTTCGTCAATGGTGGAAGGTTGCTGCGGAAGCGGCTTGCTGACGTCGCCGTTGCTTTCGTGCTCGCTGTTCTCAGGCTCTTTGCGCTTGTTCTCCTGGGGAGGATCCAACAGCGTAGGGGCCACCGATGCCTGCGAAACCTCAGTCATCCCACTGTTGTCACCAGTTTTGCCGCCATCGTCGTTGCCACTGCGAGCCTTCTTGCCCGGCGGTTGCTTCTCCTCTTCGGTGTCGGCGCTTGGGGAGTTGTACGGGCCCCATTGTCTGCGAGGAGGTCGTAACGGTTCATACCATAGTTGTGGTCGTCGAGGTGCGTTTGTCGTCGTGACCACTGTCCTCGTAGATTTCCATGTCATCTGTTCCAGGCGGAATAGCTTGCAAAAACCAAATCGCGGTGGACCCAGGTTTTCTGCCGCCATTGCGCTTGTTGAGCTTAACGTCTTTCCAACCCTGTTTTTCAAGGAAGTCGTTGAGGTCGACGTCGTCCCAAAGACTTGGAGCTCCTTGAAGTCGCCAGTGTTGCTTGTTAACCTTGTTAGTTTCGTCCTTGCTGTCAGCATCGATGCCCAAATCATTGCTGCCACCAGTCCTGTAGCGTACGGGGCCAGATCTTTCACTGACCCGTCTGAAGTAGTCTTCGTCCTCCTCATTGGACTGGCGCGTAATCCAATGCACTGGAGTTTGCTTGTAAGAGGCGTCTCCTGCACGAGTACGAGTACAAAAGACTCCCCTCTGACCGCTTCTGGCTTGAAGAAGGTCTGCTACTTTGGGAGGAAGGAGAAGATGACCAACGATCTCGCACCCCTTCTTTCCCCACTGACGCTTCCACGTTCCGTGAGTCAGCTGTCCTAAAGACAGCCCAGTAACCTCCCATCTCTTGATCACATCAATGATATTTGCTGGTGTGTCGGTCTTCCCGTTGTCGCTGAAAAACTTGCGGTAGCACTCTGGAGCCGTCACTCGAAGAAAAATCTTGCTATCACCACTGACACCATCGTTGGCACCGCTGATGGTGACCTTCTTTGGGGGCTTTGGCATCGGTCCGCAAGTAGTTGACACCTGCTCGCACGTTACTTGCACGGGCCTGAACTGTTCAGTGGACGATGAACGCGCACGGATCCAGGCGGAAGTCTGCTTGTCATTGTTTGCCTGCTTGTATCCTTGCCAAAGCATAGTAATTGCAAGGGACGTTCCGAAAGCTGTCGCGTAGTCGACGATTTTATCGTACTGCTCCCACGTGACCTCAACGATGTTGCCTTTGGGCGAAGCATTCTCCTCAATGGCCTGGAGTGTCTCGTCAAAGGTCATGAAGGTGGGCGTCGTGGTCCATTCGCTTGTGATCACCTGCGTGATGTGCCGCACGGGTTGCTCATTGGGTTGAACTGTACGCTGTGGAGAAGCGTAGACCTGCCGAATATTGCTTTGCTCAGGTCGTTTCGACTGAGCAAGTTTGGGATCCTTTCGCTTAGTAACTTGTTGCCATCCATCATCTTGATCTCGCCGTGGTTGCGGTAGAGATTCTTGCTGCGTGTATGGTGAAGTCGTAGCCTGCTGAGCGGGAGCGGGAACTCGACTAGGCAGAGGTTGTTGTCGCTGTGGTTTGGTCATCACGCCTCGCGAAGACAGAAGGTCAAGGAGAGCAACCTGAAAGTTGTCTTCACTCAGGACACCAAGCCTGGTTGTGCGCACAATGGCCTCCACTGCTTCGAGGAGGGACAACGGTGGCACGACACCATCTTGCCCACAGCGGCTGTTTTGTGCAGGGACGGGAGCAGGAGTAGGCTGCGTTTCCTGCTGTGCCGCTTGCTCTCGTTCGGCACGCTTGCGTCTTGTGGCAGCTGAGCCATTCCCACCTAACCAAGACAAGCGAAGATTGTCACCAGGATCTGGTTGAGGTGGCTTTAGCTGCGGTTTCTGCGGAGGAACTTCAAGTTGCTGTTGTTTGAAGCAAGGTATCACACGAAGACAGCGAAAACGCCGTCCTCGAGCCCATAGAGGGTAGACTCTACGATGACCCGCATCCAGGCGTCGCTTGAAGCGAGCAACTCTGAGTCTGCCAGTCTTTCTGTGATGCTTGATTCTCGGGGCTTTCATTCTGTGCGAACTGCATCTGCGAGCTTCTGTCACAAACTTGTCACACCTTTGAAACGTTGTCTGCTTGCGTCGCTTCGGACTTCTTGGGCGTCGTCGCACCACTGGAGTCACCAAAGAGATTCGCATGCATGCACGCCTTTGTCTTTTGAAACGTCGGCATCTTCCTTTCTTCTTTTTGCTCTGACAGACTTGCGTTGGCTCCAGTACTGCATTTACGGTCCTTCCCGCGACCATAAACAAAAGCACTGTAGCTGCAAAAGCAATCCCGCCAAAAAATGTGAAAAGGGCATACATCTAACACCGCGACCGAATCATGCTAGAGTGGGCGAGGTGTAGTTTCAGGTTCATCGAGTGTTAGACGGTAGAGGTAACATCTGTCCGAAGAAGCTCTCGGGCTGCATTCCTGCTGCGAACATCGCTGGGAACCATCCTAAACTGGGATCAACGGGACAGTGGCGACTCAACAACGCAGGCTCTGGCCTCCTCCTTTAGTAAAGCTGCAGCCTACAGCCTCGGGTCGAAATTGCGGAAGACAGAGTTGAATCCCCTAATGACAAGCCCCAACGCCTTGGCCACGAGCCCAGCACAAAGCCTTGCAGCCTTGCAGGGCTGCGACGATCCAACCCTGTGCGAGTCATGCCAGTGCCCAGTCAGACGGAGCGAATTACGGCTTCCGGAACAAAATGCTGGCCTGCCGTGCAGCTTAAGATGCTGGCCATCAGGGTATGCTCGATGAGTCATGACAACAACGTGGTGGCCGGCGGTAGCAGCAGGGCATGGTTGTGCCAGGGGCTGGATGCCTCAGACGGACGATAAGCCTCGGGCCCTGGTGTAGTAGTCACTGGCTGCTTTCCCACGCTGGTACTGTACCCTTGAGAAAGCCCCCTCCATGTTCGTGGAAAGGTGGCTTTCAATAAGTTGTCCCGTCATTCAGGCGAAGGTAGTTACGACTTGAAATGCTCAGGGTCTGAAGTTGCGCTCTTGGTGGTTGGGGACATGAGGGATGGAGGGCGGGTGATTTTTGGGATAACGGCCACTAGGATCCGAGGCTTACGTGCCTGAGTGTTTGGGACGACAAAGCACCAATCTCCCAGGCATCTGACCTGAGCTGCGTGCACAGGAAGTTTGTCGGACTGTTGTCGGGAATGCTTGGGACAGCTACCCCTCTTACCTGGACTCTGCCCACCCCAAACCCCTGAACCCGAAAAACAGGAGAATCCAAACCAAAAGGCCTCTGCCAGGAATTCGTCCAACGAGGCGCCCTCCTTGACAAAGTGCAGGCTGGGATCCAATTGGCGCCGATGCTTGGGATTTCAGGGGGCTTTGGGGCTTATTCAGTCAGGATTCAATCTTGGGGCCTTTCGAGGTTGAGGGTCTCGAATCTTCCGGACTCCACCGTTCCGCCATTCATGGGCCATTCGTCCTAAAACCAATTTTCTCAGCTCCAACCTTGACTTTGACCTCTTGGAACCGACCCAGAATCCTGAAGACGAATCCTTGTTTCAATCGAACTTGGGCCATGAAAGGCCACCCCTGAAATCACTGATATTGTCAGGCGAGGATCCACGCAAACACTCGGGGGGCACGGCTTGATCGGAACGACTTCGCGGATGCCCCAGCGGACTTCAACAGCTCTTTTCTTGAAGGATTTGGGCTCATGGAGTTTAGGATTTGAGGCAGGAAAGGGATCTCGTCAAGGGTCGAAGGTCTTTGGGCAATGAACTTGGCCCCACTTCTCGTTCGAAGATGTTGGTGCAGCTATTCTACTCCGTACCTTGAAAGGCACTGTCACATAGGGATTTCCACAGGAGGTGCAGAGTGGGTGGGGGAAAGCGGATAAGGCTGGGTGAAGGCGGTGGTAGGGTTCCGTGTCGACATCGTGCCCGTTGTGCGGTTTCCAAGGTCATGTAGGCTCGGGGGCTCTATCCATGACTTAAAAGTGCGAATCACATACCTTTTTTCAGGGATACCCTGTCCATCCCCAACTCTTGAGCAAGGTCATCCCCGAAGTGTTTCCATCTATCCTTGGGAAACCCTGCCGCTGTGGAATTTGCACATTTGACTTAAGCTGTAGACATGATGGCCATTACTACCACCAGGCGAAGCGGATCCCAGTCCCAACTGTCAGCTAGATGCAATCTGGAATAGTCTGGTTGTCAGGGCAAGAAGTGCCAATGAGTGGTAGAGCCACCATGTCGCAGATTGAAATCTGAAAAGCCAGTGCTTTCTCTAATGCGACGTGGGCAAGTGGTTATCCACTGACACAGCTCAAATTCATCTCCTTAGTCGGGAATCTAAATTCCCGGTGCCATGTAGTCTTGAAGAAGTAAAAAGTTCGAGACTTCCATTTGCCAGGGTAGCAGGCTAAGACTGAAGCTTCTAAACAAAGGGCCAAGGCACCATTCAGGATTCCAGCTTTGATGAATGCGAGTTACAGCCTTCAGATTTCTGGGCACGGAGGGTTTGTAACAACATCTCTGCGGCAAGGTTTCAAAATTAGGACCCACCGTCTTGCACTCTTCATTCAGAAAGCAGTGGCTGCAGCGGCAGCGGCAGGGCCTGCGATGTGTGCACACTTTGAACCATTCACAAACCTCTACATCTTGCAGCAGCGCGGGCTGGCAGCATGGGCAGCATGAAGGGCCGCGAGCTATTCAAGCTTGCAGTTCGTTTGCAACACAAAAGATGCTTTCACCAATTTCCAGAGACGGAATCAGATGTCGTATACTCGTATACCGTTCATCTGATCCTGTCAGCCCGCGCCGCATAGTGCTTAATTCTGGATCGAAGGATCCTGAAAAGCGCAGGTGAAGCGAGCATTCTTCGCTACTCAGCATCAACAAACTGCGCGGCTCACTCTCTGGATGAAGAGACGATGCGCATATTGTTGCTCAGTTCAGGAGGTTTAGGCTTTGAGTATGTGTGGATCGACTGTCGAATTTATTGCCGGCAGGGCAATGCAAGGATCTTGTGGTGTCTTGCCAGCGCCCATCGCCCTGCTGGACGTTTTGGATGGGAGGCGTTCTGGGCATTTGAAAGTCACACATGCCTTGAGGTTTCTGAGGCTCACCTTGTGAAAACGCTGATCCAGAAAGCAAGAATAGAAGAGCGTCACGGCAGCATAAAAAAAATGTGATAGGCATTTTTCGCATCCCAGTCTTCACCACCTCATTTTGTCTGGGGCCGTTGAGGCAAATTCGTGGCTTCTCGTTTGAACCCTCGAGGAGTGGTGAAGACAGCTAGGGTACTGAAACGGCACCTGGATGGCAAAAGTGGCTGAGGGTTATCATGCGCACTTCCCGACCTCCTGCAGCTTCACACGGGCTCTGCGTCCCTAAGCCCACACTACCATAACTTACATCCACGGCGGTTTCAGGTAGCTGTCCCGCGCAGGCCCGGCAAAGTGGGGACTTTTTGCATCCCCGGGAGGTCACAAAAGATCTTGGAAAGGGCTGATGCTGGCTGCCACCACTGGTGCCCACACGCACATGCCACAGGACGCAAACTCAACTCCAATTGAACAGCCTGGAAGCCCACGTGTGGGCCGAAAACGCTTGGCGCACATGGCTGGCCACTCCACAACCAGGCAATGTGGAGAGAAACCCAACGACGAGCCAGCTCAGGACTTCTCCAAATATACGTCCGGCTTGAGTCGGCTTGAGAACACACCATTCCTGAGCAGCCCGTGGCCTTCAAAGAGTCTGGTTAAAACTCGACATGGAAATAAGCTCCGCGGACGCGAGAGGATTTCCTAAGAAGCGAGCCATCACCCAGATAAGAATCTAATGGTCCAGTCTTTGCGGGGGCTCCACTACAACAGCATGTCCTGCAGCACACGAATGGTTCCTGAGTATGGCTTGCAAACCCATGCCCCAAAATGCTTGCTTGCGGAATTCGGAATCAGTCCAGGCATCGCAACAAGCATGGGCTGAACTGCATGTGCACAGAGGGCGAAGTCGCCGCTTCATGGCCCAGCGGTTTCGGGCATAGGGTTTTAGGACTCAGCTGCTGCGTGCAACTAAGGGGGCACTGTTCAGGAAGGTGCCCCCAGTTCATCTGTGCATTCTCCCTGCTTTCGGGACCTTCCATATACTTTGGTGGTGAACAGCTGTGTACACCATTTAACTATTTCTTAAGTCCGAAGCCTTTCCATGGCAATCCCTGAGCCCTGATCTTCTGAAGCCCAAAACATATGGACATCCAAACGCGATCTGTGCACATGATGGAACATCCTCGCAGAACTCTGTATATGCGAAGTCTTCCGGTTGTTACCGCCCAGCCTCTTTGACAACAGAATTTCCAGCTTGTATGCGTACTATTGGGCATGCGCTTAATTGCCGCAGGGTGGCCCACGCATTCCCACAATGCATCAATGGCTCGTTACATGTGTCTCCAACATGCAGCCTCAGGGGGCCACCCCTTTGGTTCGTCAGCCTCAGCACTTCGCAAACAGCGCTTGTTACCTGCCTGGCCCTCTTGTCTGGCGGGCCACTCGGACCTGTACGACCCAGCCCCCACCTGTCGTGAACAATATCTATCATCTTGAGCGTCATGTCCGCTGATGGCAAGATCTGACCCCGAATCCACTGCTCGGAAGCCCGAACTGATCGCACAGTGCAACAGAACACGCCCGTGGGCAGACTGGTCGACAAAGGTCGGGCATGTCGTTTAGCTGGAGCTTCGGTCTCGAGCAGGGCCCTGCGGGGCTAGGGCACCTGCAGGGCACAAAAGGTGTATAGGACTGTGTTAGGATGTAGCGGTTCAGGGGCATGCAACCGGCAAAGCTCGTTTATTCAAAACATGTTCGAACATTGCGAAACCTGAGAAACTGGGGGCCTTGCGACCTGAAACGCTCCGTTTTTTGAATCAAACACTCTGACTCTAAACTCGAAACCCTAAACCCCGAATACACCTGCAACTAACGACCAAAAGCTGAACACTATGAGGTTCATCCCCTAGAGCACCCGAATCCCGAAGTTCATCGCGGAACGGATGTACCCCAACTCAGGCCTGCCTCCTGAAATCTAAGAAACCAAAGAAACCGACATGGTTTTGGGTTTAGGGTTTAGGGCCTAACATCAGCTAAGGCGGAGCCTATCTCCAGAGGGATGCGGCATGATGCGGGCGGACCTCACTAAGCCTAACCCAAAGTTACCGCCCTGCTTAAGAGCTTAAGCGATACCCTGACGCTGAAAGCCGGAGCCTGATCGGATTGCTGCAACCTTCGCCTTCTTGCGCTCCTGTTTAGGGTTTCGGGTATAGGGGCTGGAAGGAAGACTGATCACACACTTCGTTTCGGTGTTCAGCGTGGGCTCGTGTGCAAAGGACCATGGTGGTTTTGGGAATTAGGGTACCTTCGAGGCTAACCACGGGATAATATTTCAATGGTGCCTCAGGTTCTTGATCTTGCACTCGCGCTCGCGCTTTTCTTTCTTTCCTTCTTGGGGCTTGGGGGCTCTCTCTCTCTCTCTCTCTCTCTCTCTGTTACAATATTGCCTTGACTTCCAAGACAACACAAGACAAAAGCTGCAAGATGCCGCAAGTGACATCCTGCGTTTAGTCGCTGGGGCTCACACTTTCAATGCACCCGCAGGACACAAATGGCCTGAGTCGCGAGATGTGTACATGTAAACCCTGCAGTAATATGAAAAGATCTGCTTCGTGCCGCATGAAACAGCCACAAGGCCCAGTCCTGAATCTTCAAAGTGGCAACTCTGTCGTCAACCATCTACTGGGTGAGTTACATAAAAAGGCCGAAAAGGCTGCCAAATACCCTGAGCTGCACATCCTGACAAGCGTCAAAACCTCTCAATGCACGGAGAAGACTCATTACTAGCTGCGCCGAATCTACAAAATTGGGGGTTGCGCTAGAGGTCGTTGCAACTGTGGTGTCAATACAAGAGCAACGCGGCCCAGATGCTGCCGAGTTGCAATAGTCACAAGCATAGCCGTTTGTGCAGCCTCTTGACTTCCAAAACCATGCGCAGGGCCTTATTCATCAGCGGCGTCTTGCAGAATATGTCTCCTACACACGTGTGGTCCACTGCTTTCCTCGCGTGCCACTGGCACTTCGTTTCGAGCTGATATCGAGGTGATGCATGCCACATTGCTGAGCATTGCTGTCACGCTGCTCAATCCAATCTCTAAGGTCAGGATCTCTGTTTCGGGGTGTGGTCTTGACAGACTTGGACAGAGCAGTGTCCGAGAGGTGCAATCTCCCTTCCTGTCAAGCACACTTGGTCTGACCCCCCTGCAGCAGCCCGCAACTGGGCCCGAGACTTGCAATCGCCTGCAAGAGACTCGGATGAGGCTCAAGTCCGATCATGCTTCGCTAGGGTTTGTAGCTGCACGAAGGTACCTGTAGCTGAATCCTTGACACTCTGAACTCTGAACCTTGATTCGTCTTTCGCCTCAAGTAAAGAACTGGGAGCCCACAATGAATGCCAGTGGCGGCCTGAGGTGTGTAGCGCGGATCCCATGTTTGGAATGTCCAAACTGGCCGCAAAGCCTGGCTTCAGGTATGGGACTGTCGTCACGCGCTACTCAGAATTCCCGGCGAGGGACTAAGGTCTGAAGTCTTCAGTCTTGTTTTGATTCTCTCTCTCTCTCTCTCTCGTTGTTTTCTGTTTGCCCCCTGTCTCTCCCTGCCAGCCAGCTGTGAACCAAGCAGACGGTGAAGCATCGTGTGATCCCGCCATCTAAGGCCGCTCACTTGCATCCTCCGTGCCGGTGAAGGGGGGGAGTAAAAGCATTCACGTCCATCGGCGGGCAACGTGAACCTCAGCTCGCCCTCGAAATGACTCCACCTCCCTACAGGTCACAACTTTTTTGTTTGTCTCCAGAAAGGGATAGAAAGAACAGCTGTTGGATAGGAATCCTGGGAGAGGCTGTTGATTCTGCATAGAACCTGGGTTAGGTCTACAGCACCCCTGGTGCTGGCAGAGTGCTCATTTTCTCTCATTGTGTTTGGTTCCGAAGTATCGCGGCCCGGGTGTCACGTGGGTGCCTCTCACCCGATCATAACCTCGGTGTTGGGATTTTGTGGCTTCTGGACTTTGCACTCGAACGACCTACTCCGAGCACCTGGCCCCTAGCCCTACCCCGCAACTTGCCCCAGAGCCCCTATGTCCAGTCGAGTGCACGGCCACTACAGGCTGCCACCAATGCGTACCGTGGCTGTTGGTCTGCTGCTTGAACTCGGAGTTCTGGCTGACCCCCTACCCCCTTCTCGATCGTGTGCGTGGTGGCTTGTTGCTCGCCCCCACTTGTCTGTGTTGCGCCTCTCGTCACCAGGGCATGGATGAACATCCCCTCCCCCAATCTGCTTGGCCCCCTTGTCGTAGCTCTGCTTCTACTTGGTCTTGTCGGTGCGGATCGCCCGTGCGGCTGGGTGCCTTCCTGCTCCCTTCCCGCTCGAGCTTCTGTCTACAGCTTCGTCGGGCACACCTGCTTCTGGGTTCCCCTATTCAGAATGGCAAGGCCCCCTTCGGCTTGATTGAACGGCGTGCTGACGAAATCCGGGAGAGTGGGTTTGAGTCAAAACTCTTCTTCTTCTTCTACAGGGCAGAAGTCCCTTTTTGACTCTCTCTCTCTCTCTCTCCCTCTATCTTTCTTTATTCTTTCTTTCTTTCGTTATTTCGTTCTTTCTTTCGTCTTTAGTTTCTATTTCTTTCTGCTTCGGTCTCTCGCTCTCTCTCTCTTCGTTCTTTCTTTCTCTCTTCTTCTTCTGCTGGGCATGAGGGACTAGCGAAGGCAACCCTAGCCCTCGCTTGCTCGCTCTGGCTCTGGCTCTCGCCCTCTCGCCCTCACGCTCTCTCTCTCTCTCTCTCACACACACCGGCTCAGTTGAGTGGGCAGATGTTGGGTTCAGTCGTTCGGGTTTGATATGGGCCTGTCCAGGGCTAGAGATGGCTTGGGGTAAATCTATCTGAGCGCAGCGCATATTATACTATGATTGTCCTTGCACCCACATCTGTGCAGTGTTGATGTGCTGCACGTGGAGCCCGCAGGGCTTAGGGATGTTTGAGAAGCTTCGAGCCGCTGACTAGTTGAGAGGGGAGATCTCTTAGTTCGCCCGGGTCTATGCCCGCAAATTCAAAACGCCCGCCTCCCTGGCTTACGCTGCTCGGCACGCACGGCGGCTCCTCAGTCACTTGCGCGGCGACACCTGGCCCCAAGCTCCAAGCTCCGAAAACCCGCCGCCCGTCCGCTTCAAGGCGGGAGCGATGCCGAAAGCCTGCAAGCCACTGAAAGCCTCCATTCCCTAGAATCTTGGGGCCTTGGCAATGCCTTTGGGCACAGAATGGTACGGAGCGGACTGCAGTTCCCACGACCCTCGACCTCGACACAAAGCCGCACAAGAATCACCATGCCTTGTGTGGAGCTCGCCACTGATTCTGGGTCACTAGGAGCCTGGAACCTGCCAGCATGTTTCCAGGGCTCGCAGCAGTTCTGTTGGCGCGAATGCTCCCTACTGCACACATTGGCCGTGTGGGGCTTCCAGCACATGGGCACGCATGTAACATGAAGAGGTTCCTAACAGGACCTTCTAGGATGAGCGTCTTGCATACTGATTAAGCATATTATGGTGACGCAGAACCGTTGGGAGAACCCCGGGCTTTTCCACTGCAGAGATCACAGGTCACACGCAACACAAGCAGCAAAACAAATGCCAATAGCCGCATGAAGCAAAGACTCGCGCGCAAGCAAGCAAACAGGACTCCCCAAATTCTGATGCCTGAAGCTCTATGCAGCCAGCCTCTGTTCAAGAGGAGGAGTGCAGCTGTAGTTTCCACAAGGCACGAAGGCCTTGACAAGCGAGGCGATGATGCTCGCTATCCAGCGCTCTGCTTTCCAGCTATGTGCTGTTGAGACCCGAAGCCCCAAACCCGAAACCGCACTCAGGAACCAAATCCCCGAAGCTTCACACTTCAAAACAAAATCCTGTGCCAGCCGCTCACAGCTCACATGTGGCACCTCTTGGAAACTGTAACCGTAAACCCCGTTGCAGACTTCGCTTCCCTCAATAACTGTGCTACACACACAGAGAATCTAAATCCGAGGGGCTCCAAGGCTTGGTGAATCGGACCCCCAAAGCCCTGAAGCCGCAGCCCTTTGCTGTGGATTTCGGCGTCAACCCTCGTGGTTGGGCTGCGTCTCAAAGGTTGGGGAGCCGATGCCATCACCAAGTGTGAGGGCTTGCAAGATGATGCTATAAACAGAAAGTCAAACTCCTTCAGTCCGCCCCATGGAATCCCCTGGAACTGCAGCGCCGGAGCCTTGGCGTGTGCATTCAGTTGGGTATATCGGCTTTCCATCTCCGGGCAGGCCTGGGCAGCCACGACTGGGAGCGCAAGAGTTCCAGGCCGCAGGGTGCAATTTTCAGCAAGAGGTCTTCACAGCAACTTAACTCGGCCCACTGTGGCTGAATGACTGCTACCACTAACGACTACTTACTATAACATCCCGTCCTCCTCCTCCTACTACTACTACTACGACGACGACCACGACGACGACGACGACGACGACGCTACGACGACGCTACGACGACGCTACGACGACGCTACGACGACACTACGACGACGCTACGACGACTACTACGACGACACTACGACGACGCTACGACGACTACTACGACGACGCTACGACGACGACGACGACTACTACTACGACGACGCTACTACGACGACGGCGACGACGACGACAGCAAATATACCGCTGCAACCCCATGCCAATGTTACAGGCACAGCACGCAGAAGCCCTTACAATGCTCTACGACCTCCTGAGAGAGCCTGAGATGTGGGCAGAGGCCGTCGAATCGGTGCAAGGCCCCACAGGTGGCATCATGAAGTTGAGAGGTGCCTCAAGATACCTGGGATGTTTCCGGGTGTCGCCGAAAAATTCCGGAATGTTGGTGAGAATTGAGGATGCACACTTCCCGCATTATCGGGCTGAACTGCTACCGCTATGTTGTAAACCTTTTCTATCTTACTCAAGTGCCAAAGTTTAGCCTAAACCCGACCGGATGAAACAAAGCAACTCGGCAACAAGAAGCACCTCCTTGACTGCTAGACCATGCCTGAAGCACTTCGGCTGTGGGGCCTTGTTATGTCGCGCTGCGATGCCCGCATGCCACACTTTCAACCCTTGAGCGCCAAAAAGCCCTTACAAGTCGTTGCCGTCAGGGTTTTGGCGGCCCTAAGCTTCAAACCGCGCTGAGAGATTCCATGAATTCGGGGCCGGACTCTGACTCACAAGGCCAGCACGGCAACTCAAACACGGCTATCAGGCAACCACCCTTCACAAAGGTACACCGCACGCCTCGGCGACGGAGTTGGCGTAGCAGGCCACAGATTCCTCCTCAGCCAAGTAAGCCAAATACAGTCCTGGATGTGATACCTCTACAGTCTATCGAGCATACTGAGCAGACGGGACCTGCTGAGATGTCTACTAAGTTACTATCGCGGCATGAAGGCATGAATGCAGCTACACCCAACCAGCCTCGGATGAACCACTGTAGAACAGCTCAGTCCTATAGCCTAATCTCCGGCCCACGCCCTCATTTCAATTCCGCGACTGTGCTCCGGGCGGAGTGCTTGCCTCGTCAGTGTCCCGACCGTCCTCAGATGAAAGCAAAGGCGGCAGAAGGGATCCGTTTTGCTTTTGTTTGGGGTCATGTTCCGAGCTGTAAGCCGTTTGTGGCACTTGAGAAGCTCGTGCAAAGATCCATTCTCTGGGCTGGTCACGGAGGTTGCTGCTTGAGAGCACGGTTAAGTTGCAACCCAGATCCATTCTTCGCTCTGAAAGGCCTTCGAAGAAGAAACCCTAAGGCTAGTTATGCACCAACCTGAGCCTTACGCCACAGAGGTGTCATGACAGCCAGGACGACAAGGCGGCACGCCCGTTTTTCCACGTTTTCATTCTTGGGGCGCCTTCTGGTCTCTGAATCCCCGAAAAGTCTGCAATCTGTCTGCTGCTTCAGCGTCGCCAAAGGTCTCCGTGGACAATGCGGACGGCGACCGCGTGTCTGGGGTCTGTGGGCGAGGGGCTGTGCCCAGGTCGCTGGTAAAATGGCACACCTCGGACGTGACTTGAACTTCGGGTGAACTTCGTGGAAGGACTGTACGCTACAATTAGGACTCAGTCCGACAACACAGACTCTAGAAGCCTACCGCTTCTTCATCTTCTTCTTTTTTGCAAGACTTCAAGCTCGAGAGCGCGAGCCCTACCCTACAAGAGGCGAGTGCCATATTCACACTTCAGAGGCATCCAGAAAAGGCGGTTTGACCAGAATACATCCCTGCGGACTTCTGATCTTAGCTCGCTTAGGCCATTTTGCTGCCTTGCAATGACACCTGCCCCCACGAATCGGCCACAAGCAGCTAACTACAACTTCAAATCCCCAAATCACCAAAAACGAGCAAGCCTCAAAGCCCCCAACCCCACCTCGCGCTTCTGAACCGGGAGCTGAAGAGTCATCGCGGGCGGTTTCTTCCTGTTAGCGAAAAGGCTACCAGGGGCTGCAAACAAGCCGTAGGGATTCAGGTTCGGGGGGCAGAGCCCAGATGGTGTGCAGTGTTTCAGCATCGCCGAATACTGTAGCAAGCGACCGCGGGGAGGGGGGGCGGTGGTTCAGGTTCTTGTGCGGCCATTTTGGGCATTGCTTTAGTTCAGTGTTTTGAGAAGCGAGCATTCGGCATTCATGTTTGCACAGGGAAGGATCAGAGTTGTCCTCTAGAGTCAGTGGCAAGTTCGGGATAGCAGGAGAGAAGTGGACCTTGTGGCTACATAAACGGATATGTGGGCTTCGGAGCTTTGGTAAGTCTGCAATGTTTGGGGTCTAGGCATTTGGGAACCGAAACCCGAGTTACCCGGGCCCCACAATGCAGCGCCGCGCCTCACAGGAACTGTTTCAACAGACCTGTCCCCTCCTCAACTTTGGGCCGAAACTCCAACTGCGTTCAGCTTTGGATTCTGGGCTTTGCCTGGGAACAGGTTAGGGATGGCTAGGGCATTGTGGAATCAAACGGCTTTCACAAAATCCACGACCTTGCCGGCCTCAGGACCTCGAGGCTGATGCTTAAACAGATAACTTAAAGCACTTCTCCATTACGGACTTAGCTTTGCTCTTCTGCTTCATCGCCTATATTGTGCCTGTTCAACATGCGCTGGGCAATGTGCACCAACTCACTAGTAGCATGACACGGCTGAAGCAAAGGGGAGCATGAAGTTGACTGAAGGCATCGGCAACGAGGTCATACGCGTGAGCGGCAAGCCAACATAAGCCGACAGCCACCTCGCTGCGCCTAGAAGAACTTAAAGGTCAACACTGTTGTCTGACTTCCCGAAGAAGTGGCTGCCGAGCACGCCCAAGGACTTTGCCCCGTTAACTCAAGAGACTTGTGACTTGGGTCTTCTGTCATCCAACACAAATCTGGGCGCGCTGGCGGCCCCGATGCGCAGGTAGGGAGGGACCACCTTGTGCTAGCATTGGGCGGCATTGGAGCTTCGGGTCAGGACCTGTAACGCCTCCAAGAGACCAGTCAACCGAACATCTACGGAATACCCTGAAAAGCCGACAGATTTTTCATCGCAATGCACTGCCGAGACCCGTGGTGCAATCTCAAAGCGCGGAGCCACCGACCGAACAGAGTGGATGTTAGACTTCTCATGGTCACCATGGTTCAAGTACTGCTTGACTTCTGAAAGGATGCAGGCCTTGCAAGCCCTGTCTACCAGAGCCCTCTGCTGTAGATCTGCGACCTGAAGAGCCCTGAGCCCCAAAAGCATCCTGAAGATGAGGCAAAACACTTCGTGCCCTGAACCGCTAGAACCTCCCAATGCACGCCACGTCAGGACAGCCTCCCAGGCCACAGAGAAGCCGACACCTGCTGACGGTTTGAGCACTTTGCTGCGTTTTGTTGGTACTGCCTGACGTTGAGCAAGTTTTGCTAGCGTTTCAGGGCGCCGCGCAGTGACTCTAAATTCGACCACATGACAGAGTAGCAGCCTCAGAACCCTAGTCTAGGGAAGAGGTCGACAAGCGACGCGCTGGCGACACTGCCATCTCAAGGAGTTGAAGGACAGGAAACCCAAATTGGAAGCGCAGGCTGTTCGGAGCTGAGCTTGCGACAAATACTGGCAAGCATGCTCGTGACCTCAGTGTTCGCTCTATCAGAGGTTGAGCACGGTTCAGTGGTCAAGGGGTGATCAGATATGAGCAGCGTGGTTGTGTGTGTGTGCTTATGGTGCTTCAGAGAACCATTCCTTGTGACACCAGCTCTTCGCCTGATGACAAGGTCTTACGGTGCACTGCAACAAGGGCAAGCCCTAGCCAGAACTCGTTCAAGATATGCCTTAGTCACTTGAAAAAGGCTTGCACTTCAAACAATCCCAAGACCAGTCCAAAAATTAAGCGATCAAAAGCTGAGAGTGCGACAAGCCACCGAGCTTTTCAGAAGCGCCACCTCGGGACATGTGGAGCCGGTGGTAACCATCTCTATAGCAAGGTCAAGCCGGCGGTCTGTACCCACTGGATTCTCGAGATTACGCTTATGTCGTGCAGGACTGTCAAGGCAGGACGGCCACTTTTTGGAATGCTGAGGTTTCGGCAGCGGTTTTTGTCCCACCAATGGAGCAAACATGTTCTATGGCCTTGGCTGCTGTCAGCATCTCAATCTTTCAGTGTCCACTACAGCGATATGTTGCACAGACATGCGCTCTAGAACCAAATAAAACCCACTACATGGTGAACAAGATATTCCATGAAAATTCACTTCAGCCGACTTTCCGGCAATGCTAATCCAACAGCACCACACATGCATCCATACGTCAGAAGGGAGCCAGAAGCATGCCCTACTGTGGAAGCCCTGCAGTTGGCCGAGGCGGCTCCGGCCACAATAAGCACCGTCCATCGCAAGTGTCAGCCCCAACATGCCTCTAACTCCAACGTTAAAGCTAAGTTCGGCTAAGCCCGCAATACACCCCAAACCCTAAACCCTCGAACCCTAAACCCTGGGATGTTAGGGCGGAGGGCCTCCGGGCTGTCAGCGAGAAGGTTGGACAAAGCCCAGGAAGCTGTCGTCACCTAAGTATGGCGCTTTGTTCATGCTGAACCCTAAACCGCCTAAACCCTAGACTCTAAACCCCGTCGTCCCTTGGGCCCTACCCATCTTGAAGAGCTTGGCTTTGAGGGGTATACCGGGTATTGGGGCATGAGCTCCGTACTTCCCCCCTCCCCCAGCTTGTGCGAGAGCTCTAAGCGGCGTACGAGGGCAGCATCCTGGCGCTGGTGGTTGTAAGTAAGTTCGAGGCGTTCGCAGTGCAGCGGCTTGGGGTTTATAGGCTTCAGGGATAAGAGGTCTTGACTGTCTGTTGATTTGTTCCGTACATCTGGGCCCTCAACGAACACATCACCATAGAGGCAAATTTAAAGTGAACCCAAAGCCTTGGCGACACTGACTGGCAAACATTGTAACTTGGGCATCTAGAGTTACATATGACAAGGGGCGTGGGGCCAGGAAGTTATGGCAGCTATATCTCTTGATGTCCGTTGGCTATTGCTTTGCGAGATCACTCCCGCGCTGCGTGTTTTTCTTCAACCCCATAAACTCAAGTCGAGGCTTCATGTCTCGACTCTCCAATATTCATCTTTTTCTGCTCTTGATCCTGACCACTGTAGCAAACGGTGCTTAACCTTTTTGATCATAGAACAAGAAGGTTGCAATTTGCTTGCGTCTCGGACGTGCTAGGGCTTTTTGCTATCTCGGATATAGAAATCCTTTGCCAGCTGCCTAGCTGATACTTTAATCTCGGCTTTCGATGCGCTTGCACCAGGCAGGCAAGGCGACGGCTCATGGTCTAGGGGGCTGAAGGTTCTGATGGTGAGTGGCCCTTTTTTGCACGCTCGCTGCATGTCGCGGGATCTATATTTTGTTGCTCTTGCTTTGCTGTGGGCAGCAAACTAACACAGGACTGCGTTCGAGGGCATGTTATGCACTTTGGGGGGGGCAGAGGTTCCATGTGTGCTGTCTGCGAGGCCCGCGGCTCCGGAGGTTCCAGTCAAAGACAGATTGCAAGTCTGCCGCGCCGATGGCTCTCGGCATTCTTGCAGAGAAAAATGGGAGGCAGATGCCGGGCAGCTGCCCCGAGAAATCGCTGTGAATAAAAAAGCAGGACATGTTGGATGGACTGGATGGATGCCAACTTATCGCGTTTTCCTATAATGCTCAAACGAAGAACCACCTGACTCGAGATCAGAGCTGAACCTTAACATTTAAGTGCTGGCTGGAGTCATGCTTTACCCTAACCTGTCTACTCAGAACCCTGTAGTAGAATGATTCGTTGCGGGTTTGCGGGGTGGATTCTTTGGTGCAGGCAACCCATGGTAATAACCATACGCATGAATTGTGAGCCTTGGCTAATCAGAGGCCTGGTGGCTGCCTAACGGTTGTCATAAGGGCTAGACCTTTCACTACACATTCTGGCTGTTGCATCTGCGTGTTGGGCAAAGCATGGCCAGCTCAAAATGGACTTATTCGGGAGCACTTTGCACTTCGATACTCTCTTCTCTTCTGTGTAGCCGTAGAATGCCGAAGAGTCAGGTGTAAGAAGCCTAACCTGCCAAAACGAAAGCTGGCACGTCACATTTGGTGTCTTCATTCCGGCCTACCACTGACCCACCCCCGAATCGCAACGATCTAGCTGAGACCTTGGTGCTAGAGACTTTGACATCCAGGCTTTGTCCCGGCAGCGGCCGAAACTGGAGCTTGCGCTAGCGATATCTTCTCTTGTCATGTTTTATGGCTGGTCTGATTCCGCCCGAGGCCTTCACCAGTTTGATCGCTTAAACTTGTCAACTATGCAACGTTTCCAAGCGCTCAAACATACTCAAACCATGAAACAGGGCCCAGTTCTTTCCAGACCTTACAATGAAGTGTCGAGGACAAGTCAACTTGAAGACCTGCAAAGGACTTCTTCCTCTACTTGTGGTCGAAGCGGCAAGTCTTAAGAACTAGTTTTGACCAGCCATGCACTCCTTTGCTATGCAAATCCATGGCCACCTCACGACGTCTCTCACGCGAATGTGCGCCGCAAGAGAATGCCGGCAGAGCCCACCATGTACCCCACCTGCACAAGCAGATCAGAACCCGGCTATCCTAAACTTCTGAGAAGGCCGCATACGCGAGTTACACTGTTCGACATGCCTGAGAAGGGCCGAGGTCTTGGCTCGGACTTGCCAGACGAGGTGGCTGGGTTTAAGAAAGACACAAGCCAGTCTGCTTTGCTTCCCCCCCCCCCCCCCCCCCCCATGATACAAACACACTTCCCGAACCCTTTCTGGGGCCCCAAGCCCAAAGCTAAGCAGGGCCAAAACGTCGGCAAACCCCCGCGAAGATAGAGATGACTTTCATGGCTTGGATCACAGCCATACGCATTAGGCGTTGGCAGCTCAGGTGTCAAGGCGACAGCATCCGGCCTTCCCTTGTTGAAAGAATTTGACCTGGGTCGCACTTGCAGCAGGGCTTTCCTCAAGACAAGTGCTTGCTTGCCGGGTTTCGGGATTTGAGATGTCGGATTAAGGTTTCTGACCTGCAGTTGATCTGGCAAAGACTTTCGGCTACAAACTTGTCCTGAGCTCGTCCTGCGTAATCACTCCACCAGATCAGACTCCATGGGCACTGAAGCGCTGCCGCTGCTATTGGACCCCTGACCTCATTACCTGAGATAGGCCCTTCACCTTCTCTAGCAGGAGGCACAGTGAGAAACCCTCTAACTTGCCCTGGTCTATGAACCCCGCAATCTGCATTGCTGAGCCCAGGTACGTTGTACAAGTTGCATGGCAGGTCTGTGGCGGAGGGATCAAATGCCCAGGTTTTTCCTTGGTTGTGCAGTGGCTTGGGTGAACTAATTTAGTGTCTCCTACTTTACGCAACCAAGGCATCATTGTTGGTGTCACGTGGACATTCCAATGAGTGTGTCCACGCTGTGGGATTCCAAAGTGCAGGGTGAGGAGGGCTGGCTGCCGGCATTTCGCCCCGTCGCGGCATTTGTTTTGGGTCACATTCGCGTTGGGCCCGAGGGGTCGCGCGGTTGTTCATGTCGTCCAGCATGACAAATCGCATCCATGCGCGAAGTCGCACCCAGCACTCGCTAAGCACTCGCTAAGCGCTCGGACCTCGACAGCTTCTCGACAAGAACTGTTTTTGCAGTGTTTGCTGAGGGCTTGCTAAGCAATCGCTGCCCACACCCCCTGTCAGACCCCCCTCCCCTAACATCTCCATGAAATGCAGCAGGGCGTGCTGTCCCAACTCTTGGAGGGGGTTGTGCTCTGCTCGCCCGTTCTAGAAGGGGTTGTTTCAGAATCACGTTCCTGCTTTCAGGGTCTTAGTCTTGGATCGTGCTCCTGCCCATTCCACGTGCGAAGCGGTGCATTGGGCTTCAACATCGTGCTGCCGCCTACCCTGGCGTGCATTCCGTGGTCAATCGCGCTCTCATCTCAGTCCTGTGATGTCCCGTGCATGCTCATCGTGAAATGCAGAACCGTTGCGGCTTTTGGGCCTTGAGTCGGTCTCCTGTGAGTGACACTTGCGATGTGCCGTGGCTGTGGGCTTACAATCTTTGCATCAACCCAAGTCAGAATCATGTAGCCTAAACCTGTAGTACCTGTGATCACTGACCCAAAAACCAATCCTGCCCCTCCAAGGGCGCCAAGCACGCCTCACCTGAACCTCCAAAAAGGAACACCCAAGCTTTCGCCCTCTATTGGCCGTGCCGCCGCCATCCTTCGACGTATAAATCCTTGGAGAAGAGGTGCAGGGCTTGTGGAGCTCAACGATCTCACATGAATGAGGTAGGGTTGGGGGTTTGCGGGATTCCCAATGTCCACTCCAAGGTCTTATAGGGCTGTGCATCGCAGCCACTGTCTTTGCTGTTGGGTATGCGACAGGGAGACTCAAGTTTCTGGTCTGGCAAATCTCCACAAAATCTCCACAAACTTGCATCATGCTTCTTCGGCTCAAAAAAACTCTCAGTCTGTGCTAGCTTTGATGTCGCCTCTGCAAGCTTTGCAGTTTCGGTCCGATTCGGCCGTCCTATCCCACAACCCCAATACACCTTAGCCCTTACATTCCAAGCTCCAAGCCTCAACCGATCCACCAAATCCCGAACCCTGAAACCAAGAAGTGGTTTGGGGTTATAATGGGTTCTAATAAGTTTGAAGCCTTGGAGGTGAGGGGTGTCTTGATTTTAGAAGTGCTTTTGTCCCCAAGCATATCTCGGATGTTGAGTCCTCGCTTCGGCACTAGGCCCCGCAGGGCGCGAGATCGGGGCCGTGATCGGGGGGTTATGAGAAGGCGTTGCGCGGGTGTTGCGCGCGCATTGCGTGAGGAGGCGCTAGATCAAGGGGTTGAAGCCCGGGGGTCGGGGGGTGGGAGTCGCGAGATCGGGGTGGTGTGATGGACAGTCACGGGGGGCGGGCATGAGATGGGGGCGTGATGGGAGCGTGATGGCGCGGGGCGCGAGAGTGGGGGCATGACGGGTGCGAGATTGCGGCGTGCCCCGGCTTGCCATGAATTTTCGCCGAGGCCGAGTGGCACGCCGCTACCTCCTGTAGCCCAGCACTCGTTTGGCGTTCGGTAGCCGATGTCAATGATGCCGATGCCGCCTGACTGAGAACAGACATCCAAAGTTCCTCTGCGGAAGTTGATTACTGGTGCTTTTGTGAATCCCTGGCATCGAAAGGAACACTAAACGCCATTGCCGAGCTGCTAAGAAAGAAGCCCTCAAGCGGAGACTCAGCATTCTAAATTCAAATTCATTAAGGCCCCAAAGCCTCAATACAACAATACAAGGTCGCTTAGACAAATCTTCTGCCTGATCGGATCTTTGCCAGCTGGAACAGCTCCTGACACGCGAGGGGTTGAGCGATGTTTGGCCGCTTTGGGCTTCCAGAAGTCAAAGATGAAAGAGCCCAGCGAATTCTGGAGTCACTGCCTAAAAAAGGTGTCAAGTCGCCGTCTGGAGCGCTTCGCACCCCCACGCTCCTTTGACCCCACGCGCCTCAAACCTTACAAGGCTTTACCTCCTAGCATCGGACTCAATTGCCTCGCAAGAACCAGGGGTCAGGGGTTGAAGGCTCGGGGCGCTATACGACTTCAAGGCTTCAGTCTCCTGATCGTGAGGAAACTGCTGCAAGGAGGTGTGCCAATGGTGTGGAGGCCCGGGTGTCAGAGAGATGCTTGCTGGCCGGGTGCATGTAAACGGAGTATAGTTTTTGATAACTAAAAACGTGCCATGAGTGGTTATCGTGCTGGACAAGTATTCTGAACCCAAACCTCCGCAAAAACACATAATATCTATATATGGTTCAGCGTCGAGCGTCCTGGGCCCCCCCCCCCCCCATGGTTCCCCCCCCCATGGTATACTCTACGGTCCCTAAACCCTAAACCCTAAACCCTAAACCCCTAAAAACCCTAAACCCTAAACCTAAAACCTAACCTAAACCTTAAGTCTTAAACCTTAAACCCTAAACCCTAAAACCCTGAAACCCTAAACCTAAACCCTAACCCTAAAACCAACCCCCAACCACAGCACAGGGGGGGGGATCATCTTAGTACCCCATCCGCGGGGAAAACCCTAAACCCTAAACCCTAAACCCGAAAACCCTAAACCGTAAACCCTAAACCCTAAACCCTAAAACCCTAAAACCCTAACCCTAAACCCTAAACCCTAAACCCTAAAACCCTAAACCCTAAAACCCTAAAACCCCAACCCCCAACCACACACAGGGGGGGGGGGGGGGTATTGGGGGGGGGGGGGGGGGGGGGGGGGGGGGGGGGCCCGCCGGGGCTGAATCATATATATATATATGCATATACATATATATACATACATATATATATATATATATATATATAGATATATTATAGCTGTGTGTGCGTGTATGCATGCGAATGCGCGAACGTTTCTAAAAACTGTGTGTACTCATGTCCATCCATCGCAATGGCTGGAAAAACTACAGCCTCATAGGCCGAGTCCAAGCTCATTTGTCACTAGTCCAAAGCTGCCAGACCCCCCAAATCGGACCCATCCTTCGTGTCAGAGGCCAGATCTGTGAAGGTGTTCTTGTCGCAAAGCGTGACCACACCACCTGTTTTTGAGCGTCATAAAAGCTGATGAGAGTTGATCTTCAACATATTTCTACACATAACCAAACTTTGGTGTGGCATTTAAGGCTGGGGTTCAGGGACTCAAGGCTTAACTATTTCTAGAACATATGCGTGGAGCATATACAGCCCAATGATACGGACCAGGTTCAAAGGCTGGCATGTGCTCTAAGGAATCCGGCCCATACCAGGACATGACACAATGTCTGCGCTTTGGACTTTGCAGGGCCGCATGTGGCTACCATGACCTACCCCTCACAGATTGGAGCATTCAGCCAGGTCTCTCTTATCTCGTGCTCTCTCTCATCAGCAAAGCCCTTCCGCTCACGGTGCGGCTTCCGGTGGCCCGGCCCTTTTGCGAAACAACCATTTCTTCGTTCCTCTCTGGTCCATGGTCACTGGTCGGAAGCACAGAGGTTGATTGATGGGCGTTGCGACATTGATGTTAAGCAAACTTTTTCGATGCTACTAGTAGATGGGTATTGTGTGGCTGCAACTGCTGCTGCCGCAAGCTTTCTCCAGTGCCAGGGCGAGCCTGATACTGTATGGAGGTCACGGCAACAGAAAGCTTTCTTTTTGTTGATCTCTTGCGCTGTTGTCTGTTTCCCTGTTTTGGAACTTCGGATGACGCGTAAGCCCACCATGAAACATGAATGCTGGCTTCATTGCGGGTTGAAGGCATGACATGATGCGAGAACACTGCCCGCCATTCAGCACTGTTTCTTGTGGTCACACGTTGGGGATTCACACTTGGGACTGCCGCATGTGCAATCGTGAAGACGTATGTGCAGCAAGGTTGCCGTTCAAGCTCATCCACGCGCCATCCAACTTCTCCCCGTTCGCGCAATCTCTGAAACCCATGCCCTGCCATGACGAGCTTGCATCCCCATGTGCAAAGGCATAAGAACAGACTTGAGGAGATGTTGGCAGCCTTAACCGCAAGGTCAAAGCTCTGTCCTTGATGCTTGCAAAAACTGTTTGAATTGCAACGGGCACTTACCAGAACCTGTATGTAGCTGCACGTGTACTATTATCTGATGCTTCCCGAGCCTGGATTCGCCTGGCAGAAATGCGGTTGTGCGGCACCCAACCTGATTCAAGGCATGAGACTTCATTAGATCCTAGAGCATGTGACGACGTGACTTGAGATGGACCATGACTCTTGTAACATCTTGCGGCAGAGCAGCGCGTGTCGCCAGGAACGAAGCTCAAGTAGAAGTTCCCGCGCCTGTACCAGAAATGCGGCAGCTGCGCAACCCCCTGCAGGCCCCCCTTTTGCCCCCGTGAAGCTCTCAAAAAGCAGTCGCGTAATGCAGATCCAAGCTATGCCGAAGCGCTGTGCGATGGCCAGGTACTCGCCCTTGGAGTTCCGCTTGATCGACTTGACCTCAGATTCTTCAGAGCTCAGTCCCCTCCAGTCCCTCTACCCCCGCCATTGATCCCTTGCTGTGCTCGTCAATCTGCACCGAGAGACACTACCGGTGAAGTAACTTCCGCCGGAAACACCGCTCTGGGACACGCGATTCAGCGTGGCATCGATAGTCTCCTGGAACAGATGCCAGATGCAATCATGCTAGTTTTGTTACACTTTCCAGGCTCTTCCCGAAGCACTTTGGTTCAGGTCTTGGGCAATACCACTTGTCGCTGCTGTCGAGAGCGTGCAGTGTTCTTAGCGATGTTAAGCACACATGCATGGAAAAAAAACTGGCGTCGTCGTGATTTGCGAACCAATGCTTCTTCGTCTGGTGACCTAAAGATCCAATTCAGTGAGAACTGCTTTGTTGTGGCTCACAAAATCCGACTTACTTTCGGTAAAGCAATGCTCAGTCCGCCCTGTCAAAGGGCCGCCGAAAAACAAACAAGTAGCGTTCATACCGGCATCCTGACCACTGTCTTCTGCTCACCATCACTAGACTGCCGTTCCTCCCAATGTGAAGTCACAGGCTGAAACTTAAAAACTTGACACCATGTCCGGATACTTATGCCAAACATTTGGGCACCAGGAACTAGGTTCTACAACATTCTCGGGCAGCCGCCAAGGAACAGACACTTGTGACTTCCAGTTCTTGCCGTCGTTCTCTGTCACCTCAAGGTCAAGCAACTCGTGATCAGCCCTATAGATGCTAGGGTGGCTGTGTGACAGTGGCATTTGATGGTCCTTTTGGTGAGTTAGGAAACGCCTGAAGTCCAGAGCTGCTTAGCTTAGCAGGAACACGCAAGTCTGAGAGGAGTGAATACGCAAAAGGAAAGATTATGCAACGACTACCGAGCCTAATGTTGACTTGACATTAATAAAGCCCGCTACAATTATAAAATCCCGCTGCCCGGAACACAATAATGTAACCCGCCACAATTATAAAATCCCCGCCCGGAATTATTTTTTTTTCGGGCGATGTTGTGCAACTAACTTAAACTGATAAGTTTCAGGGTGTTGGAAGAGAATGAGTTTAGAGCTTGCTGGCTGCAGACACTCTTTTTGTAGTGGCCCAGGCTCGCAGTAGAGGCTCACTTAGCCCACTGTGGTGGCACTGTGACAGCTAGATCTACTAGTACTACTAGTACTACTAGTGGTACTACTACCTAATACTAAAACTAATACTACGTCCTACCAGGATTTAGGCGGATATTATTAAGGAGGCCCTGGCCGAAAAGATTGATCAATGAAGGGGGGGGGGGGTTTATTAATGCGAAGTCAACATTAACGGGCATGGCTCCTTTGACCAAGAAAGCTTGCACCAACAACCCCGCATTTCGAACCAGCAACTCTGGAGCAAGCACCCAACCAACTTCAGTTTGCGCCAAGTCACGTAGATGGCTCCGCTGGAGGTTGCCATCTCGGCTTTTCCCGGTCCCAGGGAAACGATGACCTGTCGAACCCCGACAGCCGTATGATGGGGGCTCGCAATCCAGAATGCTGCGCCACGTGTACTGCACATGAGCAGACCCCACACATGCCCGCACCTTTGGCTCCCCAGGGAGCTTCTTTGAGATGGGCACCTTCTTCCAGCTCTTGCCGCCTTGGGTGGAGCTTGGCGGGGGCGGGGGGGGGGGAGGAGAAATCGAAGCTTAATTTCAGCTGGCCTGGAGCTTTAAGCTTTAAACATCGTGCTCTCCATGAGCTCCGACTCTCCCACACCATTAGTATAAATCAGCCTTACTGCAAGGCCACTAAACTTTACTCTCATCTCTCTCAAGTGGACACTGGACCGACTGATCCAAAGGTTCGCTTCTTCAACCTCGGCCTAGGCCTGAGATCTCAACACAAGAACGGATGGGACAAAAGGAATGAGAACATTCTGTGCTAGGGTGTGGGACACTCGCCGCTGGGAACCCTCAACGTTGGCCAGAAATCGTGCTCTCCGCCAGGTCTCATTACATCATGCGCCATTGATGCCCCGTGCGTTCGTCGAAATCCCTCGTAAATTAAATTGCACGGACCGCATATTTCATTGGGTAACTACAACATTGAACTCAGAACTCTGGTACAGGTCGAAAGCGAGGGGCATGCGCAGCCACGTGCAAAGGGAGCATAACATGGCAACATGCAAGGCCCGCGAGGCAAAGGCAGTACCGTCTGAAAAGCAGTCGCATGGGTCATGCTGCGAACACAGCGAAAATAAAACAAACTACCCCGGTTGGCTGAGAGAGGGGAAGCAGAATGCTGCAACAATATCGAAGCACGTCTCTGCAGGTTGGCTATCGGACCACAGGGGAGAGCCGCCACCCACCCCCCGTCTCGATAAATCTCAGAATACTACGCGTATTTGTACACAACTAGTTTGATTGGTGAATAGAACCGTCGACTGAGATGAATTGTTGTATGCTGGTACAGATTTTGAGCAGCGACAAACACCGATGCACCACATGCTTCTCTTTTGTAGGGCGTTGGACCTGCTGAGGATGTTGTGGCCGCCTTGAGCGCATACACGAAGCCGGTGGAGTTGGATTTCCCCTCTTCCCCTCAAATAGACTGCGCAAAGAGTCAGAGGGCTTTCATGTCAAGTCGTGGTGGCAGTATCCAGTATTTGCTGTTCTTTCTGGCACGGCATGTGCATCTGAATGCCAAAAACAGTCTATACAAGAGATTGCACCCAAATGATCATCGCGACTCCCTTTAGCGAGGGTGCGAACATCTAACTGTATGTGTGAGTGCGCGCGCGTGCATACGTGCAGTACTTAATTTGAGTGTTTGGAGTGTTCCCCCCTTTCTCAGGTAGGTGGCGGCCCACCCCTCCCACCCCATTCGCTGTTTGCAGTCTTGTTGGTCTGGGAATTACATGCTGCCGCCAACATGCTCTACCAGGTACCATTCAACGTGCCATATTGCTTCGAATTAAACTTGCGTGAATGCTATTGGGCAGCGCTTATAATTCCTTACAAGCACGTCTTGGGAAAAACACTCCGCCCACGGGCTTCCATGGTTGAAGTGCAGGCTTCGCCAAGCATACGACGACACTACGCGTACCTCGTTTGCCATCCAACATCTTTCCACCGCTACTCGCCGGGAACCCTGGCCAGCTCTCTTAGAAAACACCACTGAACGGACATCGCGTGCCTGGCAAACCCTCTGAGTCCCAACGTGCGACCTGCTCCAAGTATGCGACATCTAAGCCCTGAGCCAAGCCTGAGCCCAAGCTCTTCCCAGACAGCCAATTGTCAACTCTCCAGGCTTTATTCGTTGGGAACCTCCGAAGCACCCCTTCTCCTTGGGCAATAAGCCCCCAAAAGCGAAGGCTGATGGCAAGGGGCTGTCTTTGGAGTGGAGCAGAAGGGGAGGCTTGCCGACAATCCACACTTCGTCGCCATTGAGCGAGACGGTCCTAGGCAAAGTTCTATGAACTCCAGCTTTGAGTTCGACCTCTTGTTCCCAGGTGTTGCATGCATTGCGAACGGAACAAAGTCCAGATTCGATGCTTTCTTCCGCACTGCGGTTCTGCCCCAGATGTGCTTCCAGGAGCCCGTCCACGTGAAATCATGAACACGTACCCACCGTAGAAAGGCTTTCCAACCCAGCAAAACATTCACCCCAAGCACCTCCAACACAACACAGAAACCGCCCCAAGGATACCATCACCAAAAACAAACTCAGGAACCCTGTAACGATCACCCCTAAAGACTGAACCGCTGACTTCTCTTATTCTCACATCCCAGAAATCCCAGGAAAATAACAGCATATCACCTAGCAGCTTAGCATTTAAGGGTTCTTGTCAATGTTGTTTGTTGTCTTCATGGGCGAATTGATGACCGCAAAGCTTTCTCTAAAAGTAACCCGTGATTTTTCTTGCACTCTTGATGTGATCTGGGAAGTGGTCTTACCATTCTGTCTGCCCCTGCTCGTTTTCAAAGTTCGGGGAGATTTCCAAAACCTGCTTCCCCGCTCTGGTGTAGGAAGGGCATTGCGGGAGAAAAAGGGCTAGGGGTGTCGGCGTGAAGGCGTGTAGGGGCGTTACGGACGCCCCCTGGGATCTTCTGCACAGGGGTGTAGTGGAGGGGGGAAGTGCAGTAGCTGATGCTCTTGATGCTCCCCGGAAACGGTCTGGCCGTGCAGGGGGTCCTCATGATGCTTACGATGCTGGCCGGAGCAGTTTGCACAAGCTCAGACCACAATCCGGTCTGGACTTTGCACAGCTTTCGACCACAATCCCGTCTCACTCGGCGCGACAAAGACTGAAACGTCTTGAATGTGAGTTTTGGGGTGGCAAGAGATCCGGATTGCTGAGCAGTTGTCAACCAATGGCCAAACACCCTGCAAACAAGCAGTTGGGAAAACTTCGCACGGAAAGCTTGAAGTAAGTATGAACCTGGAAGATAACAGGCCCATAAACAATAGCGGAAGCATCCTAAACCTGTCGAGAAAGGATAGAACAGATTGGAACTAGAACTACTGGAATGCGCTTGAGGAGACACCATGCAGCAGGAATTGGCCTGTACATCCGTCACAGGCACCAAACAGCTAAGGAGCTGGAAGCGGTAGCTGATGTCTTCGCCTGCCAGTTTCTCAGTTTGATGCATAACTGTTTATTTGCCAAGGGCCAAGGGGCCTGGACTTTAGCATTTTTTCAGGCAGGCATGCTGCCAAATTAAGGTCTTCTGTCGACTGACGATTGCTGTTCCGCAAAAAGCTGCATCTATGTAGTAGGTTGCAGGTGTTCCTGGTAAAGCCCAACCTACATGGTGAAATGGCAAAGTGCCTGCCTAACCCCCCAAAAAGTCATTTGCAGATTTCTGCGCTGCCTTTGCCCAAGTTGGCGAAGGAGCGGGAGACCCATCGTTGGCCTTTGATAGCAAGTGCGTGGCACAGGGCAGCAATCCCAAACCTGTCATGACTCGGTATCCTTGAGCCTAGCTTATCGAAGGCGGCCTCATTTCTGGACAGCCACCTGAAGCTAGCAGCTTGCGCACTGCGAATGACCGCGATGGCACTCAGGGAGTTTAGGGAATGCAAAATCAGCCGCTCAAACCATTGCAGATCAGGCGCCGCCATCCCTGGTCTCGTAGAACAGGGCCCGGGCTCCCACGATGAATCCTGTCAGGCATGCTGTGGCAAACTGCTGCTGCTGCTGCTGCTGCTGCTGCTGCTGCTGCTGCTGCTGCTGCTGCTAGCACCGTGGTTGTTGCTATGAGTGATGGCTTGAAACTCACTCCAGCCACTTCAGATCGAGTTGCCGTGGTTCGGGTCGTTCTCGTCGAAGTCCACGTCGTAGAGCCTACTGTTCTTGCAGCTTCGACCCACAGAAGTTTACTTCAGTCCTCCAAGGCTTCTCAAAACCCTGCAACAGTTCCAGAAAACACCTAGCTGCAGTCCGGATAGGATCTTACAAAACAAGAGGTGTGACTGAGCCACTTGCAAAATGACTTCGTTTGTCAGACAAAAACAATGCCATGAACACAACTATCAAATCCTAGACCATGTCAGATGTTACTCTTACGCTTGATGGGGCGTTGCTGAAAACACTTCACATAGGAGTCAGGCCACTTCCAACACAGCCTTTCCAACCCACGGTTTAACCCAAAGCTATTCCAGTAGGTCTGAGGGGCGTCTCACCAGTGTTGAGATCGTACTGAACCCATTCCGGAGCCACAGCCTCAGGTGCACTTTTGAAACTTCAGGGCATGCAAGACAAACACTTTCCACCGAAGAGTCTTTCTGCGGCCAATCCTGGACCCGCCCCCCCATGCTACTTGTATCAGGAGGCTTCAGCAAATGCCAGAGCCACAAGTCAGAAAACCAGCCCACCCAGAGAAAAAACAATCCAGGCATGTCAGGCTATGCATGGGCTCCGAGGCTGATGGTGAATGTGCCTTTTTTGCTGTTGGCTGTGGCCTGTATGCTTGCCCGATGCCGACGACGGGTGTGCGAAGGCCTCTTGTTGGAATTGGCAAGTCTCGACTTAGGATTTGAGGTTTGGAGGCTGATCATGGCTGCTCTGAGTCTTCTCAGCAAGGGCACCGGCCAGCACCGGCTTGAATATCCTCCTAGGCCCTCAGGTTGGAACGACGACTGCTCGCAGAACAAGACAACTATTTTACTTCGAACATCCCTGAACCCTAATATTTGAATGTGTGGGACGTCCTCCTCTGGGGCTGGGCACTCCAGGGATTCTCTGAAAATCTCTGCGGTTGGGGGGTTGGGCGAGGAGTAGACCAGGAGAGGAGAAGAGTCTGAGAAGAGTGTAGCTCAAAATCTAAAACAACGCCACGCAGAGGGTGGGGAACCAAAGTTTGAGAAGGCCGATACTTCCTGTTCTGCAGCTTTTCCACGGTCCTCTTTTCAGTCCTTCTCAAGACCTCGTTTTGCAGACTCGTCGCAGCCCCTGCAGCTCCCATGTTGGCCAAAGCCATCCCAGCAGCCGTTCCTCGCCTTGGGTTTAGGGTTTAGGGTTTTCAAGGTTTTAAGGGTTATTAGGGTTTAGGGTTCAGGGAGCTGGTTTCAAGGTTGACCAGGAATTGGACAGACATTTTCCCCCAACAGGCAGTAACGTGTGATGATCCCTGAAGTGCGACGACCAGACACCGGAGTGGGTGACATTTTCTGCTGCTTATGGGGCACTCGGATGCTTGCGCATGTGAGCTTTGGGCTGAGAGGGGCCGAGTTCGCGCGGCTTCAACTCACGGTTCGACATTCACAAGTCCTGCTTCTAGCAGGCGCTTCTAGTCTGTTCAGAAAGCTTCAACAGCACACCATACGCCCGGTCACACCAGCTGCGCGCGTGTGACCGCAACCTGAGATGATTCGGAAACGTCCGATGAGATTTGGTGCGAGGTGCTCGTGGCGAAAGTTGCTGAGAGAATGGTTTCCCGCTTGCGGTTTTGGGTCTTTGTTCGCCGGTCTAGGGGTTCAGGAGTACCAAGACCTCCAGGACTGGGGAACAAGTAGTCAGAGGGGATGCCGCGGTTGAGCCTTTAACTAGGGTTTAAAGCGGAAGGCCGATAGATGCTCAGGGTAGAAAGCAATGTTACCCAGGTGGTTTTTTCAGGCTTACTACGCGATGCCGGAAAAGATTTATTAGCGACCTCCTTGCATGATCGCAAAACCCGGTTCTAGCTCGTTGCAACAGCTACCATCGTGATCGGGAGCTTCTGGGCGGGTGCAGCTACAGCAGCTACGGCCAATGACACACGACTGGAGAAGATTCAGGTCCCGCACTTTGTGCATGCAAAGTCCTTAAGTCCTTCGAAACCCCTGGCCTCCACCACCTCGATTTCGGACGGCTGCTCTGGTGCCTGATGAAATGCGGGCGGCTTTTGCTTGGGGCTGACCAACCTCGGAGCTATAGGTTTAGTGTTGGGGGTTGTTAGGGCAGCGCTAGCAGCTTAAGCCCTCATGCCTGGGTCAAGTCAATGTGCAAACTTCTTGGGGGCAGGGCATTGCGCCCTCACACCCCAAAGCCTTCACTCCGAATTTGAGCTGGTCTACTGGCTTAGAGCCGCAACGTGGCCCTGCCTCCAGCTCCTGAGGCACAGGAGCCAGGTCGAGGGCGGAGTTTGCCAAGGCCTTCCAGCCAGAGAGTCCCAGCAATCCATGCACCAAAGTTCAAGTGCCAGACGCGTCTAGAAACTTTAAATGAAGCTGCATGTGTCCACCCGATATGCGCAACGCCTTCAAGAACTTGTTCTCAAGTAGCCCTCAATTCCTACAGGTTCACACCAAACTGAGATCTCCAAAAGCGTTCAAAGCACGCGGCATTGGGGTTTCGACATTTTCAACTGCTTGACTTCATTTAGTCAAGGTATTCCTGGTATTCCTGCTTCACTTCTCAGGGACTCTTGGAGTGCTATCGCATCATCGAAGGTCTGCCCTGAGCTGCAAATAACCCCCCACCGGCTTCCCTCCGAACACCAATTAATAAAATCACCAAAAGCAAGCTGCTAAACCTCGCAAGCGGGCACGTCGCCTTGCTTGGGAGGCGGTGCCGAGTCTGCAGACTCTCCTGAAACTGCTCGGCACTTGTCAGAGCTTAGGCTTCAGATGCTTGTCAGTTTGCTTTCCTCAAAAGCATCATACCATGAGCGGCTCAAGGGGCTCATTGCCATCAACTCAAAGACCCTAATTAAACCCTAAGCCCTAAGCCCTCAGCCCTAAGCCCTAAACCCTTAACCCTAAACCCTAAACTACTGTACCGTCAGAGAATCAGCCTCAACAGCGGCCGATTTTTTCAAGACATCGAACATGGTCTACCAACATCCCACCTTACACCCAAAAACTGTCCAACATGACTGCAACCCTCACTCTCCACACCCAAATCCTAAACAAACTCTTGAAGCCAATCCTTAAAGCCCCAAACTGGGCCACTGAGAGCCCCGGCCCAAGAGCCCTTCGGACCAGGAAAGTGACCCTGGGCATGACCGCGACTACCACTTCTTTGATGTCGGGACACCGAGGACGCCGAGCGTGTGAGGCAGGGTTCGGGGGGGTTTCCAGCCAAGATGTTTACGGGCCCTGCCAGGCCAAGGTTGCGTGTGGTGCCAAAAGCTCCGCCCTTAACATTCGGACTTCCAGATAAGCTCGATAAGCCCGAAGTTGAGTCCCCTGCCTTCTGCCCCTCCGGTTGCCAGGCGAGGAAGCTGAGGCCTCCCGAGTGGATAGTCTTGATTGTTAAGTGCCTCAAATGTCGGATTAATCCAGCTTGTTGACTCCATGAAGCTTGCAGCATGCAAGCTGTGATTTCTAGCGCTCTGTGGCAGCTGACCTGCATTAGAGATGCGGTCAGGTGGCAAGCTTGGCTGTTGTTCTAAGACATAGAAACTAGACATGCTTCGGTCCAATTCGGTAGCCTGCGTAGACGCCAAACACCCGAAAGCGCACACTAAGCACTCCCAACAGCACGGAACCCAGGCGAGAGCACCATGTGCAACAGCAACGCAAACCCCTTCTAGAACGGATCCCCACTTAAGCACCCATAATGAGTCTATAAGCCCGAAGCAAAGTCCCCTGCCCCGGGCGGTTGCCGGGTGACGATATGACTTGTGACTTCGAGGCCCCGTTTCGTGTGCGACGCCGCTGTGGCCATGCATTCTGACTCGCTTACCCCACGCCCCATCCCCCAACATAAGAACCCCAAAGTGTAAGTATTGTTAGGTGAACTGAAACAAGAATTGGGGGGCCGTGCCTTGGGTGCAGGTTCGGGAAGAAGGGGAAGCTTTTGGGATGAGAAATATGTTGAATGCGGCTTCACCTGATTCCTCAGAGTTTCGGGCCCAGCTTTATGGATCGGTCAGGGCACGAGAGAAGGATAGGAACAAGTTGGTGCCTCCCTTGGTAAGAGCCTTAGAACTGCGCAGCCTTCATGGTGCAATTTGAAGACATCCTGGGTTTAGGGTTGAGGGGTAGGAGGCCGCTGCCTGACCACAGCAACAGGCAGGCTGCCGCCGTCAGGAGGAGCGATCGGGAACGAGCCATGGCCAGGAGAGGGAAGGAGAAAAAGTCCTTGATCCCGAGACGCCTGCAGTTCGGCCTCGAAAGTAGCACAATGGTATAAGGAGAATATCTAGAACGTGCGGTGGCTACAGTAAAGAACACGGATTCAAGATCTGGCATAACACGAAATGCGAAGTGCAGTCCATAACAACTCAGGGCTTCGTCTCTGCAGGGCTTGGGAACTTCACGATTTTGCTCGGCTAGGGCGTTCTGGTGGAAGGTCCGCACAGTATTCAAGGGTTTGTCTCAGTTCGGCCGGCTTTAACATGTCTCTGGTAAAGTTGTGGGTGTAAATAGTTGGGCGCTTCAACTCCAGCATTCGTGATTCATGTATGGTCATGAGTTTGCGCACTGTTTGCGCAGGCTGCACAAGCACGTGGAAACAAAGGTCACGCAGCCGTGCAGAAGTCGCATTGCACGCATCTTCTGCCGCCAGAATGCCAGTACGGAGCACACATAAGGGCCAGGACCCGTCATTCGGCTTCCAGTCCGCACGCATTCCTTGCACGAATTCACAGCCCACGGGCACCAAAATGCACCACTAGCAGTTGCACGTAGCGGCTGCTGACCATCGCATCTATGCACAGCCGAGCATGCACAAGCAAGCAGCAGGGCGAGCGCCTTCAATGTCGAAGCCGAGTGATGCGAATTTACTCAATAGCAAGCGGGGTCGCAAGCATTACGAGCTCACGTGCGGCAAAAATGACCGGACTGAGAGCTGTTTAAGGATATTCTACAGGAAAGACGTACGGCGGTGAAAGGACATGCGCTAGCTGCACAAATGGCTAGGCGACAAACATTGAATAGTCTTGCTTTGAGGATCATGATTAACATCATGATGCTGCCAATCTATGTTCCTCAGCAGTTGCCCTTCCGCGCGCTTACCCCCTGAACTCTATCGTGACTCTAAGTGCTCGTGGGGGAGGGCCACGGGGGGGGGGGGGGGGAGGGCCACGTGGGGGGGGGGGGGGGGGGGACCCACCGCCAACAGTTGAGGACGATCAGGGTGTAGGGCGTGTTGCATCATACTTACTCGGCGCTGATTTCTGTCTTCATTCAGTACCCTGTTTGCGGATCTGCTAGACCTGCATGCCCAAGCGCCTCGACCAAATCGTAAGCCATAGATGCATGTATGCCACCTCTACCGTAAGCATATAATACTACAATAATGCAATATCATAACCAACTAATCTCATCCCCCTATATGTTTAAAGGGGGGCCCACCCTCCCCCCCCCCCTCCCCCCCCAAATATTTTTTTTTTTTTTTTTTTTTTGGGGGGGGGGGGGGTGTTTTTATCCAAATGTCATGTTTGGGGTCCAAAGGGCTTAGGGCTAGGGTCTAACTAACTAGGCTTCAGGGTTTGGAGGGTTTGGGAAGGGATGTTGGTTGGTTTCAGGCTTTTTGGGAGCCCTCAACCCACCCCCCAATTCGGAATGAACCTTAAAAGGCAGGGTCGGTTTCGGCAGGATTTTCGGAAAGCGTTTTTATAATTAGGGCTCCGTTAATGCCTGGGGGATGCGACTAATAATTTCATATCAGAGAAGTACAACCAGATATTAATACTCCGAAAGCTCGCTGCCGAGGCTGTCCAAGTTGCAGGGCGCTCGAGAGCCTGTCACAGAACAACCCCTGCAATGATTACCGTAGGTTGCAAGATGCTGGTGCGACTGGGGGGTTTCCAAAAATTCCCAAATTCGGGGGTACCGTATCACTGGGCTCCGTATTCTACAGGAAGCTTGCTATTTGGGGGTCTAGATTAGGGGTCCCTTCTCGTAAACCGTAAACCCCCACTTCTTGCTTTTAAGGTTTCAGGTTCGGGGTCAGGGCCATTTAAAATAGGTTCCGGTGAATTCTTCGGACTCTACATGGAGCACCACCCTGGGCCTTTGCAGTTGACCCGAAGATACCCTAGACCCTAGACCCTAAACCCTTTTTTGCATCCGGACTCCTGCGGGTGCTGCCAGAAACTGCACAAGCACAGGCTTCCAGTGCTACCCTAAACCCTAAACCCGAAGCTTGTTTGTGGAAGGACGCTTGGTTGCAACTTTCAGTCTGTTCATGAACACTACTGGAAACTACGTGCTTACATGCATTGGTGTTCTCTTCGGGACGGCCTTATCCTCCCAAGGGGGGGCCAAACACCTTGCTTAGCAACTTATACGTCTTCTCAGCATGTCGCCTTTTGGGTCTTCGGGTGGCTGTCTTCTCACCAGGTGGTTCAGGGCTCACCGCCATGTAGAGTTGCCCAACATCTCCTTTTAGGGTTCGCCGCCTCCCTGCAGCCGAGTAGGAGAGGCATGGGGTAGACTTGAGAGGAGCACAAAAGTTGCAAGTGAGCATGCAAAAGCTACCTCTAATAATCCAAGCAAACCAAAAAAGGCACAACCAATCTAGCTGCCAGGAAATTGCCAAGATCACTCTGAAGTGGGAATGACTCCTGCACCTCCTTTTTATCAACCATGCCCGGCGTCTGAGTTTAGAGCGCTCTCTGGCAACTGGGACAAGGAAGCTCGGGCCGGGAACACGACTGAGGATGCAGCCGTGGAAGCTGCAAGCAGGTGCTAGGCTACATGATGCGGGGCTTTCTCGATCTGATCGATCTCTAGCTCCACAAGTGAGATGTTCATGACTCACCTGTGCAGCTAAGAAAAAAGGCGTACTGCCATGCCCCCCACCTGCATGGCCCCAAATGAAGCCCCAAAGCTGTGCCTCGCCCGACAATACGATTGGAACAAGGCACTTTCTGATACATCCCAAGTGTGAGGGTCGTGGCTCCAGCTTCTGCATGGGCAGCATGTTTGCATCTGATGTTTCGGTCGTGGGATTCACGACACGCCTCGACGCACGCACTGCGCACGTGAGGGCATGGGGCAGTTGAGAGTATCAACGCTCAGGCGTGTAGGGCCTGTGTAGTGTTCGAGAGCTTAGGGAGCCGAGCAACTAAAAGGACATCTGCTTAGCAGTACGTCCCCGGGTGTTTGACAGCCGCACGTGACAGGACAGATTTGGGCCAGCGGCTTGAACAATGTGCTCAAGCCCTCACAGTAGCTGGCGCCGGTGGGAGAATCAAAGCCCATCACGTCAAGATATGCACAGCCTTGGGTTAACATACCCTGGATGGTAGTGTTCAGGTCGTTCCACAAAAGAGTCTGCTCTATCGCTTGCCCATAGAAAGCGGACACAGCACCTGGATAGGTGTTCCAAAAAGCATACCAACTTCGGTTCTCCTCGTCGTCCACGCAGGGGACCACATTTCTGGCTTTCCATGATGCCTCGATTAGGCAGGAGTTGCTGCAGCCCTGTGCCTCAACCTTGTACCACGGGTTGGAAACGGGATTGGTGCAGCCGCAGGTCTCACCGCAAACCAGACGCAGAAGGGTGGCGTCAGGCCTGTCGCAGAGGTCGCTAAGCTCCTGACAGCTCGAAGACATCTCACGCTGGAAGGTTAAACCGGCACTCCTTAATAGGACGTCCACCATTGGGCGTAGTGTCGGATCATTGCGGAATAAGGCGTTCTCTTTCAGGACCATAGTTTCCATGCACAGCGGGTATTGCCTGGACTTCTCGCTCATGGTACGCGAACGGTCTGCTCCGAAAGCACGTCGGTTCGCAGAGAAGCTGATGTAGGACGGCACAGCTCCAGGAGTTGTCTCTGGTGAGTTGGCGATGTGAAACTTCACGGCCGTCTCCATTGCTGTCAGGTTGCGGTCGTCGGCATCCTCCACTGATGGATGCGTTTGTAATCCAACGATTTCTTGAGTCTCCCGGTTGTACGAGACCACAAATGTCTGGTTTCCCCCGCACAACTCGTTCTTCACTGTCTGCATTGTATGAGATAATGGAACCAAGAGAAGGCTGTACGACATCAGCACCGTCGCCACGATGAGACTCAGGTGCACGAGAGTCTCGCACTGGCTGCGGCGTCGACTGTACTTGACTGAGATTGGCTCCAGGCTCTGCACGGCATGCGTTATCCTGATGGGCGTCATGCCAGCGAATAAGAACTCATCAACATCCAAGATGGCATTCAAGGCAACAGCATTCAGCATAAGCTCTTCGATGGAAGTTGTCCGGGCCAGCCAAAGAATTCCTGCCACCAATAAAATCGAAGCAATTGCAACTCTTGCCTCGACTGAGAGTTAGTCTGCAATCGAAGTTCAGCCTTACAGACGAAGATCACAGGCTTTCTAAGATTGCGCAGGCCCTGAAAGAAGAAAGGGCTGAACCCTAAGCAGCCAGGTGGCCATATATGTCACGAGGAGCATGCCATAGCGCCCCCACGAAATGCTGGTGAACACGTGGTTTCTCAGCACCGTTCCTCGGCTCCACAGCGACTCCAGAAATAGCCAAGCTTGATGAACCAAACACTAATCCAGCCCAATCTCCTCCCCTCCGCCAAGGCCTAACCCCCCCCCCTCCTCCCCACCCCACTCGGGCTGGAAGCTACGCGAACAAATCAAAGAGAGACACAATGCTGGTCAGTCTGACTTCTGCGTGCTTTTGGAATCTGCACTGTGGCCTCCAATGATAGCCATACTCGGCGGATCTCCTGCAACGTTGCCCCGCCTAGGACCACCCACCACCACCACCGCCGCCGCCACCACCACCACCACCACTACCGCTTCTGGTGCTATAGTGCTACAAGTTACTGTGCTGCTGCTATTGACTACTACAGCAGCTAGTACCTGCAGCAATACCTCCACTGGTACTGCCTGCTACTGCACTGCTACGACGATGACTTGCCACCACCTAAAGTGCATTCGATATTTGGCACCCCGCTTTTCTCCATTTTTCAAGTCACCACAAGTTCACACTGACTTCCGGAGAGTCTAGCTTTAGGAAATGGCTAGCATCGACAAGATTGACCTTTTGGTTTAAGATGAAACGGCTCACTGTGCATATGGCATAAGCCTTTATTGTTTTGAACGATGCCTTGGCATGCATACTTTGTTGTGAGACATGTCATAATCTGCACGGGTTATGCTTTGCATTACATTGCATACAGCTTCAGCCATCCAGCCTTCCGGTTAAGGCCTCGAAACAGAGCAGCAAGTTGAAAGCGATACGTAGGAGTACAACGACGACAACTAGTACCAGAAAGATCTCAACTGCTACGACGACGACGACGACGACTACTACTTCTACTGCTCCCGAAAAAGTGCAAAATGGGTCCGTGCAGTTAAACCTAGGGAGTTCAGGCGCACCTTTACGATTGGATGCCACAACCCCTGTGATACTACCTGGTCCCACCAGTCATGGACACGAGTTCTCATACAAGACACTGGTTTTAAGGGGCTGCTTTCATGTTGCACTACTTTGCCGTGGTTCTCGCCCGTCTGCAAATTATACTTCTGGCTCGTGCTGACAGACCCGGGATCGCTTTTCCACGATCCGGTGTTAAGAAGAATTGAATTGATGGTGACCCATCTGCTGGTAGGCTTCAGTTCGGCGGCTCAGCACTATCGCATTTACCTCCTACACCCTATGCACAGTGCAGGTCTCGGTAGGTGGGAGCTGCCAAAGGTTTCCTGATTTGCAGTCCTTGTAGACGCACAAGCTCCACAAGAGAATGCAGAGCACACAAAGCATCACTCCAGTTTGGAAGGATTGAGGAGCCAGATCAGCCTTGCCCAGCGACAAAAACTTGTTGATCCTCGGACAGGTTGCGGCTCGATGATGCACACATGTCACATGCACAAACAAGCAAGAATGCAAGCAAGCAACCAACTACAACACAAACACCGGCACAACACCCCTGCCCCCGCCCGCCTGCCCCCACCCGTGCATGCAACAAGCCCCCACCAATAATAGCCACAGCCACAATAGAATCACACCAACAAAAACCACAATAACGGAACAAGCAACGAGAGCCGACAAGAGCCGAGGACCGGAACAAGAACAAGGACGGCGCCCAACAAAACAGCGACAATTGCATACTTCGAGCGTGGGATACTCTGTGGAATTGTCTGGATTCTCTGGTGTGGTGGATTTGTGAGAGCGGGCACCGGGATACTAGGATTCTCGAGACCTGGACAAGGCGAACGGGGTTAGGAGTACAGGAGAACGGGCGGGGGGAATAGCTGAGAAAGAATCTCTAACAACCCCCACACCGAGGCGAGGGACAAGAAAACAAATAAATACCGATCACGCCATGTAAAAAAGGCTGCCGAGATCACGTCTGAGGTGCTGCTCGACGAGAGTCGCCTGTTCGGGGCGCTCGCATGTATGGAAACCCTCTAAGGCTTTCGGTTCTACCCTATCAAAGGATGGTAGAGGGCATATGCGGAAGCGTGCAGAAATGCCCTACTATCGTCAACAATGGTTCGACGCTCAACGGTACTGGATGCCAGACATGCATGGTTGCTTTGGAAGCAATGTTGCGATTGCTATTGCCATTCCGGCTGCGATTGGAGACTTGGTGACAGAGTGGCCCACCTACTTCAAGAACACTACTGACATGAATGTTGGGATGTTCCCCCTTTTACTAACAGTCCTGAATAGAGATTGAAGTACCCCCTATTTTCCTCCCTATTATGGACTGTTAGTACAAGGGGGAACATCCCAACAGGAATGCTTTAAAGTCATTGATGTAAAGCGATCGGTCATGCAGGCAGGCCAAGCTCGAATTCTTGTGGATGAGAATCCATGGGTCCAGGGGGGGCTTGAGAATGCCTCGACCTCAAACAGTGCAGATGCCTCGTGCCGTGCATCAACTGCTGTCGAGATGTCTGCATTTCACAAACAAATCGCAAACATGGTGTGCCACAGTCCTGGATTTTGCTTCTCAGGATTCGGGGATGCAAGTTGAGGCAGAAGTCCTCAAACCCTGAACACTCCCGCACTGATGTGAGCTTCGGGTTGAGAGGCACTCGGTCCCTGATCAGTTGCACCCCAGATGAGCTCCGGCCTGCTGAGTCGAAATGATGAGCGCGCCGTCTCCGGCACAAACCCGAGACACCAAACTGGTGCCTGAGGAGACATGATCAGACTGAACATGCAACCCCGCTGTCCAATCAACGAGCTTTGATGCCTTCAGGCTATGGAGGGATGGCTTTACAGGCCTCCTAGATCCAGGTGGGCGTCGTCATGTGCCACGCTGGTCCGCCAAGTTTTCGCACTGCCCACCTGGCGGCATAGATCGTCTAACATCATCTGGTATCGTATATGCCTTTTTGCCGTGTTCACCTTTGCCAACAGCTGAAGATGGCTTGAACCCTCCCCCTGAACCCTGAGCCCTTAACAGCTACCCAAAAGTGGCTTCAAACCACAGCCCGAATTCTAGCAGAGCGCTCAATGACAGGGTGGTTGGCGCGCGCCGGAGGATGAAGGGCAGGCTTCGTGCGTCAGGGGCGAGCCTTCGTGTCGAAGCTGTCGCCCATGAAGCTGTCAGACAGCAATACGCCTGAACCGGGCGACTGAAAATGTCGGCTTCTATTTTCACTACAAGGGGGCATTGCGCATCTAGACCTGCGCGCTAGTATCCGCCCAGAAATCCAAGCATCTACGCTCACTTGTTTCTTTGTTTAGCCGGTCCGGCGCCTTTGCTAGCTGTGGACAACGAAACTGACGGAACCACGTATTCAAGTTGTAGGAAGGGCCAGATTTATGAAACAAGTAAGGAGCTTGTACTGTTTCCTGGAAAATGAGGCCCCATTGGCTTTTTTGCATCACCTGGCAACAAGGAGCGACATGGCGCGCGCACGGCCACACACACGCACACACACAACGGTCGAGTAAAGGCCCCGCGGCCTCAGGCCAACATGCCGTGAGCTCAACAACTATACTGGAGATCCGCGGAATAAAAGTATCTTCTCCCTTTACGGCTCTAGCCTACGGCTCTAGCCTTTGGAACAACGATAACAGTTCTAACTTAACGTAAGCCAGATTGAGCATCCGACCCTGAAACAAGCCTCGACATCAGGGCAACACACAATCTCACGGCCTGAGAATGCAACTTGCATGCCGAAGTTGACAAGCACCTGGTGCTGAGTGCTTGTATAAGTAGGTCGCCTAGCTGTGCCAAAGGTGCACAACTAACTCGGTCACACAAGTTCCATTTCATCCCCACAGTAGTCTCGCTAAATCCCCCAACTGCTGCAGGACCCCATCTTGCTTGACATATCCATCAACTCTGATCACCTTCGTCATCTGTACTTATATACCTGGAACCGATCTTCGTAACGTCGTAGCTGTATGTTAGGAGCTCCATAGGCCCTAGGCAAGGGTAGGCAAGGTGGATAAGAAGGCACAGGCGCCAGCAGCAGGGCGCAAATAGTGTCGAACCAGCCGACATCAGCCAAGCCAATGACCACCGGGATGCTCCAAGCACCTTCTGGATTTCTCTAAGTCATTGTGTACTTTGTACTGCACTTCGCACACACAAGCCGCATGGGACTTGGGGCTCCAAACCCACTTGTGCAAACTAAACACTAGACAAACTCTTGCCGGAGCTTTCTCGGACCAACTACAGCTTACGTGCCCAACAACGCGCATCTTCATGGACTGCAAACAGGAGCACTCTCTTCGAAACGAACCGGCGTCAGCTTCTCCTCACGCGTTGCTTGCGGAGGAAGGCCCTTCTCGATGCCGCCGTTCAAGCTCTTCCAGACATTGGGATTCTCGTGCTCGGTGCTTGTGGTGGGCTGCTCCTCGGAGCTTTCGTGAGGTGCTAATATCCCAAGCTGTGTTTCCACTGCCTGCAGCCGTGCCAGGATGCGCGGGATCTCTGATTGGAACTGGTCACGTAGGGCAGCCAATCCTTCAACTTCAACAAGGTTGGATTCTGGAGGTACCTCAATGCGGATACTTTTGGTGACTTCGCCGGATACCTCGCTCGCCTCAGAATACGTCTCTGATGTGGGAACCGCAGGCGTCGGCATGAGCACTGGTGTTTCGAGGCTAATTTTAACTGCACCAGCTCCACCCTGCAGTTCAACCGAGAAATACACCGCACAAATGCTGTGCAATCTCGGACTAGTCAACAGATTCGGCTTTTGAGAGGCTGTGACTAAGTTGTGACCGTATCAGAAGCCTGTGGTTCATGGTGCTAGCCTGTGTCGGCTGTAGCTCATGTTCCACATGTGAAACTGTACCATGCAGCCTCGAGCAAATTACCGTCGAGTCAGATAAGGGAGCGGCGACCAAACGGCAGTGTAAGCACTTGCCACTCGATCGAAGGTTGACCGTGAGTTTGGTGCTTCAAGGCGGCAGCATTGCCGAGCTGCATCCCTCAAATCCCAAAATGACCAAGACATCAAGAATCAAGACTAAACCTGTCTATGTTCAGCATTGAAGGAACTCCGGGCGCCCTTCAAAGACGAAGCCAAGCAAGGCCTGGACGGACAACTTTTCCAGGTTGCGTTGACTTGCTCAACTCTTCTGCTACCTGCTTTGAGGAGCAGGATCTGCCGCATCACTGCTGTTGGTTATGCAGCTGGGGGGACAGTACGAGTGCGTTTGCGATGGCTTGTCGCAGCCGCATGTTTGTGGACAAAAGGGTGACAGTGGGCGGAACAGGTCTGGCAAACCCTCGCACCATGCAGCACCGGTCAAGATGTCTACAGGAAAGCGGGTCAGAATTGGGCATCCCCCGACGCGTAGGGCCGCAATGACTTGTTGCGTCCGCCTGAAGGCCTCTGTGTCCTGAACCCGCTGGCCAAAGTGCGCAGACAAGGCGGAAGGATAGCGATCCCAGAATGCACGCCACGTATCATCCACAGGCGCATCCTGGCAAGAGCGGTTTTGCAAGCTCTGCTGCGCAAGTTCGAGGCAAGCTGCGGAGCAGCCTTGAGCTTCAACCTTGTACCAGGCCGAGCTGAGTGGATCTAAACATCCGCAGGTCTCCCCGCACACCAATCGTAGCAAGCGCCCGTCTGCTGAGTCACAGTCATCCTTCAATTCTTCACAGCTTTGCACGCCTGTACGTCCCACACTGGCTGCTGCTGAATTGAAGAACACGTCAGCCAATCCCTGCAGTGTTGCATCTGCATAAAACTGACCATCCTCATTCAGTAGGGCGGTTTCTAGACAGAACGGGTAAGTGCTGGCCTCTTCCCGCATGCTGCGTGATATATCTTGTTGAAACATATCTTTGGAAGGAGAGAACCTGATTGTACCTGAAACAGCCTCTGCCAATGAGTTCTTGAATTCCTGAACTGCAGCCTCGCTAGCAGAAAGGTTCCGTGCATCACGGGAATCGGCTGTGACAAGTCCAATCGTCAGCTGCGTCTCTGCATTGTAAGACACCACAAACTTCTGGATGCCCCCACAAAGCTCGCTCTTAACAGCCAGCATGGTGTCACTCAAGGGAACCAGCAGCAGAAAATACGAGGTTAAAACTAATGCCAGCAGAGAGCTGAAATGCAAGAGCGACTCACACTGACTTCGGGCGCGGCTGTACTTGATCTTCATTGGTGCCAGCGTCTGTATCGCATGCTGGATCTTGACGGGTGTCATGCCGGCAAACAGGAACTCGTCAATGTCCAGGATGGAATTGAGAGCCACCGCATTCAACATCAATTCTTCGATAGACGTGGTGCGAGCTAGCCACATTACTCCGCCGAAGAGCAGGACGGATGCGATAGCAACGCGTGCCAGGTACGTGACCAGGAGAATGCAGAACCGGCCCCAGGACATGTGATCGAATGAGTTGTCACGGAAAATGGTCCGGCAAGACCTGGGAACTGCCACGACTGCTTCCAATTGCAGCCAGATGCGGCGGAACTCCTGGGCAGGACAACAAGCATGCAGCTGTCGTGGCTCACCAGACATGTTGACTTGCCAACTTTTTCTGTTCTCTGTTTGCACAGCTCCAGCGATCATGCAACTGCTAGGCTAAGGTGTGTTTCTGGTGCTGGGCTGGGGGACACACAACACTGAATGTCGAAGTGGTCCATGCCAGTCCTTGTACACGCACAGGCTCCACTGAATGATGCAGAGCATGCACAGAAGAACCCCCGGCTGGAAAATTGATCGTCCAAAATCATCTGCTTCCAGCCCGAGGAAGCTGTTGATGTGCTCCACCAAAGTCGCCTGGTTTGTGGAGAGAATCAATGCACCATCTCCAGAGCACACTCTGGACACCAAGCTCGTGTCGGCCAAGTCCATGTACTTGTGGTCATGCGCAACACTTGTCCGCCAAACTTTTGCACTGTCTACCTGGGATTCGAAGCCATCACCAATGAAATCATCCTTGGAGGCTACGCCCGACAACTCAAAAGGGCGCTGAAACCTCCGCCGAACGGCCTTCGAAACCCTTAAGGCGTGAAAAAAGCTTCCTAGATGCTGAAAGCCCATTTGAGCAGCAGTGAGGAGCACCCAGGAGAAGGCTGCCTGCATGCCCAAATTAAGGAGCACCAGCATGCCAGCGAAGAGCTTGTCGAAGCAGCCGACGTCCACGAGACCAGATACCACGGGAATGCTCCAGACACTTTCTTCGAAGTGCACCTCGGAGAACTCCTCGAAGGACTCCTCGGCTCTCCCCACAGGCTCTGCGATGACAGTGTCGCCCCGAGTGTCGCCCCGAGTGTCGTCCGAAATCACCTGAAGGTCAACCTCGTCGAAGCCGGCCTCATGTTGTGGTGGGCTGTTCGGCTCGCAGTCCGTGCTGGATCGCCTGACCCCTATGTGTGACTCCAACACTTCTAGCCGCGCAAAGATTTGCGCCATGTCAGAGCAAAGCTTATCCTGCAGAAGGGTGTGAATGCGGGCCATGTCGGCCTGCATCTGATCTTGCAGCTGACTTAAATCCGCGTCTGGCCCGTGTCGCGTGGAGGGCATCTCTACCAAAACGCTGGGCACAGTCCACCCAACCTCCTTGGCATCAGTTCCGCAGCAGGAAGTGCAAGCTGCGGCCATAGCGCGGTTCTATGGCCACGCTCTCTGCACAGAAAGGCAGGGAACGACAATAGAAATATCCTCAAGGTCTCACTAGCAGTCACTAGCATGAGAGGTCCAGTCAGGGATGACTTGCTACCACAGTGTGCCACTGTGCCATGTTCTCCGTTTCTCGGCGTCTGTGGTGTCAGAATTCCTCAGAACAATGAGTTGCAAAAAAAAACGCACCACCTCTTCGCGCACTGGGCCTGTCAAGCCAAGCATGTTAAGCCTGGCGCTGACAATTCAGCAATTTCAGCGGCAAGCTGTACTTTTGGAAGCCGATGCAATAGCATTCTTAAGCTCCGGTGTGCAATATGGCCTTTCGGGGCAATTTCATGAAACATAAGGGGGTTTGCGAAAATAGGGGTACCTTCTTGGGATACAGGAATCCTACTATTCCGTATTAAGCGGTCTCCGTATTTCGTATAAATCCCCATATGGGATGAGGAGATTACACTGATGACGGTGATTTCGTTGATTAGGATCGACGGCCTGGTCAGGGATTCGGGTAGCAGCGGGTAGCGGCGGGTAGCAGGAGAGAGTGCAACAAAGACCCCTAAAGAGACAGCAAGCTCCGCGAGCACGTCATCGACATTACTGCCCATCCGTGGCTCTACGTCTTTGATCGCCCAATCTGTTAGAGGGTGCCGTCTAAAGACAGAGTCGATGATGTGGAAGGCTTAGGCCTTAGGGGCTGAGGGACTGATGCTCGGTGATGCTCGCCGCGGCTGCACTTTGAACGAATGGGCCCTTGCATAGGCATGCATACCACACCACACAAACATGAACAGCAGCAGGTAACAGGCATGCCCCGAGCCTATCTCCTGCCCCTGCGTCCACTGCATGTTGGGCCTGCCTGCATCTGAAAGGCTTATGTCCCCAAGGTCTTGCTGCAAGGTGCAAGGTTTTGGGGCGAGGGTTCCAAGTCGTGACTAATGGGGGCACCCAGCGGCAGACTGAACTCGATCATAACCCCAGATGCTTGTCTGATCAGCTACTGCAAGTGTGTGTCGAAGGGAGGAAGGAAGCAAGAATCGATTCAAGAATGGTCTGCTTAGCAGCAAACAACAGATCACAACATCAGGGAGGCGCAGTGTACGAGCATCATGTCCATAACCGAAAACCTTCTGTCGATCCGCGGTTTTCGGGGTGGCCAGCGGATGCCAGCGGGCTACAAGCAGGTCTGCTTGGCAGGTCTGCTTGAAGGACCGTGAAACATCGAACCTTTAAGTGCATCTCGACATTACGCGGAAGAGTTGCTGCCAGGCGGCCTCATGCAACTCGGTGGGCAATAGCTAGGAAGCTCTGCATCGGCTGTGTTGCAGCCACATGTCACAGGGCACACCACAGCAAGTGGCCGAAACAAAGATGGCATGCCTTGGCACCAAGAGGCACCGGTCAGAAACTCAACTGGATCTTGTGCAAGAGCTGGGCAGCCACCAGCTAGCATCGAATGGATCGTTCGGTTCATATTCAAATAAAACGTCGTTTGTGTCACGTCGCGTCCATAGAATGAAGAAAGTACCGAAGGATATAGAGTCCAGAATGATCGCCAGTCCTCATCCGGTGGCATGTCCTGACAAGTGCCATTTTGCAGTCTCATCTGCGCAACCTTGGGTTTCCAAGACTTGGACAATCTGATGAAACAGAGGGATCGCCAAGCTGACCGAAGCCCCGCAAAAGACCGAACAACACTGAAACAAGTTGACATGTTGACAGAGCGACTCTTAGGCAAGCAGTAGCGCAGCCTTGAGCTTCGACCTTGTACCAGGCAGAGCTATACCTCGAATTCGGATTAGGGCTTCGAATTTCAAGACATTGAATGCCATAAACACACTCCGACCGTGTGTTTGTCTTAATTAAGTCTTAAAGCTTTGCCCTTCGCAAGTCCGACTTCTGCCCTTCAGCCTCGCAGGCCCATTAGCAAAGACGGGCCTGATGATCAAGGGTTTAGGAGTGACATGGAGTCCATGGAGTGACCCTCAACATCCAAGCTGAAATTAGAGCCCTGGTGCGGGCTCAAACATCCACAGGTGTCACCGCATATGAGCCGCAGGAGACGCCCGTCGAAGCTGTCACACCTCAGGTGGAACAACGATCTGCAGCCGCAAGTTTCCATGGAATCACGTGTCGTCGTCGTGGTTTGTGGCGGTTGCGGCTGTGAATGTGGCTGTGGAGGCGGTGCCAGCTTTGCAACAGTGTTTGCCGGGCTCGCATGCATCCTGCATCAACTCCGAACAATCTCAGAGCATCTCAACAGACCTGAGACCGAAATCCCAAACCATAAGCCGCTCAGTGCTTTCTCACAAGGCTTCACGCTACAAATGAAAAGCCTGATCCAAAAAACTGTCCGAAGGGTTGATACCGCCTGCTTTTGGATGAGCCTCTTTCTAGGCAGCTTTACGTCGAAAAACACTTTTCGCATAGTAAGGCTAAGCCTTATCCCACAAGGTTTACAGCTGCTGTACGCAATTTACTCGATCCAGACGAGGCTCTAGAACAGGTCAAGCTTAAATATCATTTTTCCCGGACCCTCCCGGCACCCAGCCCAATGCTAAACCTGTTTGAGAATTGGGGGGGGGGGGGGTCGAGGGCCTCCGCCCTTGAGTTGAGCTGTTAGGGTTTTCAATGAGGGTTTAGGGCTTAAGGCTCAGAGGATTTGCAAGGTTTAGGGCTCGAGGCTCAGAGGGTTTAATTTGGGTTTAGGGCTTAAGGCAACCCTAACTGAACCCTGAACCCAAAACCCCAAACCCTAGACCCCCTCCTTCTCTCCCAGGCTTCAGATTTCAGGTTTTCGGGTTTAGGTCCCCCTAATTTTGTTTTTTTCCGGCCGAGGCGAATAGTAGAATTGGGGGGGGGGGGGGGGGGGGACGGTTTTAGTACTAGGGGGAGGATTACTACCGTACATGAACGTATCCCTGCGTTCAAGGTGCAGGTCAGCCAGCTCTGAGCAGTTGCGTGCATCTGCACGCCCAACACTCAGAGCAGCCATGCCAATTCGCTGCTCAGCCATGAGTTGCATGCTGGGATCGTTGTAGAGTGGATTGCCAGGTTGTGTGACGGTCTCCACGCAGAAGGGTGTCATAGCGGCTTCTTGGGCCATGCTTTTGGTTCTGTCCGCCTGAAATAAGTCTTTGTTGGCAGAAAATGTGAGATACACGGGTGCAGAACCGGGGGTGGTTTCAGGCGACACAGCTTTATGATTCTGCACCGCGATCTCACTGGCAGAGAGAATGTGATAGTCACGGGTCTCTGCCGTGTTGAGTGCGAAGGTCTGCTGGGTGTCGGTGTTATAAGAAACTACAAAGGCTTGGTCTCCTCCGCAGAGCTCGTTCTTTACCGCTAGCATGGTCTCGCTCAAGGGCGACAACAAGAGATAGTATGACAGGAACACAAGCACAAACAAGGATGCAAGATGTACTACGGATTCAGACTGACTGCGACGGCGGCTGTACTTCACCTGTATAGGCTTCAAATTCTGCAAAGCGTGCTGGATCTTGATGGGTGTCATGCCAGCAAATAAGAACTCATCCACATCCAGGATGGCATTGAGAGCCACGGCGTTCAACATCAACTCTTCAATCGAAGTGGTGCGGGCAAGCCAGAGTATCCCAGCAAACAGCAAAACAGTAGCAATCAAGCTACGTGAAAGGAAGGTGGCCAGGAGTAAACAGAATCGCCCCCATGACATGCTGACGAAAGCATTGTCTCGGAAAACGGTTCTCTGCTGCTTGGGAAGACCCCAAACAGCCTCTAACTGCAGCCAAATCCGACGGAACTCCTGCACACATGGGCTCAGATGATAGCTACTTCTTTCTCACTTATGCATCTGCAAGGAACAGGCGTGGCAGCTACATTGTTGAGGACACTATGAGCATGCGGCATGCGCTGTCCAGCATAAGGAAACTTGAACACCGAATGATACCGCTCAACAGCATGACACGTGTCGGCAAATTTAAGCCCTGGCCAGGCGATAAAAAGGGGCTGGGTCAGATTGATAGCTACATTGACATCATGTACAGAAAATCCTGTAAGCCCTTCACAATCTAGTTTATGCCCCCACCACGCAGTCCTTGTACACGCAGAGCGTCCACAAAATTATGCAGATCATGCTGAGAAGGACGCCGGGCTGGAACAATGAGTGGTCGAACTGCCCCTTGTCTAGGCCGAGGAAGCTGTTGATCTGATGGATCAGGGTTGCCTGTGTAGTGGACAGGATCAGTGCCCCGTCACCTTTGCAAACTCGGGACACCAAGCTTGTGTCTGCCAGGTCCATGTACTTGTAGTCGTGCGCGACACTGGTCCGCCAGATTTTCGCGCTCTCCACACGTGTCTCGAATGGCTCACCAATGAACGCATCCGTAAGGAGCACCCAGGAAAATGCAGCTTGCATCCCAAAGTTGAGCAAGACCAGAATGCCACCAAAGACACGGTCAAAGCCACCCACATCGATGTCAACGATGCCAGCCAAGACCGGGATGCTCCATGCGCTTTCCTCGAAATACACGTCGGTAGACTCTAAGTCTGCTTCTCCAGAGTTGGCCTCAGCTAGCGTCTTGTGTCTGTGACGCCAAAACAACATGCCGAAACAGTGCATTTAGATGCACCACCAGTGAAGCAATCACTTCCCCTGTCCCGAGGACGTGCATGCCAGCATCGTGGGGCATCTTCGGAAGCGCTTCAGAAGTACGGAACAAATCATGTAGCAGCAGTCTCAAGCCGTCTCGGGGATCATGGATGTATGGAGGCACGTGTCGGAGGTGCGATCTACATGATGGAAGTCCTCAGAAACACTGTGGATCGCTGTCGAATGTCGGGGAAGCACTGTCCCGAAGATCGCGACCATCCGCAACACAGTTGTCGTGTTCGAAGTGTTGGCACTATGGGGTTCTTTTGCTTACTTAACGGAACTCAGTCGAGGGGTTTGCCTCGGTATGAAGTGCCTTGTGATGTTTGGGGGCTCAGTTTGTAGATGTTTCACCAAAAAAAGTGCAAATGCTTCGGTGTTACAGTGGAACCTTTGTCTGAGAGTTCAATTACCAAGATGCCTCTTTCTGTGGTGCCAACTCGTTCACATCAACCTTGCAATTGTCCATCGTCGCCCCCTGCCATGTGCTGACGATGATCCGCCACATGAAGCTTCTCTCAAATCTTTACCCAAGATCCCGCCCAATACTGCATGCCATGGCCAAAACACTCTACATTCGCATTATATATATATACACTTGATGAACTCAACCTCTGCACTACGCAACCTGAGGGAACTCAAATAAGGACTTAAGAAGGCAATTTCGCAGCACCTGCCAATTTAGTAACGAGCCCTGAGTGCACAAAGCATCCTTTCGACCTGTTGCTCGTTCGGCCCGGGTAATCAGGCGCATGCAGGATGGCGAGTAATCCAAAGAATATTTACATACTTTGATCATCTCCACCTTAAAGCACTTAAGAAACAAAGGTTCGGTTCATGGAGAGGGCCAGCTGGGGTGGAGGAGCAGAGGCGTGCCGAATACAATCTAGAGGCAACAACCTGACGGGCGTGACTGAGATTGAAGATTCCCAGCGAAAAGAAAGCCGCACGCCACCCTGAAAGATCCTCACACAGTACACTCATTGGGACACTGATTAGGACACCTCCCATAATCGATGTCCCTCGTCGCGAGGCCTCGGCGCCGACGTTGCTGTTGCCGAGGTCTGGGTGCTTACGAGCTTCCAAGGCCTTCCCGGGCTTTGGGATGCCTGCTTGATGGCTAGGAAAAGCTTGCTTTAGAACTAACTCCTCTAGTTGTTGGAGAATTTGGTGGTTTTAGGAACATTTGGTAGTTTGAAGGCTTGAGGGAAGTCCCAAGGGCCGAGACATGAGCGAATGGAAGCGACGAGAATGTGCATCGCCCGCCCAGCCCGTGGACGAGCGCCCACCTGTCAACCGGCTGCGAACGACGTACTCCCGATCTCGCTCACCTCCTGTCGGCCTGCATCCCCCTGCCCATGGACCAACCATCCACCCGATCTCACTCAGCTTTGCAGCCTGCATCCAGCCAGTTTCACTCCTCTCCAGTGCCCGAGATCTCCCACCTTGCCTGTCGACCCCCGCCCGTCCACCTGCGTCTTTGATTTACAAGGATTAGACATGAGAACCCAAGGGCCTTTTCCGGATCAAAAGTCATCGCGCCTGCAGTCGCTCGCGGACCTGTCCAAGATCCAACTCAAACCTGAGCTCGCAAACTGGTCTTGTGCTGTCCGTTGGGCGGGGGCAGATGGGAAAGGGATGCCTGTGTGGCAACTAGTATTAATGTCACCGCAAGGTCATAAGTTGTTTGACAAGGGCTCGGGTGAAAACCCCAATAAAACTGCTTACACCAAGAACCCAACTTTCTAGTCAAAAATCGTCATTGTCCTACAGTTCACCCAGCATCCGTACTGCCGGCTGTTTGAATGCAAAACCTTATGGATCTGCAGGGAATCGATTCCTTGTTTGGTGCTGTTCTGTCTTCTACTTGGATACTGTGTTTAACCCTAGCCACCAAGCCTTGCTCAAGCAATCCATTGGTTCAACCTCGACCTCCTTGAGATGCCGGGACACGAGACTTATCGCACAGCAGACGCTCAGACGACTTGCCGCCATCCCCGCGAGCTCTACTTTAAAGCTCCACCGCGAACCCGAAAGTGCAAGCTGAAGGCTGCCCTGTAGGGGCAAGGAACTGCCGGCGCAGCGTCTCCAGCTTCTCCTCAAGCTCCCTACCCAACGAGGGCATCTCAACCTCGATGCTTCTGACCTTGGGCGTGCTAAGGCCGTCAAACCTCGTGGATGGTTTCACATTCAAGCGAAAGCTAAGCCGCTCCGCCCATTAAAAGCGAGCGCTACACCCTGAAGCTGTAGCTTTTCAATTTTACCTGACGTTCTCCACACTTTGGAAGGACAGGACAAGGTTTCTTTGTGATCCGGTCCCGGCATCGCAGAAGCGATAAGGCCAAGGCTTCAGGTCTCCAGTATCAGTTGAGATTGTGCTGCTGCAGGCTACAGGTAAGAAGTGTGCAGAAGTGCCATCTGTCGTTCAAGCGTGGAATTGGGGACTTAGGGCATCCTTCTTTCTTCTACAATGTTTGCTGGTCTGTGCTGGAATCTGGGCATCTCAGCTGGCTATCGCTGGCTCATCGTTTTGCAAAACTGCTGTGGTTTTAAAATGTGGCTCCAAAAGACTTACAAGCTGCTTTGCGATCCAGGGTTCAGGTCACGGGCTCAAACAGAGCAGTAGTCTTGATGCACAATAGACCATGTAGAAAGAATATGTCCGAAGCCCCAATACTAAGCCTTAAACCTGGATCTTCAAGCACAACCAACTTCCATCGGAGCCGATGCACTTCCCCGCCATCGTCGGACTGGTCCCCAGTTCCTGCTGGGACTCTGGACTTTGGGCTGTGAAGAAGTAAGCGCTTCAGAGTTGAGGATATCGGATATCACTCTATTGACCCCTAGATGCGATGCATGGTGCATGGTTTCATCCATACTGCACTCGGTGGGATGAGGGCCCCGGGCTTGTGGTTTCCAGTGGGCCATGGAGGTGTTCTGGGAAGGGTCTAGCTCGGGGGGTTCTGAGTGGCTCCACAAAGCCTTGGCAAGCACTCGCTAAGCACTCGCTAAGCGCTCGGACCTCGACAGCTTCTCGACAAAAACTGTTTTGGAGTGCTTGCTGAGGGCTTGCTGAGCAATCGCTGCGCCCACCCCCTGTCAGACCCCCCTTCCAGAACATCTCCATTTGGAAGAATCTATGAAAGATTGGGCTTGGCAATATGCCAACGCTGTGTTCAAGAAACTACCGTACAGAATATGCAGGTCTCCATGAATCGCAAACCTTTCAGCCTGAAGTAGCCAGGCCTTGACGACGGTTTGCTGGGATGCTCGGCGCCGGCATGGCAGCAAGATCTTTGCAGCTAGTTGCACAAGGCTGGGTTGCATGATCATGGCCTAACGAACTCCAGAGATGTTTTGTAAGCAGCATATGCAAGTCCTTGAGGCTTTACGCAGTTTTTGCTTGCTAGCCCAGGCCCATACTGGTGCAACTAAATGGGGCCTGGTGTTCTGGCTAGAAGCTGTGAGCGGACTCACGTTCCTTTTCAGCACACTCTGTCACCTGCATGGAATTGCCAAAAGCATCCTGAACTTTTTTGTTGCATGCTGGATTGCTACCGGCCATGGGGCATGCACTTCCAGACGAGCTCAAGAAAGCCAAACATGCGAAATTTGACGTCAAGCGGCCAGAAACAGGTAGCCAAGGTTGACGTAGATTCACTTGGCTGTGCAGCTGGGAATCTTCGGTCACCCAAGAGTAAAAACCCTCCAATACCCCGAACGACACTACAAAGCGGGAGCAAGTACAACTGAGTGTGCTCGGGTCATTTAAATGAAAGGTCTCAGGGTCTCTGCATCGGCCTTCGGCGAGAGCATGGAGGGCGGCCACGTCCGGCCCCAAAGCCGATTTCGAAAGGAGATGAGCCATTCCACACCTTCAGTATGCCCCTTGTAATCCCCGAAGTCTGTTGCATTGCTGGCGCACTCGTCACATTTGCCCTTCGAAAACAATTCCTCGCGTTTCATACTGATTCACCCTGAAGACACACAACTGAGCATCCCCCGAAGTCTCTCCATCTGCTAAGCCGCGCGCGTCAGAATGGCATTTTCTGAATAGGGTGTTCACGGAGGGCAGGGAAGGCCATCATGGCGAGCCTCGGCTCTACAAGGCAGGATTGAGCTGTTGTTTCATACAGCCCGAACCAAGGGCTCAGGGAAATTAAGCTCTGTTGCAGGCCTTTGTTTATGATATGTTTCTGAAGGTGCAGAAGAATGTGAACAGCCCGCATCTGCCAAGATAAAGCGTTCCTGTGGCCAGCTCTCACCACTTGCTGCTCTCCCTGAGACCGCCAAAATACTACAGGCCCATTCAGCGATCCGTGTCGGTTACCGATAAGAAGTTCAGCTCTGGACCGTGTTTGTTCAGCAGCAGCATCTTGTAACGATTTCGGCTGGATGCGTTGGACAAATCGCAGCACAAGCTGCGCTAAAGAGGCGGCTTGGAGCTGCGGTCCGTTCTATCGTGTCACTGGCAGCTGAAGTACAGGCTTGCCTGCGTTGGCCGCAATCGTCGATTTTGTATCGGGTGCCACGGTCAAGTACCGAGTCTCTTGGCGTTCGGTTTCGTTTTTGGTATATGTGCAAACAAGGCGGAGGACGACTTGAATTCGATGACTTGGATGCGACCTAACCTTTCCGTGCCCCTCGTACATAGCCCATGTAAAGCTTACCGGGCGTTTCAGTTTCGCCAGCGCGTTGGGGCCATGCTATGGAAAAAAACCTGGGTGACAGGTTTCCAAACAGCAGGACCGCAGTTGGAGACCTTCAGTTGGAGACCTTTTTGCAAGCTCAGACTGCAAGGGTCCTATGTGTTTTTGATAGAAATACCTTGCCTGGACGGCACAGTTTCGTACACATTCAAGCCAATATGTCCTGGAGCCTGCATTGAAAAGCCTCAACTGCAATCACCTGTGGAAGGCCGGCTGCAAAAGCAGGACTGAGTTCGAACAGAACATCCCTATCCCTCCTACACGGGGGCGGGGGGGGGGGGGGGTATGCCAGGGTTCGCACTTTGAGATGGCAGAGAGCCTTTCTCTCCAAGTTTCTCCGAGTTCCCGCAAGCTCTAAAGCCCCTTCTTGCTCCCTCAGTTCATCCTGGTTCCCCTTCCATGGTCAATCTGGTCAATCTAAAGCCCCCCAAGAATTGCTGAATCCGATAACAACGGCAGGCAACGTGTGGATGGAAATGGCAACCCGGGCCGGATGGTCAAACCAGATAAAATCGACTGCTTGCAAAGTCTTGAGCCCTGTTGCTGCGCTTTGCGGCTTTGCACCCCAACAGTTTTCCACTGGCACCCTCAAATCGCTGAGTCGGGAAGCTGCGCCGCATCGACTGCAGAAAGAAGGCTAAGAAGAAAAGTAAACCCGGACACAACCGTTCTAGCACTGTCCAAACTTATGTTCAAGGTGTGCTTGCTGCCTGTCACTGTGCAACTGTTTTAGGCTCCAGTTGCTCTAAACCCTGGCAAGCGAGACCATACGCCCTTGCAACTTTACAATCAAACGGCCCAATGCCAAAAACTTCGTAGCCATGGTCCTGGGGCAGGTCGCGGAGTGCCTGGACAAGCAGAAAGACCTCGCTGTGTGCAGCCGCGTGCCGAATCGTGAGCTTGCTTTCTACCAGGTTCTTCCATACTGGCTTAACAAGGAACTGGACGCCACCTGTGCTAGCTAAAACAAAGTATGTGTGTATATATATATAATATGTATATGTATGTATGTATGTATGTATGTATGTATGTATGTAGGCATAGATACTAAATATTGGACATTGGGTACTAGATATTAAATCTACATGTATGGTACCCTTGCTCGCCCTTTGTTGGTTTAGGGACTTCATTTGGTATGGACGCACATGCCAGTTCGGATGCCTCTGTTCTAACAGTTCTTGATGAGTTTATACAGAACCCAGGACTTCAGTTGATTGGGGCATGCAGGTTAATGCCGTTTTACAAGCTGGTGATCTCATGTTATATTCCTAGTAGTCCTTACTCTTTGAATTGAAGGTTTATATATATATAACCTTGACATTGCCAACGTCCTGATCAAGCTTTGCAGCGAAGTCTTTTCCAGAATCTGTGGCTTAACCTGGGTAGTTTCCTAACCGTCATGTGCAGGAAAGTTTGGGAGTCTTCACTTGAGAATATCAGAACTTAAGACCTGTGCCATCAATCCGTAAATGTGCTCTGAGATCTCCACCGCACCAACCTCTTTCTCGCCGTCCTGCACCCGGGCCGCAAGAAAGGCCTGCCATCCAAAGCGAGTTGCGGCGCATGCTGCACTGACTGTTCTAACTTCGTAGTTGCTTGTTATTAAGTATGGGTTGATACTGGTTCGCGCGGACGTGTCCTAGTTGAAAAACGAAAGAGACAGCCTTACCTGCATTGCTAGTAGATTGCTGGTTGAGGAACCACTCGAATGCTTGACTGAAAGTGAACCTTACAGAAACCTGCGCCTGCACAATCGCTCTGTGTTAGCTCCACCACAAAGACACCTGCAAATCCTGTAGTTGAATCTGCCATGGCTGAACATCCCCAAAGCCAGACCCGCTTTCCGCGATCGACTGGATCATAAAAACAGGAATTCCAACTGAAAAGGTCGCCTCCAGATAAACTATACCTTGTAACCACAACTGGCCTGTGTTCATTCAGGATCGGCAGAAACACATTGTTGTGCAAACTCTGCCTGCTGCGTAGCTGTGCATGGGCCCTCGGAGAGTACCGCAACAGCACGGCCTGAGCATTCATGGAGACTTCCGGAAGGGATGGTGCACCAATACAATGATGAGAAGCGAGGAGTGACTGTGAGGTCTTGCAATGAAACGGCCCCACACCCAAAACCTCTGCACACACTCCTGCTAACGTCAAACCGCAAAGCGACCTTCTTATCTACCTGTTTCTCACCTGGAAGTTGCAACGTTTGCAACTATATAAGCGCCGCACGCAAACAGCCTTAAGCCCTGAACCCCGATTTGGCGGGGTTGGGGCAGCAAAGGGGCAAACTGGGCCGCAAGCAGATGCTTCCTTGAACGGGACCGTTTCCACGGTACACCAGCCTCAGCTGAGATCAAGGAAGCTCTTGGCATAGCGTCTTGCAAGTGTTTGCTCCATGTCTCATACAAACTCAAGCAAACATCAGGCGCTGGTCTGACCCTGTCTCAGCTCTATCACAGCCATGGCTCTCTAGGTTCTTTCAGCTTTGCAAAATGCATCTTGCTGCTAAACTGGGGCTGAGACAACGCTCTTAGAATCGACATCACACCACCCTGGCAAAGGCTCAGGGGTCAATCAGTCATCCAGTCACGATGTCTTGCCCTGGGTTTGAATTGCTGACCCTTGTTTATGAGTTTCTGTTCCTCGCCTGTGGAAATCCTTTTTCAACCACATCCCCCACTGGCTTTCAACCACAATCCGGCTAGAAACTTGCACCGGCTTTCTGTCACAATCTGGCAAGGGAACTTGGTGCGGGCTGGTGCCCCAAAGGAAATTTGGCTTGGTGCCAGGCACCGGCTTTATGATACAATTTCGCTTGGACAGTGGTGCGGGCTGGTGCCCCGCACCGGCTTTCTGTTGCAATCTGGCTTGGAACTTGGTGTGGGCTGGTGCCCCGCAAACTTGCACTGGGTTTTCAAAAGCCAGCCGCGGCGTCTCTAGCTCAACGCCTGCGCAAACCCACTGGCCGCCAGAGTTTCCGCACATAGTGGCAGGTGGGGACTACTCAGATTCCAGCGCTTTGAACAGGTAAATCGACAAATCCTGGAGGATGTTGAAACTGAAGGCGGCCCTTTGACATGTTTAAGAGAACATACAACTGCAGTATGCTGCAAAAACCAGCTCAAAGAATGTATAAGTGATTTAAGTTCAGGGCTTCATGATATTTCTGCCATGGCGAAAGACGCAATCTCATTCTCTGAGCCTCCTTCAAAAAGAAATGCTCATGTGCATCCCAACTTCTCATCATCATGTCATGCCGACGCTCAGGCGGAAGGGCCCCTGAATCCGAAGCCCCCAAGTAGACGGCTTGTGTTTTCGAAGGTCCCCCGACTTGTGCCTGAGCACGGGCCGCCAGCTGACTCTCCGAGTGCAGGTACGCCAAATGTGAAACCTCGGCTTCGCCCACTTGGAGCTGACGCACTAAGAGTAGCCACACATCCATCAGCCGGAGAATGCAAAAAAATCAGCTGCTCTGGGCTCACGGGCTACAACTTTATGAGTTTCGAGTTTGCGGGAACGGGCTTCGGCAGCAGGATTGCCAGCCTGTAGAGAAACTGAACCTGCCTAAGCCCGGCCATCTCAGCATCGTACTGCGACGCACGCATTGGCCACCACCTTGGTTTAGTTTTGGCTAAGGCTGTTACATGATTGAAGGTAGATGCTGTCAAGGTGGTGTTTACACAGCTTTCAGGAGAAGGCTGCCGTGGTGGAACACAAAGAGGTTCCACTGAAATGTGTATACCGAGCTCAACATCAGGCACAAAGAGCGGACTCAATGACTCTAAAACAGTAATGCAGCAGTCACAAAGTAATGCAGCAGTCACAAAGTTCAACGGACCAGACAGCGGTGAAGTTAGGCAAAATCATTTTGTTCTTGCGTGGAATCCTGGTGTAATCACTTCATGTTCGCACATCCTCATGCCCGAGTTTTCCTCATGTCAATATTTCTCGTTGTTTTACATGTTCAGCTCCTCTCCTCATCCAGCCAGATCACCAGAAAACAAAAGTCGGCCCACTGGAACGATCCAAACAATGCACCCGGGAGCAACTAGCCCTCCTGTCCCGTTCAGCACACGCTCTTTCTGCTCTCACTTTGTCCCTTGTGCTCTGTCCCTTTCCTGCAGCCTCTCCCTTTGGCCCTCAACCTTCAATCCAAGCGCAAGGCATGGGGCGATTGGATGCACCTGCGCAGAAGGTGCAGAAACCCAAAGTCTGAGTTTTTCTGCGAACGTTTGTGAGGGCTATACTGTAGTGTTGCTACTTCATGGGAGCAAGTAGTAGGCCTGTATCACGAACCAACGCTCCACGGCCTCCAACGCCCGTAAACGGACAGCTTCCGCAAACCATTGCATGCGTGCGCTAACTGTGTGATTGTCCCCAGACCTGCACCGCATGTGCGGGCAGCACCCTGTGCAGGGATGTATGTCAAAGCACGTTGTCGGTCATGCCATTTTCCGGGGCTGCTTCTTCCTGCGAGTCGCTGCTGTCGGCATCAGAAGCTGCAGGTGTCCTTGGCAGTGGTTGGGATCCAGGCCTTGGACCTACTAGTGGAATTCGAAACTCAAGGCGCCCCTAAAGACGCCCTCTAACAAGTCACAAGCGAATCAAATTACCTCATGGCTGATGGTGGAGTGTGGGGCCTGACGAACCACGGCCTTCCCCTGCCCAACATTTCTCCGAAACTTCAGAGTCTCCTCTGTGCCAGGGCTGCTCTGAGATCGTCCGGTGGTGGCACAAGCCATGGGTCACGGCCTCACCACCAGTAGATCCCAATCTACAGGGGGCCATCTTCCGGCAAGCATGCAACAGTTTCGAAACACTCACCAATGCCCGCGTGCCTAAGCCGACATCGAAACACCCCATACATCCCTCAAGCCCGCTAGGTCATCCGCCCAGCTGGTCAGAGACAAAGCGGTTAAACCAGATCCTCGGATGCTGCCGCACGGTTCGGCTGCAATTTTGGATTGGGCTTTCAGTCTTGTGCTTCGGCCCCAAGACCAAAGTAAACCTCACCGCTAACAAGGACACCTCTCAAGGTCAACGTTCTAGCCACCTCGCAATCAGTTCCATGGATTTAGAGTTGCGGCCACTAAGTGATCATTTAACGCATACTTGGTGAAGCTCTATGGGGACCCAGTGTGTTGGAACAATCCATTTCCAGCAGGCGCTGCGTGCACAAGCTCCTTGGACCTGTCCAGGGTTCATGCCACTTCTCCTGAAAACTGTCCAGCTCGCTTTGCGAGCTTCTCCGTCGTCTCCCAGCACGGTTTTTTCAGGCCGAGGAGTTGCCGGAGGTCATGCAGCTGGAGGGGCAATAGCTTGGAAGATTTGCTGCGCGGTTGCAGCCACAAGTCTGCGGACAAACCGCTGCGAGGGGTCGAAACAATTCCGGCATTCCCATGCACCACATGGCATTAGTCATCACATCCTGCGGGAACTGGGTCAAGGCTGCGCAGCCGTCTTTCAGCATTGCCTCGATGGTTTGGTTCGCTGCAGGCCACAGAAGGGTCTGTGTCACATCTGCACCATAGTAGTACGATACCACATCTGGGAATAATGTCCAGAATGAGCGCCAATCTTCGTCAACTTCTTTGTCCTCGCAAGAACCCTCGCTCAAAGTCGACTGTGCTTGCTGCAAGCATGCTGGGGCGCAACCTTGCGCTGGCACCTTGAACCAGGCAGTACTGTAAGGGCTCGTGCACCCGCAAGTCTCCCCACACACCATTCGCAACAAGCGACTATCCACGGCGTTACACTGGTCAAGCATTTCCCGGCAACTTCGCGCGTGATTAAGTCCCACGGTGGCCGCTGCAGTCCGTATCAAAGCAGACGTCCAATAATTGAGCGAAGTATCTTCGTGATAAGGTGCATCCTCATTCAGAATAGCAGTCTCAACGCAAAACGGGATCTGGCCACCCTCGGCTTCTATGCTTCGGGTATTGTCGATGTTGAAAGTTGCTTTGTCCGTCGAGAACAGAAGGTAGGTTGGCTCTGCTGCAGGTGTCGTTTCTGGCGAGGTAGCTTTATGGGCGTCCACTGCCAGCTCACTGACGGTAAGGTTCCGGTTGAAAGTTTGCTGAGCATCTGGCGTCACCAGCGCATGCGTAAGCTGGGTGCTAGGGTTGAAGCCAATCACAAAAGTCTGATTGCCTCCGCACAGTTCGTTCTTCAGACTGAGCATGGCATCAGTCAAGGGTGACAGCTGGAAGACATAGGTGGCAGTCACCAGAGCTACAAGCGAAGCGAAGTGCACCAGAGATTCACACTGACTCCTCCGCTGGCTATATTTAACCTTCATGGGTTCCAGACTCTGAACGGCATGCTGGATTTTGATTGGCGTCATGCCCATGAAAAGAAACTCATCAACATCTAAAATGGCGTTGAGCGCCACTGCATTCAGCATCAGTTCCGAGATCGAGGTCGTACGTGCTAGCCACAGGATTCCAGCCACCAGCAAGACGGAAGCAATTGCCGTCCGGCAGGCGTAAGTCAACAGAAGCCTGGCTCGCCCTAGACCCTCTAGGAACCCTGGAATGGATAAGATTAAAATGCCTCTGTAGGATATCTCATCAGGAGATGCTGCCCACCGTGCGAAAGATGCTCACAATCCCCCCAAGGAGCAAGGCAAAGCGGCCCCACGAAAGTGTTGCAAAGGTGTTGTCGCCAAAGGCTGTGCGCTGCGCCTTGGGCATTCGAGCACTCTGCTTTGGTCAAGGGGGTTATAAGGCAAAGGCCTCTAGAACTCAACAAACCCTCAAAGTGTGCCCAAAATTTGCGCTTAGCGTTCGGCATGCTTTGGGATTCTGCGCCTGCCCACAAGTTTGTCTCTTACGGCTTATCAGCGGATAAAGGATCTTCCCAACTTTTTCAATATTGGAGGGAGGGGGGGGGGCACTGTAGAACGATGCAAAACGGTTGGCCCAATGCTTGGGATGTCCTGCCTTTCATCAGGCTGTGGAACGTAGGCGTCCAAACCTAGCTTTGTATGAAACCTGCAATACAAAACCTGAGCACTCAGACTCTACGACATCCGTCCAACCTGTGTTAATTATACTGGAAGACCGCCCACCCATGCCCACCCCATCAAACCTTCAGTTGGTTCTGTTTGGCCGCGCCCAAGTTCTAGAACTGCTGCGGTTTTCGATATGAAGGGTTTAGAAGAAACACAAACAACGGCTCAACATTAAACAACTGAATTGCTGAAAGGCGTTATTAAGATTTCTGCATGTAGGGGCACAGCACACTTTGTGCTCCAACATGCAGTTCACTTGGGTTATTTGACGTCGTTTTCTGGCGCTTGAGGAAGCTCTTTACCTGACGATGAAAGGACTGACATGTGAGGCTTCCATAGGCTTCAAGATATACAGTATACAGGCTTTCTCTCCTAAGCAAACACTACAATGTGCATGACGCCTGAATGGTAAGTTTGCTTGTTTAACAAAGCCGAGACCTACCAAACCTGAACAGCTACAACCTATCTTTATGAGGTTTTAAGGCGTTGAAGTTGCAAGTTGTCGTAGCGGGAAGATTTCGGCATTTGGGTTCGGGGCGGGGGGGGGGGGGGGGGGGGGGGCGGGGAAAGTCGACTTCGAAGCTTACCATGTCAGCCATAGTGCTTTGGGAATCTGTGCCGCGGCTTCCAGCTGTACCCAGATCCGTCGGAACTCCTGGAGCAGGCGTCTGGAAGTTGTAAGCGTTTTTTCAGCAACCTAACTCTTCGAATCGAGAAACATTTTGTCAAATCAGAGTAGACTATAGCAAAGCAAAACTTGATCTAACAATAGGTACAAAAATCTATAAAATATGCTACACACACACAGACACAGACGCAGACGCAGACGCAGACACAAACACAAACACAGAGAGACAGACAGACAGACAGACAGACAGACAGACAGACAGACAGACAGACAGACAGACAGACAGACAGACAGACAGACACACAGACACACCCACACCCGCACCCGCACCCACACCCACACCCACACCCACACGCACGCGCACACGCGCACACGCGCACACGCGCACACGCGCACGCGCGCACACGCGCACACGCGCACACGCGCACACGCACACACACGCACACACACACACACACACACACACTTTTACACTTACACTTTTACACTTTTACACTTTTACACTTTTACACTTTTACACTTTTACACTTTTACACTTCTGCACTTTTACACTTTTATACTTTTACACTTTCACACTTTTACACTTTTACAATTTTACGCCTTTACACCTTTTGCACCTTTTACACTTCCAAACTTTTACATTTTTACACTTACACTTACTTGCAAACTTACTTACTTACTTACTAAGTAAGTACCTACGTACTTTACGAGCTTTACTCACTTGACTTGCTTTACTTACATTTACTTACACAACATTACATTACATTACATTACATCACATTAAATTACTTTACTTGCTTTAGCTTTATCTACTTACTTGCTTGCTTGCCTACTTACTTACTTTGCCTACGTTACTTACTTTACTTACTTTACTTACTTTACTTACTTTACTTACTTTACTTACTTTACTTACTTACTTACTTACTTACTTACTTATTACTTACTTACTTACTTACTTACTTATGCAAAGGGACAAGACACCAATCCTGCATGCACTCGAGGTACCGACAAGAAGAGGGGAGATGGTCGTAATCTGATCGTAATGCCAGAGCCCTACTGGCGCGAAAAATTGAATCAGATGTTCAGCGATGGTTTTCGCCCACACACACACACACACACAAACCGCTCTGCACAAGGGTCGAGGGGCAAGAGTGGCTTGCGACCGTCACGATCCAGGCGGCACTCACACAACTTGTACAATCTCGGTCAGTCATATGGACTGGCCGCGAAGTACCGTAGGGTCCAAGGTCGGTCTAAGTCTTATTGAGGTCGGTCCTTGTAGACGCACAGAGTCCATAAGACGATGCATAGCATGCACAGCAGCACGCCAGGCCGGAACACAGGAAGGTCGAACTGCGCCTTTTCCATGCCCAAGAAGCTGTTGACATGTTCGATCAAAGTGGCTTGCACAGTGGATAGAATCACAGATCCATCGCCGTTGCAAACTCGAGTTACCAGGCTTGTGCCAGCCAAGTCCATGTACCTGAATTGAGGATCTGTGTGCAAAGCTTGGTGGTTTGTGGTTTTTTGTTACCTGCTGGGCCCCACCACAGTTTGCACTCGGGTTTTGACAGAAAAGAACACACCTCGATACCACGATTTGCGAACCACCCGCCTGGAATCATGCGCAACGCTTGTCCGCCAAGCCTGGGCGCTGAAGATCTTGCTCTCGAAGTCGTCGCCCATGAAGGCTGGGGTGAGCAGAATTATGGAAAACGCGGTCTGCATGCCCAAGTTCAACAAAACCAGAGTAGCGGCAAACAGCGTGTCAATGATGCCCACGTCAATTAAGCCAGCCAGAAGGGGGATGCTCCATGCGCTCTCTTCGAAAGAAACCTCTGTGAACTCCTGGACTTTGGCGATCCTGAAGCCGTCAGGGAGCATGACAGCGGACGCAAGAAAAACCCGAGTTACTGCCGTCCAAGCCCTTCCTGCTCGGATTGGAGCTCCGGCTGGATCTCCGACTGGATCTCGCCCCGTGCTCCATGCCATCCGTGCCCATGCTGTTTTGATGGACCTCAAGCACCTGCAAGCGATGAACGCCTATGCATCCAGTATGCTAGTGGTTGTGGGTTAGGGCAGCTATATCCTGTGGCACACCTTGCGACACAACATCACGCTCCTGCCCTAGGGGCCTTAGCCTCCACTCTCCGTCATTTAGGGTTTGCCATGAGACTGCTTGCTTTTCTTCGCTGCTCTTTTGAAGCTTCGCATTGCACAGGACTTGTGTCGACAGTGTCCGACTGTCTCGGCACAAAAAGTCATTAGATCCAATGCCCCAGGGAACTGTTCAAACTATTCAAAAATCCGTCCGTCAAGAATGCAAGTTGATTGTTTTACTATTTGTCGTGCGATTTACATGCATGAGCCAAGTGTTAGAGCGCTCCGACCAGCAGGAATACGGGCCCCATATACTTGTCATGCAATTCACAGCCTTCCTGCCCCACCAAAGTCATCAAATATCGCTACATCGAATACAGTATCATGCGGCATCCACAATCGCTGAACGCCCCCAGCCCTCTACAAGAAGTGAGGCAAAGTGCACTGATAAGCGCTGGCGCCTCAACAGTAGAGGTCAGCGTCTCAAAGGTCGCGCAGTTGTTGAAGACATGTTCATCACCGGCCTCTAGCACTGCCAGGGTTTGGGAGTTCGGATTCAAGCTCCTCTGACTGAGGCAAGCCATGTGTCATTGGGTTTAGGTGCGCAGGATTCTGCTAACTCATAGGTCTGAGGCAACCTCCCAAGAAGTTGGACCCTAGATGTTGAGACCTCAAGTCTGCAACGTACCACGGATCCGCAAAAAAATCGGGGTCTGTGCCCTTGCGCTTGCCCTACATCTTGAAAGGCATTCTCTAGCATGGGACTTGGCAACTTGAGGCTCACAGGACAAGCGCGTTCTAACTCGAGTCAGCTCCCCAAACTCCACCCATTCGTGCCACTCGGGTAAGCGAGTGACCCCTTCCAAGCCCAAATTTGTCCGCCAGCTGTCTTGAGGCGCGCCTTGGACCCGCCGTTGTGACGCAGCTGGAGCTGCGCCTCCACCACCTAGGCGCGAGGAAGTGACTTAGCTGAAGATGCCTTGGGATTACCAACAACGAAGGCGAAGAGCCGCATCTTAAGAACACATGCTCTGTGCAAAGCTACTCAGCTACTCTCTGATGGGGCACCTGGGTTGAGTTCACAGTCGGGGGTCTCTTGGTTGGTCATTGGGCTTCAGGGCACAGGGCTGCAGCTTTTCAAGTTCGCTCTTCGGGAGTTTCTGTCGACAAAGCATGGAGCTCGAGGAATATTTCGCTGGCTCAGTCAAGCCTTGCATAAATCTCGCTGCTCTCGCCACGGGGTTCTGGAACTTGGGGTTCAGGCTGCAGGAGGTCAAGAGTGTTTCGGCCCGTTTGTGCAGCGGCCAAAGCCCAAGCTGGCAATGATCATGACACGGCATGAGGGCGGCTAGAAGCATCAGAGAAAAACCACGTTCGTTTCAAAAAACAGCTGACTGGACACATGTGCCTCCGCGCATGTCAGTTGATGGCTCGCTTTGTAGAACGTATTGAACCGAAAAGCGTCCAAACATGCCGGGCTGTTCGAAAGGTCAGCTGCGGAATGTGCAAAAACAAAAACCCTGCAAGCACGAACATCCTGGGGATGCATTGGTGACCTCGGCATGTGTTTGGCTGGGCCAAACTTGGCCAAAGTACTTTCAGCATCTTGCGGCTTCTGGATGCAGCATCTACTGGGCTGAATCCGTATCAGCCACGCGGCTTGTAGACGGGCTGTGATCTGTTGAAGATCAGAGTACAGCTGCTGACGCAGGGAAGCAAACCTGGGCATTGTGAATCCAGAATCATTGGCGGTGCTGAACACCGGGGCATCTCGAAGCCTGACACTCACAACATTGCAGGGTGTCTCCAGCAAACTGTGCCACGAATCGTTATGCGACCAATGCCCCCGACACCTCGCAGAGAATCAAACGCGCGACAAACAACAGCCTAAATCCCTCATACATAACAACCAACGAACCACACACAAACACAAACAAACAGTGAGAGAGAGAGAGAGACAACCAACCAACCAACCAACCAACCAACCAAACACAACATACACATATATCTACTATATACATACTACCCACACAAGCCTGCCCGCCCGCAGGCACAAGCCTCCACTGAAACCTAGCAGCCTCCGCTCGATCTCAAAGTCGCTGTCAGGTGAGAGTTCCAGAGCCACGCTTTGCATGTACCCAGCATCCTCCCAGCTCACATTGGGCACGGTGCACGTAAGGTAACATGCCACTCTCCACAGGTTCAGCAGGCTTGGGGTCTCATGATGTCCATGAGGCTCGGGTTTTCCATACTTAGATATGGCTGCCATCTTCAGAGGGTTGCAAAGTCATGAGGAGTTGCGGATTCCGAGTGGTTCCACACATCTCAGGATTGAGGAGTTCTGAGGCATGGTGAAGGCTTCGGAATGCTTCGAAGATGATCGCCCCACCCGAGTCAGCCCTGCAGATCTCACACAGGTGTGAAGATGCAAAACTTTAGTCGGGCTGCAGGAAAGCAAAAAAAAACTCCGAGTGTTCACGTGAGAGCCCCGTGGCTGTATTCCAGTATGGACCTTGAAGGTCGTAGTGTCCGGGTTTCTGACAAGAAAATAGGCTTGAGCTCGGTTCAGGAGTCGAACCCATATCGAGCGTATGATTGCGGGATGTTTTGCCCAGTGTGTGTATAAAAGCCCTCTCGTAACTTTCGGAACTGGCAATTGCATGGCGTTGCTTGCAAGCCTTATGGCCATCCCGGTACAGTACCCTCTACTTCCGGCGTTCGCCACAGCATCCGGCAGTGATTGCCTGTGCCAAGCACGGTTCTGGACGAATTCTTAGACTCTGGGCAACCGGCCTACGGGTGACAAAGCACAAGCCTTCCACGAGTCTGCATCTTCTGCGAAGTGGTTCGAGTCTTCTGCCAAGCCATTCGAGCCCACCGGAACGGTTGGCGTCGGCATGGCTGGCCAATGGTCGTATGACAGGTTTGCGCAAACAGGCTTGCCGTAAACTCATGGTGCTTTCTGACGTTCTATAGAACGTTGGATTGAAACCTGTTGTCCAGTTGCCACTTCAATGTCTAATGTTCCACCGGCTTCAAGACTGTACGGCTTAATCTTCGAGCGCCGCAAGGCGTGGAGCTTGATCAGAAGCTGCAACCATCCAAGCTGTACTGCCACTTACAACCTCAACGGACCTGGCACCCAACCCCCGAAGCCTGAGTTAAACTCTACCAGAACTTGATTGTCATTCTAGCTTATGACTTGCGAAATCCTTCTGGCTTTCGGCACCCCTTTAACCCTTAAAGCTCGGAATCCAACCGGGAACCAAGGTCTGCGTCGTGGTTTCGAACGCTTGAACGATGTTCAGTGCTGGTCACCCCAACCAACCTGCCACTTCCCCCACTCGTCTTGATTATGAAAGCAACGCATGGTTACTGGTGGGTGCCTGATCAACGTCATGTCAAAATATTCCAATCTCAGAACTCGGCAGATCCCCTCTAGCCACTGTGGATCACATGCCAACAGTGCGTTTCAAGGAATTGCAGCCTGTCTCTCGAACCACAAACTGCGTCTGCACCGCATCTGCCGAGAATCGTAAGCGATTGCTGTGCCGACGCAACACGCGCCTGAAGGGCATGGGGATGGCATGGGGTCCAGGCGGTCCGCAAAGGTGACAGTCACACAAGTACTTCCGGGACGTGCACTTCGCAATGCTGCCCCTGCGCTGCGTGCTTACACTAAATTGGCAGACTCCCCCATGCAAATGTGTTAAAGGTTGCGCAATGAATGTCCACAAACGGACAGAACTTTGACATTGTTTGGTAGAGATCCCGGCTTTCCCTCCTTTCGCTCTCCTCTTTCTCGTTCTCTCCTCATCCTCTCCCTGCTTGTCCTCTCTTCCACCTTTGATGTAGACAAGGTGCGGGCCGACAGCATCAATGCTTGACCAGACAGCTCACAGTATTTTCGGTTGCCCTACCCGAAGCCGAAAAATGAGTTCTGACTTTTCGGATCCACTGTTCTTCTCCTCGCCCTTTCGTCCTCTTCTCTCTTCTTTGGTTTTCCAAAGAGTTGGGCAATTAGAAGGGAGGCTCTGCTGCCCCTCTTATTGCTCTCTTAACCTTCCTCCTTTCGTCTTCTTGCCTCTCTTGCTCTCTCGTTTGCACCCCTACTGTCCGTATACGTTCATGCTCGATTCCCAATACAGAATAAGAACAGATATTCATCACTCAATCATCGAATATCCAAAAAGCATAAAGTGACGAACGGTTTCCCGAAAGAATCAATCCCTCTCTCCTTTTTGTTCACTGCGAGTCGAATTGGCGAGTAAACCAAATCGGTGCCGACCCAAAGGCAACGGGGAACGACAGCGGACGCAGCCCGAAACAGCGGTCCCGGGCAATCCGATAAGTCGAACCCAAACCCGAAACGGGGTCGAAAGCACACCGATTAAGCACACACACAACCGCCAAGGCAGGTGCAAGGGGGATGGTGGTGGGTAAGACAAAAATGCGAGGTCGAGACCTCCTGGTAGCGAATCGAGCAAGAAACTGCCGGGCCACAAATAATGGAAAACATGCCAAGCAAAATAGAACTCCTCAAGAGAAAATTTTCATGACAAGCAAGTAAGAAAATTCTCAAGAGGAAATCAAAAGCTGGGCATGCCGGCCGGGCAGGGCGGGGGGGGGCAAACACCCTGGTTAAAAACCGTGTCCGTTTGCACCCCTACTGTCCGTATACGTTCATGCTCGATTCCCAATACAGAATAAGAACAGATATTCATCACTCAATCATCGAATATCCAAAAAGCATAAAGTGACGAACGGTTTCCCGAAAGAATCAATCCCTCTCTCCTTTTTGTTCACTGCGAGTCGAACTGGCGAGTAAACCAAATCGGTGCCGACCCAAAGGCAACGGGGAACGACAGCGGACGCAGCCCGAAACAGCGGTCCCGGGCAATCCGATAAGTCGAACCCAAACCCGAAACGGGGTCGAAAGCACACCGACAAAGAAATCGTTTCACGACCCGCCAGGGGAAGACCCCGAACAAAGGAAAGAAGGAAATAAAATCGGGAAACCAAATGCACAGACTCCCAGGTCTGAAGATGCACTGCACTATTTTGCAATCACCAGCGAATGCATGATCGGGCTAAGCTAGCTGCTCCAGGTGGGACGGCCAGCGAGCCGCCGAAGGCGGAGGGCCCAGCTGGAGCTGAGTGGGAGCACGCAGCAGCTCTGTAAGCGGTGGAGCACAGCGGTCTGCAAGCGCCAGAGGAGGTGGTGAACTGCCGAGGCGGCTCAGCTCGTCGGCCAGCGCATTGCGATAACCCGGGATGTGCGGCAAGGGCTCATGCGAGAGGTGCTCGTGATCGCAGACCGAAGCGATCTCTAAAATCTCGGCCCGGTTAGAAACAAACAGCCAGCGCTTGTCCCAAGGACGGCCAACCTGGCAGGCGGCCACCTGAGCCGCGAACGGAGCCACGGACTGCAACCAAGCCTGCATGAGCGGATCCTGGAACGTGAGTGAGGAAACGGGGTTTTCCAGAACGATGAAACCACCCGAAGCCGCCACGCGGCTCAAAACCTCCCGAGTGCGGTCGTGCAACAAGGAACTCTCTTGGGCGGACAGGGCTGCCGACCAAGAGTTACGCAAACAACCGTCGATTTCAGAAGGAGTGCGAACAGGCGGAGGGCCCCCTGGTTTGAGGCGCAGAACCGAATGGTCAGAGCACACCGGTGCCGCCACAGCAGCCCCTACAATCCCGGAATCGGCAACCCGGCAAAGAAGCTCGAATCTGTCATCCCGCAGAAGATCAAACTCACTGCCAAAGATGATGTCAACAGGTTCGAAGCGGTCAGCCAGAAACGTAGCTATCGCCGCCGAAAGTGGAGCACGGGCCCCAGCGAAGAGATCCAGGAACAAGCGTGGTGCAGCTGGACCTGGGAAGTCTGTGCCGTCCAAGCATGGCGAGGCCAGGGAAGAGACTGGGCCCTGACACGGCAGGGAGTTGCAGCCAGCCTCAACCCTGTCCTCATCACCGGCAGCCAGCTGTAGCTGGCATAAGTTTCCACTGATGGGAAGTAAGTGGAAGATGATGAGGTTCCAGTGCCGACACCGTAGTCGAGTCTGAGGGAGCGGGAAGCCGGAAGCCAAGCTCGCGGAGACGTGGCGCCAGTTCCGCGACTTGCTCAGGATCTGCAACACAGACTTGAAGGGTATAGGCAGCCACCACTACACGACGGTCCTGCGCAGAAGCGACTGTGTGGAAGCAATCCCGAGCGTTAAAAACAACGGGCCCCTGAGCTTGAGGACCGTTGGGGCACTCGATGATGGCAGAGCCATCCGGGGATTCAATGGGAAGGACAATGTTCGGGATTGCAGCGTTGAGGCGATCACGGTGAGGGCCCGATTCAACCCCATCGATAATGACAAAACTGCTGTGCAAAAACGAAGGTGAGAGCAGAGAGATAAAATGATTAATGAGTCTCACAGACTGAGGATGGGAGACTGTTGCAGGGCGAAGATGTGCACCCTGGCGAATCGCCAAGCCCGCAGAAACGGATTTGCCCACAGCAAACCTGGCGTCACGGTCAGAGCACTCGGCCAACAGCAGGTCAGCCAGCTGCAAAACTACAGAGGCACAGGGTGCCTCTTCACGGAGAAAGAATTGAGAAGCAAAATCCTCAGCTGAACCCGGCAAAGGGGCTCCCACGTCGGGCAGGCAGACAGCAGGCGGGGCCCCGCCCGCATCAGCAGAGGGTGGCCCGGGAGCCCCGGCGACCCCCGAGACACCCCAACCTGTCAATGGGCAGCTGAACTGTGCGCACTAGCAGCATGGTCCGCGCCACAGGGCGCACCATTGGCCATCAAGATAGGACACTTGTGCGAGTAGCGGCACGACTTGTTCTTGCATTTGGCAGTGTGAAAGCGAATGCAGAAACCCTTGCCAGAGATATCCCGAGCCCAGTTTGCGGGCCAGCGAGACGGTGTCACCTTGTCCTTCGCAGCAGCCGAGGAGGAGGATTTGGTCTTCTGTGCCTTGGCCTTAGGCTGCCTGTGCGACCTGTCGCGACTGGCAGCACGCTTGCGTGAAGATCTCTCAGACGCAGGTGCATTTGGCACCACCGCCTTAACCCTTGGTGCCAAGCCGGCATGCATATCCGGGCGAATATGCGTCATTTTCGCAATGGAATCAGCCAAGGACCATGCGTGTTCCTGCTGCAAAGCGGACACACCAAGCCACACAACGCGGTCCGCCTCCATGACCTCCGGAAGAGATGGACAACGAAGACTCTTATCGACCGGCTGAGCAACAGCCAGCCCAACGAACTTCTCCATGAGCTTGCGAAGTGGAAGCAAATGCACCGCATCCAGCAGCGCGAGACCGTTGCACATAAGGCCAAAGAAGCGACGCACTATTGGCTCCACGGGTCCTTGATTGGGGATCGGAGCCTGCAGATCATCATCCGGAGATCCTTGAAGCAAGGTCAGCAACATGGCATTGTCAGTGCGCGGCTTTCGACGTTCGGTGAAAGCCACGGCGTCTGCCTCGCTGGTGCGAGAGCGCCAGGGGATCCAGGGTAGCTGCTTGGCATCCAGCCCTTCCTTCAAGAGCATCAGAAAAGGAAGCGACGGTGTCAGCTCGGCCGTGAGGAGCTCGGAAGGATACTTGGTCTGGAAGGTAGACTTAAGTTGGGTCACGTCTGCGGCTGACAGACGGGTGGCCGGGACGAGGACAACTGCTGCAGAGGAGATGCTGGAGCAGGACCACAAGACACACCAACCATATCCTGGCATGCCTTCACAACACGTCGCAGCCCCGCAGCTGCAGGGGAAAAGTGCTTCACCGGGGATGTGGCTAGCCGGGCGGCCCAAAACGGCAAGGAGAAAGGGTTCGAGTGCATCAGGCTCGGGCAGTGCATGAGCAACCAACGCAACTGTCGTATAACCCTTGCCCGTCAGTGCCTGTTGAACGTCATCGGGAGTGCCCCATTCCTTCATGGATGCAAGGAGGTAGCTGGGGTCATCAACACGAGCGCCTGCCATGACAACTCCAAAAGTCCGCAGGGTTAGAGACCCCACACTAACAAAAATGCTGAGCCAATGTACGAGCGAGTGACATAGAAGCACGTAAAACTCACGTGCACAGTCCGGTGAAGATGGCAACGCGTGTGCAACCTGCAGATACAAGACATGCATGTTCCGCTTTAGCCCAACCTGTGCACGACTGATCCGACAGGAAAATGAAACACCAGCTTGAGCACCTCAGGTCGCGCCGACCCACCGCGGGTAGGCCGCGGGTTGTCCCAAGAAGAAACACAAGCTTGCCCGAAAAATGCAGCAGGACAGAGGGATCCCGACAAGCGTGTCGAGCCGCCCTCGTCTGTACGCCCGCAGAAGAACATACCCCGAAGGGTGGGAGCAAGCAAGTGTTGCATAGTTGGAGCAGCAAAGACAAGCGTGTCTTCAGTCCAACATAGCTAAGCCAGTTCACGGAGCAAGGCAGAGGCGTAAAGACGGTTGGCGCAACCATCACGCAGCCAAGGCTCGCTGGACAGATTGCTCACGGCAGCAGCCATGTTTCAAACAAAGCCGACTACCAGCTGGCACCTCGGAACAGCGCACCAAATGACCTTCGGCCAAGCAACCGCGGATCCCACAGCCTGTACGAAGAGGGTGCTCCCCACGCTGTGTCGGTCGAAATTGGCACGCTGGGTGGTCAGGGTCACAGGTCTTGGCTAGGTGAAGAACATGACTGACTGGGTTAAACAGGAACTCAAACTCCTCCGCATCCTCGACCGCCTGCCAGGCTGCACCAAGAGCCGAATCTGGAGAACTGGACGAAGCCACATCCGCTTGGCGAACTGCTGGTAGAGTACGCACGTTGAAGCGGGCGCGCCAGCCGGAGCGAGCGAGACCAGGTCGAAAGTCCCCGACGCCGAAGGAGAAGCCGCTGCACGCACCAAACCAGCCCCAGGATCATCTTCCGCGGAATCGCTCGAAGAATCCACGTCCAGCTCCGCTGGCGGTCGGGCACTCAATGCCAGAATCTCCCCACCTGGCTCGGCTGGAGCGAGGGTCGGCACTGTGAACGGCACATCGGGCAAAGGTGGTCTAGAGCCACGAGCACTAGGGCGTAAGGGCTCGACGACTCGAAGTTCCTCCGCTGATCTCAGCTCTGGCAACTTCGGCAGTGTCCTCTTACGCTCGTGCGGCAGTGGCAACGCAACGTCGAGAGACTGCTCCCCTACCCTTGTCTTTTGTCATCTGGTTGGAGATTCAGATCCTGGATGTGACCCTCTCACCCGCTCGACGCCTACAGTGTGGTGCCTTTCTGACTTGCATTTTGGCTAGTTTGCGCTGGTCGGATGCACTCTGGTCGTCGCCGACCAAAGTGCATGCTGTGGATTCCGCTGTCCTGGGTTGTGCTCTGCGCACTAAGACGACCTCGCGTTCCATGCCCTGGGCGGCTCTGGCCAGCGGATTTACATCCCGCCCGGTTGGTGGTCCGGGTTGGGGCCAGGTCTTCGTGCAGCTCTGGCAAGAGGCAGTGCATGCAACTACATCCTTGCACCCCAACTTCGAGCCTGATTTTCTTCTCTCGGAGCTCGGTGACGACCCCTGGAGGCCTCAATTGCTCGGTCCGCTTTCTCGGCACCGTGGTATTTTGCTCTTGCGTTCCTTGCTTCGGGATTGCTGTTCCTCTACGCCGGCAGAGAAGCGTCCCGATTTGGATCTTATCGGGGTCCACTCCCTTAAAGTCACTCTCCTGTCGGTGGCGAAGCAGCTTCTGCTAGATGAAAATCTTCGTCGTCAGCAACGACATCGGGCGTGATGACATCGCAGGTCCTCTGGAGCTGCAGCAGCAAGTGGTCCGGGCCGGGGGTTTTCGACCACAAAACGTAGGCCCTTACTGTAATCCAACCAACTGCCGACTGCGACGTGCCCCTTGCATGAACCTGGAGGAAGTCGAGCAGCACACGCAGACTGGGCGAAAACTGCGTCTCGGACACCACCGCACAGAAAGACACCCATTGATCCCAGCAGTTGAAGTACGCACTCAGTGTCGCAGGTGCATAAGAGGCAACCAAACGCACCAGATGCGTCTCGCCCCCAGGCTGACGGAGTAGTTCGCAAACCACGTCACTATCCTGGCGTGCAGAACGAGCTATGCTAAGCCAACGATCCAGCTGCGAGTTGCGGGCATTGAGAAAAGCCTCCTGCATAGTTGAGACCGACCGCATGCCTGGATTCCCAAAAGGGGGAGCCGGAGGGAAGCAAGGGCTCGGTGTGCGAAGCAATCCTGTAGGTGGAGGAGTCCACGAAGGCCGCATATACGGTGACATAGGAATCCGTAGCCTGGGACGAAGAATCGGAGCCGCACATGGAGCTGTAGTCGTCGGTTGCAAGGGGGCTCGCACCCGCGGAAAAAGAAAAGGGGCCCGACACGGTGCTGCCACAGGTAGGCGAATCCGAACAGGGCGGTAAGTGTCCGAGAGCTTTCCATCCGTCCACTGAGATGGTCGAGGTAGCATGACGTAGCCAACGGGCGCATGTGACCAGAATGCAAGATGGGGAGGTGGGAGGGGCAACTATCTCCCCGAAAACCAAAGAGACCCAAAGCGAATCAGCGAAATACAGCACGAGACCGGTGTCAGCAACATGTGTGCAGGAGATCACTCAGCAGAGACAGTGCACATCTTTGGGAGCTGAAGCACTGCACCAGGTCACGATCTTTCGAGGCGCACAGGAGCCCCGGTATAAAAACTCTCGCAAAGGCCAAACCAACCCCCAAGGAAGCAACCCGAAGCCGAAGACAGAAGAACCCCGAGAACCCCTGAAGGGAGGGCCAGCAGCGTGCAGATGGCAATGTCGCACGCCGTGGCAGACCTCAAAGGCAAAATGCCCTGCACAAAAAATGAAGCAGACGCCGCCGGTCTCACGACATGGGCTCACCGGAGGAATTGTCGTGATGAGCTGCCAGAGACCGCTGCAGAGCTGCCATCTGAGCTTCCAGACGCGAGATCCGTGAGTGCACTGACATGGATGCCGCGGAGGAGCCTTCCCCTCCCAGAGTTGCTTCGATAACGGCGAGACGATAAGTCGTCCCCGCAGCCCAAGTGTCTGGTGGAGGGTCAATAGGGCAGGGAAACATAGGAATCCAACCAGCCAGACCATTCAAGAGCCGCTGATGAGTATCGACCATAGCGGACAAGTTGCGAACCTGATTCCGAAGGTCCGTGATCCAAGGAGCTGGAGGCACCGCGGGAGCATTCGGATCAAAGCGACTTGGCCCGCACATCAGACGCGCCTCCAGTGTCTCCAAGGCTGAACCAAGAGCAGCACAGCAAGCATCGGTCTCCTGCAAGGCGAGGATGACAGCGACATCCAAGGGCGGCATGCCCGAACCTTCCAGCAAAGGCAGGGGCGACTCGTAGACAAACTGGCGGAGATGGTTAAACCAGGCGCGGGCAGAACCACCAGCAGCAGGGGGAACGTCGCGGGCACGAAGCTGATTCTCCAGGTCCTGCACACGGAGGCGCAAGGAGGTGAACTCGTCCGGCACCCGGTGAGGAGCAGAATCAGAAGGCAGCGCTGGCGAAGTCGATACCCTGAGTGCCGGAATGTCATCATCACTGCTAAAACTGACCACCGGATCATCCGGCAGGGGGGCCTGACGGCGAAGGCACACGTTGTGTCTCACATGGCGGCGTGAGTGGGGTGGCATGATGGTCAACACTCACAACGGTCTGCAGACCCCCATAATGTCACAAATGCGCAACCATCAGAAGCCTTCTAAACGTCTAAACGTCCCTGAATGACAGGCCAACAAACAGCAAGAGAATGGACCCCTCCATCAATTGAGCCAAGCCAAGCGCGGCAAGGCAAAGGATGCTCCCAGACAGGAGCATGCCATGTTGCAACGCTCAAGCGATGAGCTGCAAGTCAGAGCAAGGGTAGCATTAACGTGCCATCACGAACCTGCCAGCGTGGCTGGATGACAAGGCAACCCAAGACCGCGACGGCATTTTGCAAGCCAAATGCACTATCCGGGAAAAGAGGCGTGCCAAAACTTATCGCTGAAAAAAATTGCGACCTGTACAGAGTGCCTGGAGAGAAAGAAAGCATAAAACTGCCCAATCCTAGATCCAAGATCCACACTGAGGCACCAGGAGCCGAAAGCCAGGACGGACGCTGCAAGAGTCCAGGCGATGTAGAGGTAGCCCAGGAAGTGCACGGAGCATCAAAGCATGCGTCGTCGAGCGCGTGGCGGGCTGCCAGATGCCGATGCAGGACGGACTGGAGATGCATGAGCAGATCCCACATCCTGGCATGCATCCACAGCCGAGTCTGGCTCTTGCGGACGCACTGCAGCCGGTGGTAGGCGGTCATCAAGTTCTCGAAGATGACACATGAAGCGAGCGAACACCTGTAGAAGAACCTGAACTGGCCAAGGAGCGCCAGGAAGATTCGAATCCTGCACCGGAAGAGGTAACTCCCGCAGTCGGTTGTACAAATAAGTGCAGACCTCCTGAGCAGCAGGATGATGAAGCGTCAACCCTGCGAGTGCAGTACGAAAGGACGTGTGGAACAGGGCCGCGGCCTCCGAATGACTCTGCAATATAGATCCACGATATGATCGGCCAGCTCAAAGTCCGGAGTCGGGTCCAAGGCAGAAGCTGCAGCCTGCGAAGGCGGCAATGAAGCGGCGCCAGCATCTTCACCGCAGGCAGCCACCTGGGAGCCGCTATCAGGCTGGAGACCGTGTGCAGAAGACGACGATGTAAAGTCCCGTTCAGCCCTGGACCAAGCGTCAAGTGCCGGGTGCTGCACAGCAGGTGCACCGTCCACCGTGGCCGGCCAAAGGCGGCGACGCCGACGAGTGACACCAGCAATGACCAGATGGAAGCCATGGCACCAAAGGAGCACCGCAACAAGCGCTCTCATGTCCCTAAGACAAAAATGCGAGGTCGAGACCTCCTGGTAGCGAATCGAGCAAGAAACTGCCGGGCCACAAATAATGGAAAACATGCCAAGCAAAATAGAACTCCTCAAGAGAAAATCTTCATGACAAGCAAGTAAGAAAATTCTCCAGAGGAAATCAAAAGCTGGGCATGCCGGCCGGGCAGGGCGGGGGGGGCAAACACCCTGGTTAAAAACCGTGTCCATGCTCCCTTCACTCTCTCACACATCTATATTTCCCTTCTTTCTTTCAGTCATCTCTATCTCGCTTTCCTTCTTCTTCCCTTGTCCCGATTGCCAGAGTCTGTGAGATTGGGAACTGTCAGGTATGAACTCTGTGAGCCTGAATCCTTTTGCGACATCTCCCTGCCTGGATTGAAATCGCAGCTTGTGCCTCTTCACGACTCGACTGCGATGCGTCACGGAGGTCCTGAAGAACACCGAATTCGGGCACATCGCGCTAAGATCGATCAAGCAACTCTGCTGCGACCCCTCAATCATTTCCTGCAACGGGCAACGGGAATCAAAAGTTTCAACAGAAGCCTCCAAGCCTTAAGCCTTTATATCTGAAGATCTCAAAAACACCCCGAGACAAGACCATTGCAAGGGCTTGATGGAGCGGAGCAGCCGCGAGCTGCTCCATACAGGCCGCCAGGCGCCTGAACTCTTCTTCTCTGAAACGTGCTTGTCTTTTGTGTGGATTGTAGAGGTCCAAGATCGTGGAGTGTCGATTGAAACCACATCTCAACCCCATGTCCGGTTCAAGCACTGGGACTATGTCGCGTTCGGGCATACCTCGGGTGTCCCGGCCTCTCGAACTCCTCCAGGACTATCTGCTTGGCTTGCGCTTGGTAGTCAGGTCCTGGGTCCATGATACAGGTGTGGTTGCGGGCGCCATGCGGATCTCTACTTTTCAAGGAACCTTCATCTTGAGGCACATCCCAAACCAACTCCGAAACTTTATCAAGTTTGAGAAGAGCATAGTTCTCAAAAATCTTGTGCGCCGCTCGAAAGCTACAGTACCTGGTTTCGACCTTAGACAATCTTGGAACCTTTGACACCAGGCAGCAAAGCGGCAAAGGCCACCACTGTTCGACCCTGAAACTCGAGAAACCTCGCCATACTGCAATGTTCGGCCTGGGCTTCTTTATGACATCAAGTGCCGAACACCAAGACTAACATTCAGTTTCTCCTCGGCCATGCTCTGTTGTTTCGGACCGTGCCACTTTGGGCGATGCTGGGGCAGTTGCCTTGACTTGCTGAAACGCGGTTTGGTAGGTTACGGGTTGAAGCTGCAGGGATGCTGCACTTGGAGGATTTAAGTATAAACTATATTTATCCACCACTGTCTGCCACTGCCTGACGATCTACCGCTCTACGGCCTTCAGTACTTCAGTTCTGTTCCTGCAAGCAACCTGCCTGAGCGGCAAACCGTACACCAGTACCCCCGGATTTTCAAAATATCTTGAAAATCTGCCGACTTCACATCAGCAATTCCGTGCAAATCACGGCTTCACGAACAACTCCGATCTACTCGAGGCTCAGCACGCTCAAGTCGATCTGCTCCTCGCGACTGGCAGAGAGACCATCGGTTGCCTTATAAGCCACCCCCCCAAAAAAAGTCCAAACATGCAGAAGCCCATACGTGCCCCATAGCTTTGGTGCATCTGTTGCTTTGAACGCAAAACTCAAGACCCGTACAGATCAAAGGAAGTCCCTTGGAACCTGCAAATCTGTCTGGTCAGGGGGCCAGATGTGATGATGCGATCTAGAGGTTTCAATAATTGTGAAGCTTGGGATGCATAAGTCTCTGGTTGACATCAACGTGGAGGTCACTGACACAGCATTCCAGTACGAATTTGAACAAAGTGTAGCCAAGCGTTGAACAACGCCTCCGGAAGCTCACTTCTGAAGCAAGTGAGCCTCTGAAATACATGTTCGAGCCCCCAAGGCCGTGACTCCACACGCCATACCCAACCTATAGAAACCTTTGCACCCTCCATAATCCAAAATACAAACCTTCATTTCATGCCCTCAAACTCTAAGCCTCTAAGCCTGTCCCCGAGTTTCGTTTGCCTCCAAAGTCCTCGGCCGCGTTTCACAAACGCACATGCAGGTGGGCAGCAGCAGCAAATTCGGCCTGTGGCTTGCTTTCAAGAGACCGGAAACCCTGCGAGCTTTCCTCAACCCCTTCCCCAACCGCCCCCCCCCTCCCCCCCCAAAGAAACCAAACATCATACTAAACACTAAACACGACTACATCTCCCGACAGAAGGTGGTAGGGAGAGTGCTGTGAGAGAACTCTCCTGATTACAGCAGGGCTTACCAAGGCTTGTGATAACCCTTATATGTAGTGGCTTCTATTGGATGCGGTGATCTTCATTGGCTGTGATTCCCTTCATCGTGCTGGACTGCCTCACACTGCAGGTTTCGAGCTTGGGCTTGTCAATGTTTTGATGGCGCACGGGTGTGAAGGCATGTGCTTCACGGGGTGCTAAGGCTGCGATCTCAGTGTCTCAGGGGCCCTCTGAGTCCAGTTCTTGGCAGGGCTGCAGGCTTTACAAGTCAGTGTGTGCCAGCGGAGCGTCGATGCCTTGCAAGTTGCCACCGCTACCGCTGCTACCTCGAACAACGATGGGTCATCAATATGTACACACAGTGTAGTACACACAGCCACCTGAAGCCCACAACGTGGCAATAGGATTCCAATATTTCCCAGAATGCTCGGCACCATCTGAAATTCAGGCGGAAGCGTTGGCTCTGCAACTGGCCGGGCATGCGCCAGGTGACTGTAGCGACGTTGCACAGCCGCAACTCTGCGGACACAGGGATGCCAAGGACCCAAAGAGCTCTGGGAAGCCATCGCAGTACGTAGCGTCGATAAAGATGTCCGTGGGAAATCGCAGCAGTGCTGGACAACCCCCTGAAAGCATGGCTTGGATGGTTCGGTTCGCAACTTGAAAAGCCTGGAAACCTTCCAGGTTTTGCCCAATATAGTTGGACAGTGCTGCTGGATAAGAGGTCCAAAAAGCCCGCCAGCTCTCATCACTTGGCGGCACATCTTCACAAGAGCGATTCTGCAGCTGCTGCGCACCTATAGCCATACAACTCGGCGAGCAACCCTGCGCAGCCACCTTGTACCAAGGAGAGCTAAAGGGGTTGAGGCACCCACAAGTTTCACCGCACACCCACCGCACCAGCCGGCCATCAGCGGAGTCACACAGCTCGCTTAGCTCGGCACAACTTGAAGCGCCAGCGCGCATCACACTTGCTGCTGCATTATTCAAAAGCCGCGTGGCCAAAAGCAGCATTGTCGGATCCACGCTGAACTGACCACCCTCTGCCAGTGCCGCCAACCTCCACACAAAGCTGGGCATTGGACGCGTGTTCTGCCATGCTTCGTGTGCTTTCCACTTCAAAGAGGGCTTTGTTGGCAGAAAACAAGATGTACTTCGGCCCCAATGCATCCGGTGTGGTCTGGGGCGAGGTGGCCTTGTGAGTGTACACGGCAAGCTCAATCTGCGACAGGTTCCCGACGTTGCGGGAGGCGGTAGTAGACAGACCATATGGGATCTGGCTGTCAGCATTGTAACGAACCACGAAGGTCTGCGTGCCACCGCATAACTCATTCTTTATCTTCAGCATGTTGTCTCCGAGGGGCAACAGCAAAAGGCAGTAGACTACGATCACCAAGGAACTCATGGAGACAAAGTGTAGCAAAGATTCGCATTGACTCCTGCGCCGGCTATACCGGACTTGTATGGGCTGCAGCCGCTGTATCCCTTGATGGATCATTATGGGGGTCATGCCCTCGAAGAGGAACTCATCAACGTCCAAGATGGCATGGAGCGCCACCGCATTCAGCATCAATTCTTCGATGCTTGTTGTGCGAGCCAGCCACAGGATCCCAGCCACCATCAAGACGGAGGCAATCACTACCCGAACAAAAGCCACCACAAGGAGTATGTAGAAACGACACCACGACAAACTCTGAAATGTGTTGTTGCAGAACGTCGACAGACGGGACTTCGGAATCTCCTTGGTCGCCTCCAGCTGAAACCAGATTCGACGAAACTCCTTGTGGCTCGGGCAAGGGCTCGCAAGAAGCTTCATGTGTGCTGGACGCTGCTTCATGCGAGCCACTTTCGAAAGGCCAAGTCACCGAGCTAACTCCAAAATCACAGACTTTTTCGAAGGCTGGCCTTGCGTTTTTTTTGGCTCGCAGCCGAGCATTCGGACGGCGCAATCCAGACATTGCAGGAATTCAGGGAACAAATTATATGCTCAGTAAACAAAAGCAGCGGCTAACGTCCGGACAACCGCCTGAGACAATGTAACGACCCTAAACATGAACCTGAAGTATTCGTCAGACCAGCACACGCAAACGCCTAAACAAACTGTTCGAGTGCTACAAGCGCGAACTGTTCCAATGAATATGTTTTGACCCCAGCACATTCTATTTTGGATGCTACTTAATTCTCTGACCATTGATAGTCTGATAGTCTGTTTTGATCCACGGGTTTTGCTGTAGAGGGTCCTTCGAAAAGAGCGTTTGTCTTCGAACTGAGCTTAGAGAGAAAGGCACGCGTGGGCAAACAAGAACACGCACTCGGCACTAACAACGGAAACCTGGTCCTTGTATATGCACAAACTCCACAGAACAATGCAGAGGAGGCAGAGCAGCGTACCTGGTTGAAAGAGAGAATGGTCAAGCTGCGTCTTCTCCAAGCCCAGGAAGTCGTTGATGTGATTGACGAGTATTGCTTGGGTTGTGGACAGAATGAGGGCTCCATCACCGTTGCAAACTCTAGATACCAAGCTGGTGTCTGCCAAGTCGAGATACTTCGCATCGTGCGCCACGCTGGTGCGCCAGATCTTGGCACTTTCAATGTCTTTCTCCAGGGACTCCCCCATGAAGCCGTCCGAGAGAAGCACATAGGTGAAGGCTGTCTGCATGCCAAAGTTCAGTAGGACCAGCATGGCAGCAAAAACATTGTCGAACCAACCTACGTCAACCACTCCGATCAGGAGTGGAACGCTCCACACACTTGCCTCAAAACAGACTTCGGTTGACTCCTCCGCCTTCTGCTGGCCCATGATGGGGCCGATGGGATGAGGCGGATGAGGCTTCGCAGCCTTCACCTCCTGCTGCATTGCGCCACAGGCTGGCGACACTTGATTCTGGTCCTGCAGCACTTCTGCCTCGTGGCCTTGCTGGCTTGGCTGGCCATGCTTCGCATGAAGTCCGAGGTGCGCCTCAATGACGTGCAAGCGTGCAGCTAGGTTCATGACGTCGCCCTGCAGCTCCTCTCGCAGTAATGCGAGCTGATCCTGAAGGAGCCCTGGCACGACCTGGATGCTTTCCGGATTATCGCCATCTTCGACCTTTGGGTCGCGCGGAATCCGAGGTGCTGGCATGGCAATTGCTGCCGTAAGTCCCCCAAGTCCCCAAGGCCCTGGAGCTGTCGTTCTTAACACAAACATCTACAAGGAAGGTGTAGCCGCTAGAGCCGCATGTGTCTAGAGATGAGGCAGGAATGCAACTAGCATTCGTCTTCGCAAAGCGTGTGCACCTGGAGCCATCAACTCTTTTGGCACTGGGGGGCACGAAAGTATGCTGCAGGCCCCAGCCGCTGGAATCCAAAGACAACATAAGACCAAGCTTGTCCGGACCTAGGCTAGATACGTTGGGTTCATTGTGGGATGGAATGGCATGTGTAGCGCGCGCGGCCAACACTTCAACGTGCTGAGCATCTTCGTGTGGTTTCAAGTCTTTCTTGTGGTCACGGAATAGCTGAACATTCGTCCTGGCCCTCAAACCAAGGATCCCCTTTTCAAACCCTGTGTGAAGCAGTGCTGGAGGTTACAAGGATCGGGGTGGCGTTTTGGCCTCTCCTGACTCCTGACTCAACACTGGGGGAAGTTATTTGCAAGTCCTTGAGCTTACAGGCCGCAGGCTTGAATGCTGGAGGCTTTAGGTTTGTGAGCTTGGGGCTACGGCCTTGAAGGTTTGTTTTAAGGCTTGAAGGCTTCAATGCATGGACTCAGCGTTGGAATCCGGTCTCCAAGGGCCTTGTTCTATGCTGGACCACTTTTCAATGGAGTTATTCGGGGTCAAACATAGGGGGCCATCATATAGACACACGGCGAAAAGTTCGGCTCTCAAAACGAAGACACCGGCCAGGATCTTGACCAGACACGACGGTCCCTGCAACTGCCAGGACATTTGACATTCGAAGACAAGTTCAAACTAAAAACGATGACAGTTATAAGGATCGTGAACCCAACTTGCCAATGTCTTTAGTTTTTTGGCTACACGAAACAGTGTCAAGCGAATACGCAAATGTGGGTTACGATACCACGGTTTCCGCGTGCGGCGCTGACTCTTAAAGCGTCGATTTGTCCTGAAAAGAAAGTCGGGAAGCCCTGCAGGAGCAATCAAACCACGAACGGGGATGAGGACCTGCAGGTTGTTGCTGCGTTTGGCTAGCCAGGCATTCGCTGACTCGGTTGGGAAGCCCACCACTTGGAATCGAATCTGAAACAAGGAGGAGAACATGCGGCGTCGTGATACCGGTAGGTGGTCTTGAGAGGCATGGTCAACGCAAACGACGTCCGAGTGAGCGAGCTGCAGCTACAGCTATTGCCTAAAGGTTGACCTACGGTTTGTTTGGCTCAGCCATTGTGTCTCCTGCATTAACATATATGCCACAAGCATCAGAAAACCCTAGACACGGCTACGACATGTTTGGAGGTTGTTTGGCTTTGATTTGTGGAGCCGGCCTTATGAACTCCCGCAAAATCCTGCAGCATGTATCAACTGCCATGTCTGGTTGGCCAGCCTTGTGAGGACATGACGACCCGAAGAGCGTCGATGACGAAGCGAAGGCATCCATGGCCCCAAAAGCTTGGATCTATGGATCTGCGAAATAGCTGATCAAGACTGTGCCTTCAAGCTTCCAATTACAACCTTCTGCAGCAGATCTCAAAAAGTTTGAGGCCATGTGATGGGTTGAATCTATATGCACGTGCGAAATTTGAGAACTATGGAGGCACAACGCATGCAGCGAGAAAAAAGTGGGTGAAGTCTCTAGCTCATCAGCTGGAAATGGGAGCCACCATGTGCATGTCAGAACGACTGTGGAACAAGAGCCTATGCCGAATCACCCATAAAAGTTTGCCTCCCAGATGTCGCCTGAAGCTTAGATAACCGCAAAAAGGATCAATTTCGGGAGCTTCCTCTCAGATCCTACCAAGAAAGCCGTCGGGGCGGGGGGTGGTGTGAGCTCAGCCTTCGTGGCTTTAGTCTTGGGACCTACCTCCGAATCCAGAGCTGGCCAAAGAGTCGGTTCAAATTGTCCAAGACAGTCTGGATCGCCCGCTGCTGGCCATCTGCGTAGGACCAAAGCCCCAGATTCCGGCCCAAGTCGGAGTCCTTCAGTGTTTATCGGATTTTATTTGGTTCAAGGATGTTCAAGGATGTTCAAGGCTTCGCGTTGCAGTCCTGCCTTGGAATCCAACAGCCCAAGCTTTCAGGGACCCGGCTCAGTGCCAACAAACTCAACATTCTCACCGAAAACTCATTCCCGGGAGAAAACCTCAGACTCAGAGAGCTGTTTCTTTGTGGGAGGCCAGGAATTTGCTGTTGAGATTCTGTGTGCTTCAAATCTCTTCGCAAGAGCCACAACCCTGCCATGGCTGTTTGCGACTGAGAGCTCCTGGCCGAACAAAGCTGCCACTGCAAACGCCACCTAACGTCGCCCGCTGAGGGTGCATTGTGGATGGAAGCTGGGGAGGAAGATAAGTAGACGTGATACCGAAATGCTGGGGGGCTCTTTGTAGATGCAAGTGTCTCTCGTCTTCCTTGAAGTGCCCAAGCTTGAGGCCAAGCTGCCCCTAAGGAGAGTCCCAGGCCCAGGGAGGCGCCCACGGAGACCTCGAGGAGGAGCCCCACCTCACGTTATAGGTCGGTCGCGAGGTCTCCGCTCGACATGCAACAAACAACCTGATACTGGTAACATGAATGCTGCGGGAAGAAAACCGGACCTCCTGAAGCTGCAGCTCACATGACTTAAGCCCGAGGCTCCACAAATCATTGCTGTTGGGGACACTTGGGCCGATGAAGACACACAACACCTTGAACAAGTTGGTGGGCCCGATCCAAAACCATCAAAACTCGCAACCCTGTTATGACACTCTTGTGTCCTCGGCACTGCGGCAACAAACCTGCTTGCCGTCGGGTTGCAGCATAACCGACTGCACCACCAGCCCCAAGGGCCTGGCGCTTCCGCAACACCATCTTTAATATCATTTTTGTAACATGCACTGTGCAATTTCTACGCGAATCTGGTTGATTTACGCTCCAGGCTTCCGGAATTTGGGGGGGGGGTTAGCAGTTCAAGCGCTTGAGACAAAGAACTCGTCTGATGGCCTTCCGGATGCCTAACAAGCTGTCTGCGAGAATTCGGGTGAGGCCGTGGACGTGTAACCAATGTTGTCACAACTCTCTAAGCAGGTACACTCCACAGCTAGCCCGATTTGGTTTCAAGCTGAAGACCACCACGCTCCGAGACTCCATTCACCCAATCTGATGGCGGGCGTGTGTGGCTGTAGGCAAGTGCAATGCCGGGTCGGGAAGTGCACTCGACGTAGCGTCTATTGTTGATGTGAAACGCCCAGCCTTCTCATGCGGCGACCCTGCTTTTCGCTGAACAAATACGTCTCCGACGTATCGAATAGCTGTACATGTCGGCATGGCGAATGCAGTCGAGTTTTTCCACTCTGTACTGGTCCTGCCGGGCTTTTCAGGGGATGCCCGGTACATTCCGGCACTGCCTGTGGGGCGAGGGCTGTTTTGCGCCGCTGGCGGAACATCGACACACTCGAGCGCCAATAGCTAGAAACGGTGGCCTCTACGTGACAACGCGACCTGTCGCATCGCACAGACTTCGTGGGCCGGTACGTTCCGCTGCGCAGCTCAAAAGAGCGGTGAGGACGGCCAGTGGCTGGGAGGCAAGAGTTGCTTTGCCCAGGTCCAATTTTTGTGCGGGGCTGTCTGCTTGAGCATGAACCCTAGCCCAGCCCAGTCCGAAGAACTCCCGTTGTCCGCCATTTCCAATGCATCGCCTCAAGCACGCCTCCTAACAAGTGCCGCTTCCGATCCACCTGGCACCACAAGATAGCATAGCTGTCGTCGCGCACGCGCTATCATTCTGCCATCGTGCGCTTGCAATAGTAGTGCACATTGCCGGACCTCGACAGAGTTGATGGTAGAACTGGTAGAACACCTTCATATCTGCGGCGTGCTTTTTTTCGTTCGGCAAGGAAACCTGTCAAGCTGCTCTCATAAAATGTCGTAGCTTTTTTCCCATTCATCGTGCAAGTTCGTCAGATGCTGGTCAGCACTCTGGCGTCCCTCAAAGCGCGTTTACCTACCTGACCCGATGTTTTGCCCAGCTCACACGATGGCAGCTTAATTTTGGGGGGTGCTCTCTAGTTTTACGGTTTTCGGTGGCTTCTTCGATTGACTTCGCAAAGCTGCAGAGGACCTCCAAGGAAGGAGCCATCATGCCGCGGAGGGAAGCGCCCCAGGCCTTAGACACAAGCACACAAGTCGGACACAAGTTGGACACAAGTGCCCCCGCGATACGGTCCTCTGTTTTCTGATATTATAGCCCATGGAAATCGCAAGTGGTGAAACGTGACCCGTGGTGCCACCTTCACAGACGTAGGCGTATCAAGCGATTTTCAGGCACCTATAGGTCGCAAATAAAACCTCTGACAATAAGCACCCCGAACTGGCGAGGCATGGCAGGCACGATGAATCTCTGATTTTCTAAGGCTCTCTCCAAGATCTACAGCTCGAGAGCTCAATGGACTCTGGCCGCTGCAACCTCATCGGATAACCATGCCGCACGTGACAGTGCAGAGGAAAGCGTCGTTCGCGCCAGCCTCCAGGCACTCCAACTTGATGCTTGACCAGTGAAATCTCCATCTTCAATTCGAATAAGCGTAGGCTCGAAGGCAACGGGGGAAAGCTGGCGCAGCCTCATCGGAAACAGCTCCAGTTGAAGAGGTGGTTGAGGTGCATGCGGCATGTTGGACTTGCGCCCGTCGTAGCACCCAAGGGCACAAGGACCAAGCCAGACAGCAGAAATCAGCAGAATCATGCGCACTCTGCTCGAGGGTCAAGCTTGAAGCTTGGAGTCTAAGACGTTTTGTAGGAAGTCCGACGCTTGTTTGAGGATGCGCTGTTCGATGATACGCAGCTGGCGCAACCCAGTCTGCATCGAATCAACCTCCTGCAACATGACACTCTCTTGATTGCACGAAGCTTCAGAGCACTAGGAGACAACAGCTTATGAGCATTCCGAACGCATCTTATTGCACGATCGACACTATTAGCCACATGGCCGAACGTGTCAACTGTCAACGGGCTCCCTGATGTCACGCCTTCTCGACCTCTTCATCATACAGCATCTCCTCAAGCACTGCAGAACAGTTCAGGACGTCATCTAGGCCGCCTAGGCCTGAAAAAGCCCCGCAAATTCCAAAGCCTATGCAGCCTATGCGCAAGCCGAACTTTCCTTGCCGATAGATGTGCCTGAACTTAGAGATGACATGTCCTCGTGAGCCAGGCTGGATGTGTGGTAGGCCTGGCCCGGGCATGTTCACAACATGGCCGTATTCACCAACGGGCCTCAGATTCATCCCGAGAGTTGATTGAATGGGGTGGTTGAATAGGTAGCTAGGCTGCCCAAGTTGGCATCACATGAAGGCTCCAAGCCGGCGTGTGGGCCAACCCGCAAACCACCCTGGAAAATTCGGACAAGAACCGGTGTAAGAGCAGGTTGCGAAAAGACCGTGCAAATCCAATTTCGCAGACCCCAAGTATCGCAGTGTTGAGGCGTGATGCTGCAACGGTCAAGAGGTCTCAAGCAACAAGCCGAGCACCGCTAATTCCTGCACCTCCCTGTACTATGGCTCCTTATTGTAGGCCCCGTGCTCTGGGGCCTTCCGCCGGAGTTCCAGCGCCCCAAGGCAGGTGACCAAGGAGGCAGATGACGCCCAGGAGATACCTCCGAAGATACCGACGATGGAGTAGCTCGCATGCTGAAGGCTTGAACTTCCTGCGTTGCTCAATCTCTGAACCCCTCTACTACATCATATGCTTCCAACCTTTATGTCGGATGTGTGCTGTCTTCGATTTCAGGAAGAGTCGCCCATTCCTTTTTTCAAATTTTGTCCTGGGTTCAAGTTCAGTGTTTGGGACTTGTCCGGATGGTCAAGTGGACCCTTACCCGCCGAGAGAAGAAAAGTCCACCTTGGTTCATCTCAGGTTCAGGGCTTGGCAGAGTGGGAGAGCTACACAGAGGGTTGTGCGATGCCCTCTTCGCCCTGCGAGGCACCCCAATTCGCCACGGCAGCAAAGACCGTACAAAAACTTAGGGCCCATCTCACACTGTATAGGCTTTAGATCCAAAGCCCCCCTCACACCAGCTTTCCCGAGACCGAACCTGAAGTCCACCCGTACCTGGGAACAAAGCTAATGAGATTGTGCCCGATTTTTCAGGCATTCCTTTGACGTTATATAACCCTTTCAACCTTCAACGCGACTCCAGCCTGGTGGGGGCAGCTTCCCAGATCCTTCGCCCAATGCATCAGCGAGAGGGGCTGCTGCTGGGGGCAAGGCGACCAAGGCAGCCCAGTCCTGCCAGCAGTTCGGGGTTTCAGGTTTTTTTGTTTCGGGTTTAAGGGTTCCCGGTTCCCAGTGGCCCAGCGATCAGAAATTCAGGGATAAATGAGTCCAGTTCAGGGCGACGACAACAGCAGCGGGAGTTCTTTTCAGTCTTGACATCGTTCAAATTTTAGATGCCCTTCTCGCGAGGCTCGTAGAGTTCGGGCTTATGGTGGGTGATCAACGTTCCGGAAACGCAATAATCCGCTCCAGGAGCAATGAACCCAACAGACCTGGTACAAGCCACTTAGCATGCTGCGCTGTCCCTCTGCCCCATGATCTCCTACAAAGCTCGATAAGTTAGCTTTCTAAGAGGCTGCCTCCATCTGCCGGGAATGCATCAGAAATGTCAGAACTTTTGGTGCTCCTCTTCAGACATGGCGAAGCAACTCGCCACGACCAGCAGCGCCCGCAAGCCTGCCGAAGCGAGGTACTTAAAAAGCACACACGGACGTCGAATGTCTACTTCGCAACGCAATCAGGAACTGTTTTTGTGAAAAACCTTGAGGACATGTCGGACTGCAACGACCCTTGCGACAGCTGACGGTCAGTTTCGGACTGATGGATATAAGGCACTCAGCGAAGTGCAAGGGCAAGATGGCAAGACTTGTTTTCATCGAGCCGGTGCCAATGCTCAACAGGCAACCTGCCTTTCACGCCGCCGCTTGCTGCAGGGCGCCTGCTGAGGGATAGCTCCACGCCCAGCAGGTCCTGTAGCAAACTTGAGTTTTTACAGGTCTTATAGGTGTTGATGGGGACGCTGGGGACTAAACAACGAAGTCTGTGTTTGGCGACCACTTTCCAAATACCACACAGGCACGGGCATTGCACACCACCACCCAGCTTTGGCGTTCGCACGCAGAAAGCCTCACTTGACATCTGTGCCATGTCACCAGACATCGTCTGCAAGATGGCTGCCAAAGTATGGGTGGCAAGCAAAGGACCCTGCTGAGTGGTCGGAGCTGCTCACGAGCGAGCCTCGCCTACATCTTTGCAATCCCCACAGCTTCGCGTACCCGTTTACATGTCCACTGTTCTGACAGTGCAAGCACTTGTGCTTCCATGCGGACGAGCTCACACACGATCAAGAGTTAGTCAAAAGATTGTCCAAGAGTTGAAAGCCCCCCATGTGGACACGAAGTCAGTCCTGACTTGACATCGACAAGAACTTGTTGGTGTTTGGGCTTGACTTCTTGTTTACCGGCTCGGATCTCGGTCTGAGGAACACCAAGCCTCAAGTCGCTATTCAGGGACGCTCTGCCCACGCCAGACAATCTGGCAGCCGCTCCTCCACACCATCCCACGGAGAGGGCTCCAAGATCCCCAACCTTGGGCTGGGAAGGGCTCTAGCGGGTTGAGGTCTTAGATGGGCGTAGGGGTTTGGTAGATTTTGGCTCAGCTTTGTTTAAGCTTGAAGGCTTTTTTGCCAGGAGGTAGGTGTTGCAAGGCTGCAGGACTTCGCGGTAATGGCTTCGCAAGAAATTAGCCCAAGGCTATGTGCCTTCTTCGACGGATCTGCGTGGGACTCGTGATGTTGAGGCCACTCTCAAACTTTACGTCCCAAGCATTCCCAAACCCTCAACTCCTCGTGCCAAGGTCAGGAGCTGTTCAAGCAAGCCAGCACGCGGCAGCTTGCTGGAGCCACCCTGGCTGCTTGCGGCCGCCTTCATCACTTGGTGGCTTTAGGCTACGCGGATTCACGGATTTAGAGAGAGAGAGAGAGAGAGAGACATACAGAGATGGAGAGAGAGAAGAGAGAGAGAGAGAGAGAGAGAGAGAGAGAGAGAGCGAGAGCGAGAGCGAGAGCGAGAGCGAGAGTGTGCGTCTCGGGAGGAGGGGTCGGCAAATCGTCAGAAGGCTTGTGCACAATGGCGTATGGGCGGCATGGCTTTAGGGTAGAGCCACGATGGAGGGTCAGAACATCTGATAAGAACGTGCGGTGGGGCACGGGGGTCTTTTTGAGACTGGCTGGGCTGGACCTTCTTGAGAAAGCTTTAGATCTGGAACATTTGTGTTTTTTGCAGGTTTTGTAAAACGCTTCCTTTTTCATGTTAAAATGTTAAAAACCACAACTTAAGCACATGAGAATCTTGAGCAAGTTCTCTGAGAAAGTTGTTGAGATCTCGAACATTTGCCACAACTTCAGGCAAATGTCAGATTCTAAGAGACAGCTGTTGAAGCATGCGCCGGCGACTGCCTCGCTTCAGTTGACTTTAGCGGCATTCAGCAAAGGCACACCGGAGATCCCCTGAACTTCGTAAACCCAGATCGAAGCCTTGAACACATGTCCGCCGGTGTGCCTGCACCATCTCAACGGTTACGGTGACCACCTTGCTCTAGATCGAGGGATGTAGTGCTTTAGGGTGGCGGCGTTCAAGTCTCACTTATAGGGTTTAAGCGGGTTGATTCTGGCTCAGAGGCTTCAGCTCTTGCGCTCGGACTGTTGAAGTTCGGTCATTGGCAACTAGGGATTTGTAGGGATATGCTGACCTGCATTTAAATCATGACAACACCAGGGCTAACGAGGAGTTCCTCGAAAAGCCGATTTTGGGAACTTCCGGCTTCCGTTCTCAATCGGGGCTGTTTCCGTGCGCGGCTGGCTTCAGGACTCATGGCTCTTGATACCAGAAACTAGCAGAAACTTAGAGGCGCCTCTCTTTCGGACACCAAGATGTCGGTAGCCCTCGCAGCCAGTGCCGCGAAGCCATAGCGGTACCTTGACTGGTGTAGACCAACAAAAGAAGACTAGGCCCAGGCACACTATGCCCTCAGCCTGAGGACGAACACTGATCAAAGCAAGCATTGTGTGAACGATGCTTCAAGTTACTTTGTGCAGTTCGGCTACAAGGAGTCCGCAGTGGAAAGATCTCCGTAGCTCTGGAGAATCTCCCCAGCAGCTATGTCGCGAATTGCCTTGCCTCGCACGCTGCCTTTGAACAATCGGAACTCCACGTGCGGCTTCCCGTGGTTGGCCTCCAAGCCAAGCTGGAGCCCCCGCCCCCAAACCCTGAAAGCCGTGCCATATGCCCAACAATGACTAAACCCTCGTCTCGCCGGTGACATGCCAAATCAGTTCAACAAAGGCTAAGCGGCTAACCAAAGGACTCGCCGAAGACCTCGTGACTTGTGCAAGGCTGCCCTTCCATAGCAAACTTCAGGATGCGTTACCTGTAGTAACTCTAGTAGTGTGCAGAAGCTTCTTGCCTGGTCGACGAAGGGAACCATGGCCCCTCCAAACCTTCCAGGCCAAGTGGGCACAGGGGGGCAAGACAGCATGTCATCTTCAGTCAGTGCAGTCCTCCAGAGTACCAAGCCAAGCAAAACTAGCAACTCGCTGTTCTTGGGAGTCGTTGCAGGATCATTATGCTGACGATGACGATGATGAATCATGTACTTGTTTCGCGTGCCTGCAGTCATCTACGCCGGAACGCCAAATTCAAAGTGGCTGTGGGCCAATGGGCCAAATCCCTTTGTCATGCGCCCCTTGCCCCTTCCCCACGCTGCCCCCGTGCAGGAGCGCGATTCGGACCGCACACAACCTCGGGAGATCGCGATTTGATGAGTGCCGCGATGCCCAAGCTATTCGCGATGCATGATTTGGATGCCGCACAGCAACGAGTCTCAAGCACTCGGCAACACCGCGAGGGTCATCGTTCGCGAATTGCAGCCGCCATAGGAATAGCCGAGAGCAACCCCTGCGTGCAAAGATTTGCACCGCACCTGGAATCAGAAAGCCGAGAACGCCGTAAACAAGCCCCGGTTCCACCGTGCACGGCCCAGGATGACCAACTGTTTGGGGAGAAGGGCTTGTCGCGGCAGCTTGCTTCCAAACCTTGTCGTGCATCGTGCGGTCTTCTTCAACCCTTACATGCTCATGACAGCCTTGTTACCGCCAAGGTTTATCGTTCTGCAAAATGCCTGTCGTGAGTGGGAAGCAAATGTTTTTTTTAGGCCTCTGCCAGGAAACAAACTTCAAGCAGTACACACAGGCACACGCAGAATACGCAAGGTGTCGCAAAGACATGTCATGTACTCATGTAATCATACAACACTCCCAATGTCCATGCATCTATGGCCCTCTGGCTGAGGAGGGACCATGGCTGCACTCTGCTGAGGACCACGGCGCAAGCTGCGACATAGGCAGCCAAAGAGGCCCTGCAAAGGATCTCAGGTTGGGGGAAGGGAAGGCAGGGGTGAAAGCGAAGGAACAGAAGACTACAGGGGCGTCATGCGTGGGGATTTCACCACTCTCGGGGCTGCGCTCATTTGTTGCTGCTAGAGTGTCGTCTCTTTCTTGAAGCTGGTACGTCACGTGGAACAAACCGCGAGCAGACATGTGGATATAGAAGCGATAGCAGCATCATCTCAAGATCTTCGCCACCGTCCCTAAGCCCCATTCTTGGAAAGCTGCCTTATCTTGACATCAAGCGTTGGAACCTTCTGTAGATTCGACAGCATGTCCCCAGAGCCTCTTACAGCCCAATGAGGTGAGGATCGGCTGCAGCGTCTCGGCTTCTACCCCTCAGTTGCCGAAAGGCCGGCTCAGGCGACCACGAGCGAATTGAACCTACTGCATCCCTAAAAAACCCCCAGAAGTTGTTCTACATGCGTGACATGCTCACAATTTCGATGGTCAGCACGATCGTACAGTAGCAAGGTCCTTCTTATCGTCTTATCCTGTCCCCTACAGGCCCTACACCCTCTAAACCAAGAAGCGCAAGCGCCGCTGCTTCGCGGCCACCGGCGCGCTAAGCTCAGTGCCATCCTCAGCTCAGCACTTCAGGCACGGGAGACGGGCGCATTGCACAGTCGGTTGCTGTAGGAAGACACGACGACATGATCAAACTGAGAGAAGAGAAGTTCAAAGCAACAGCTTCAACAAGAGTACAAACTTCTATAACTCGGCTACTAGAGGCAGCTGGATGACAAAAGCTTTCGGCTTCGGGCCGCTTTTTTCAATCATTGGGCCCGTGCAGGACCTGCTTGAAGCTCACACGGAGCGCCGTTGTGCCCTGAACCTTCGGCCCCACTATGACTGATCTACCATGGATTCCCCTCCCGTTAATTCACTCTGAGGCAAGTTGCCAGCAGCTGCCTTGCCGAGCGTTCCCCCTGGGGCCAGTGCCAGTTCCAGGCCAGCACGCAGTCGACCGGCGTAACCTGCGTTTCGTTGCGCGGCTTCTTGGGACTTGTTGTTTGTTCTCTCCGTTTAGTTGACAGCTCATTCTCACCTGATCGCACATAAGAATTGAAATGCTCTGAGCCATATGATTCGACACATGTTTCCTCAGCATAAGAGGCTACCAAAATTCTACACAGATACTGGCCACAAGGCGATCTTACCCGCCCTCATTTTCCTTCACCGCAGCCTGAACAACAAAGCAGCTTGCTGAACGTGGTGCGGCAGAATCCCAACCCTGAGTTTAGGATTGTGTGCCACCGTTCAAACCCGAACCCTGCAACCAACTCCACACCAGAAAGCCCTGACAACTTTTGCAGGCGAGCAGGAACGGATGGGCATAGTTTCGGCCACCATGCGCTTCCTTTATCTCTCGCAAGGAGGAGGGCCTGGCGCTCTGCAGAAATTCTCCGGATTGCGACTGGGGGACGCTATGAAGTAGGGAACCATGAAACCATACGCTGTCATGTCGGGAAGTTCTGGGCCTCTAGGCGATTACCAGAACATACACGAACGCGTCAACCTTCACTGCTGAATATAGGAAAAATGCCGTTAAAATTTGTTGTGTTGGTGTTTAGAATGAGCCGCGGGCGACTGGGAGAGTGCCTTTCCTTTTGCAAACCGTGCCCTGACTCCTAAACTCCTAAACAAAAACGTTTATTCGGGTTGCAGCTGCAGCTGAGATCAAAACTCATGAACGAATGCAGTAAACCTACTCTGACCATCTGTACGAGATCCATTAATCACCGGTCACCAGTCGTCCCAAGCCAGAGCACAAACTCCTTGTTTTGGGCAAGGGGCTGCTGCGAGGGGCAGTTGACAGTCCACATCGGGATCAAACTCGAGCCACCTAGGTGTGCAGAGCTTCGGGCTCGCAGACAGCTTAGGCTAAAGATCTTGCGGAAGCCTGGGTGTGTTCAATGAAAGTGCCTGAGGCAACCATCCCCAATCCCAAGCCCGGCGGCAAATCTACCGCGTGCCCCTACAAGCTAACGCCTCGGTGGTAGGCCGGCTTCTTGTAGCAGTTGCCCTGTTGATGGCCGGCCTGGCTCCGGGCCGAAATGGAAGCATTCGCACAAACATATTCGGAGCGACCCGACGACAAGAGTTCCATGTCTCCAGGCCCTATAGGCAAAAGCAATCCTTAGCCTCATCAAATGGTTGTTGATTCTTATTCTCCTTATTCCATTTTATCATCCTTTTCAAGCTTGATGAGCCCTGATGCCAACCGCTCTTCGGCGCTAAGCCCAGAACGAGTGTAAACCCAGCTTGCCTTCCGACAGCGGCTTGTGGGCAGAAAATGTGGCAGCCTCCGGCACCTGTGGGGAGAAGCTTCGAAATTCACTATTTGACGTGGTTGAGGGTGTAGGGAGAACTTGGGGGCACGAGGCAGCACATGGTCTCATTGTTCCAGGGAAACCACGTGATTTGCTACGTGTGCGGGTCATAGACAATGCTGCGACACTGCAGGGTCTGACGGGCGCTGCAAACCATATAGTCGTCCTTTCACATCCATGGGAGCGTTTGCGGGCGGGTGGGAAGAGCTTGGGGCCCAGAAGCAACGAAGCTGCATACCTGGATCGCCTGAACGACAGTCTCCCCCTTCGCCAGTGGTGCCGTGCAGACCACACCCCAACCATCTGGACAAATTGCAGTGCTGTCCTGCAGTTGGCTTCAAGGCCCGACAACGCCATATGCTTTCGACTAAACCTTAACGAAACCATTAGCAAAACTCGGGAGCAGAACATAAATGGATAGTTCTCCTGTTGCAGTGAGGACACCAGTTTACTCCAAGCTGAAACGATGTGGCAAAATGTGGCAAACCTCGGCAGGCCAAGTCTGCCAGGGATCGTCTGGAGGCCTGAGACGAACACGTGGATCCCAGGAGACTCCTTTGCTCCGAAGCCATTCTTCCTGTGACATGGAAACTGAACTGCAAGAGAGGCGAGCCATAAGACACACTACCTAGGGTCATAATGCAGGTCATATGGTTAGCCCCAGGTTCGTATCTCGTCAGGCACGTACCTTTGTCGTGCCAGCTGCGGCTTCTCGTCCGGGTGGCTGCAAGCTTCCTCGCGCGCTTTCTCATGGCGCCTCCCTTTCCATAAGAGGAGCACGCAGGGGCAACTCCACTTCTGGCTTGACGCGGCGCGTGCAACGCACAAGCTGACAAGTTTCTCAACTCGCCGAGCAGGCTCATCTGACTTACTCTCAATTACTCTCTCTGTGGTTGTGTTACTCGGCTCGCTGGCTCCAGCAAGAGTTGCAACAAAGACATGCAAAAGCTTTACCACGTTCATTGCTCGAGACAGAAGCTTCACGTGGACACCGTGAGTAATGTCGAGGCACCCTTAAAATACAACTTGGCTTCCTTGCCTTCAATCCTTTTGAGGCCCCGCTTGAGGCCCTGCAGCTTGGAAAGGGCTTATCAGAAGCTGGAGAGAATGTCAAGCCCTGTCGAGGGCCGGACTTCGTGCCTGATCACGCCGCGCATCTGCATCAGCTCACCTTGGCAACTCGGCTGCCACCACCATCATCTTATGGAGTCGAGAATACTCCGGCTAGAGATAGAGAGGAGCACCAGGAGCACTCCAAACAGTGTGACCTTCGACATCCTTGGCGCCACCCTCCGAGCTCCCATCATGAGTTGATTTCTAAGCTCTACGGGATGGCTACTCTTTGTGTTGCACGTTGCAACAGAGAACTTTGACCTATATTCTTTTGGGTGTGGTGTTATGTAGCAGGCCTCACATGATGTTAAAATCACCTCCAAAACGGCTGTGAACTATCAGCTCAGGCCGAGCCTGAACCATCTGTGCTGAACAACATACAACTGAACCACCGCCCGGCTCTGTGCTAGTGCCTGTCGGATAGCTGATCTGCCGCTGCAGTTCCACCAGGCACTGCTGCTCCAGTCTTATCATGTTCCTGGACACTCTGCAGACTCGGAATTGAGAATGTGCAGCGTGGAAACTGTTAGCAGCGAGTACCAATGCGGATGACCGGCTGCTGTTGTACGACGTGCCAGTTTTAGGCTTAGGCTCACCCTGACGTGAAGGCAAGTCATGGGGTTTGTTTCGCTCACAGAAGCTGGGGGCTTGAACCCGTTGAGGACATGAGCATGCCGGGGAGTTCAAAAACACAGGGCGTTGGGCCTTCAGTTCCTGATGTACGGAGTTATCAGGCCATGTTCTGAGAATCGAGGCTGTCAGGGCAACAGTTAGCCTACGATTGCCAGTCTAAAGTCCAAACCCGACTTGCTTCACAGTACTTGGAGGACACAGCCCCAATCCCGAAGCTACGCAGCAAGGCGGGCAGCCCTCCTCTCTCCAACCACTTCACCCACTTCCCCAGAGAAGAAGCACAATCACGCACAGTCGCTTTGGAGATGTTACTTCTTCTGGACTGCTTGAATGGAAACACATTCGGGGGCTTCAAGACTGCTAAGAGAGGGCATTGCTAGGAGCCATTACACAGGTTTCTGCCTTTTGCTTGCAGGGTGAAGAAGCTGGGAGTATGAGATTTGATCTGAAGCCTCTTGCCCCAAGAACCGAAGTCCAGTTCCAGCGCAGATCTGCAGCAAAGAGTCTCGAGGAACTTCCCTTGCCATTTTTCGAGGACCAGGCTCGCAACAGCTTTTACCTTGCTCGGGGTGTCTGCTGGGGTCTGCGAGAGAAAAGTCTGGAAGTACTTACAACGGCCATGAAGATGAAGAAAGATTAGGAAAGTACGTTTACAATGTTTACAAGCGCTTGATGCAGAGAATGTTTTCGATTCTTACACACCCTTTCGGGAGACAGTGCAGGTTTCATTGAGGCTTTGGAGTGAAAAGGTGGCAGCACGTCACGAATGTCACGAATCTCCTTGTCTCCAGGACCAGCAGCACGGGAAGTCTCGAGTCTTCGTTTGTCTGGGATCGTCAAGCTACCTTGCTGCCAAGTTGCGTACCTGAACTGACTCTTCTCCTTGGCCACAGCCCTTCATGATACACTATTTCAAAGCTAGCCTGAATCACCTCAAGTTGGGTCACGGCAGAATTACATAAACAGGGCTGCCCAACAAAGCCCTCCGTCTTGGTCGCAACTTCTCAATCTGCTACTTTCGGCACAAGCTCTGAGCGAGCTACTGGACCGACTGCAACATCTCCATACAAGGTCATCCTATTTCACTCGTGGGGTGCTTATTCTTTGCCAAAGCCCTCCGAAAACCCAAAGCCCGGACCGGGAACAGTCGAACGGCAGCGATGCCAGAGATGCAACATCCAGAGCACTCGTTCTTCGTTTTGCTTGATCACCCGATTATGTTGCAGTCTCGTTAACTGCCACATGATGGCGATTACCCATGCCCGAAACCCGAAATCCAAAGGCCCCGAAACTCTGACCCGTCAGCCCTGAGAGCAGCTCCAGCGGCTGCCTTGGCCGCTTCGTGCGCCTGCGCAAGGAAGTCCTGGATCAAACCTCCGGCAACTCACAAAGCGAAGATGGAACTTGAGGGTGTTGGGCTCTCCCATGCTCTCTTCAATCTCTCATTCTGGGAACGCTCAATCTGCTTGGACCGTCTGTAATTCAAGCCGAGGAGCAGGTCGCGCATTCTTCACGCTCCAAGCCTCGGTTCAGGGTTTTGCGTGCTGCGACAGCCTTCGGTTGCAAAGGTTTGTGCAAAAGCGTTTTGGGAGTGCTAGCCTTCTGAACTCCGTGCTGACAGCATCCACGGAAGGCTTACTCAGGTGTGTGTATGAAGGGTGCGGCAATTTAATGCGACTTTCAAGTTCTGCTATGTGTAAAAATCCCCGAATTCGAAGAGCAGGGTTGTCGTATTGATAGTGTCTACGGTGAGTTGCAGCCCTTACGATACAGGTGCAGTTCATCGGCAGGAAGGCGTCCTTTCCCTGTGACGGAAGAGTATGTGCTGAACACACTTTGCATGATGTATGGGCGGTCTTTACCACACAGGTTGCGGGGTTTGATGCCGCTGAAATACCTTGAGCACCTGAATATTCTTGCACGCAGTTGCTGCAAGGAGCCGGATGGTGGCAGATACGTCGCCAAGTCTTGAGGGCCTGCCGGAAGGCCCGAAAAGTATCCTGGGCAGGCCAAGATTTCAATGGCACGCAGCGGCTGTAATTTAGAGGGGGCTCAGATCGGTCCCATGCGCGCTTGCGTGAGGTGCAGATTCCTCGTCGGTGAACTCTCGTAGAGTCGTCTTGGCGTGGTCTTGGGGTGCTGTTGGAGAGATCTTGGGGGGGGCTCTTAGCATGCTCTGAGATGGTCTTACATGTTCGGTGCCTTCGCCTGCGTAGCGCTCAAATTGAGTCTAAGTCATGCTGGCCAGATCTCTCGGTCTCTCGCAGGCTCGGGGCTGGAGCTCAATGAAAACCTACCAGCATCTGATGCCCAATGTGATTGAACACGCCCTTTCCCCCTCTATTTCGTGCATGTGACCCTCGAGGCGCTGCCGGAAGCTCTGCACCACGCGGTCGCGCGCGGCAAGCAGCTCCCCGCCGCTACGTGGGAATACTGTGGCCTGAAAATGGCCAACATCGGCGTCTCACTCTCTAGTTTTTTGTTGCTTCTAAGGCTATCAGGGACGTTCTCTTTTGTGCTGTATGCCCCCCCTCCCTTTCATCTATGGTTTGAGATCGACCGGGTCTGCCATGCCGACCTTCTCGTCATCTTTGAGCAGGATGTTGATGGCATGCTGCGTGGCGACCACGATCTTGTGCAGCCGTCGGTTGATGCGCAACGGCTCCGACCTGGACGGCCCCCAAACCAGTTCAAAAGAGACCCCCAGTGAGGTCCCCCACATACGCGGTGTTTACTTGAGGAAACTTCTCAGAACTCTAGAGATATCTAGAGGACATCCGGGGTTCTCTAAGTTCTGGTTCAGGCCGGCATCACTTTCCCCTACTGCCCACCCCTGCGGCACTTTAGAAACGCCTGGTCGGTTTAATTACGCATGACAGGGAATAGCGATGGCATCTGCGTAGCGCACCACAAGAATATTCACATTGATCACAACTCTTCTCCGGAACATAAGAAAAGGCACACATGAAGCAGCAGCGACCATGTGTAAAAGCATAAGCAATAAGGGCGGCCTATCCAGGGAAAGCCCTTGCGGCAAGCGGCATGCCGCTGAGCAGAGGCAACAGGGCATGCCTGGAAGGGTGGCCGGGTTTAGGGTTTAGGGCTTAGGGTTTCATGGGTTTCGGAACTTAACGGGTCATCTTGCTTTACAGGGGCCAATAGGCCTGCTCACGAAACAGAATTCTGGAATCCTTCGGCCAAGCTTAAAGCCTACATATAAACTCCTCTGAGGACTTCGCCCACTCCTCTGAGCACTTCGAAAACCGAACTCCCACATTTCCTGAGCCAATCGGCCAGAGCTTCGTGACATCCTCCTCAGCTTCCTTCATTCTGGCGCTGCGAGCAGCCTCGTGTCTTGGCATCTCTTTATGGTAGTTTCTTTGATGTACTGTATTCATCAGATGGCAAATGCAAGTAACCGCGAGGTTTGGTGGATTTTAACTCAGCTCTCCTCTCGCCCGTCCTTGCCCGGTGCCGGGAATTGCACATCACATCCCAGCCCGGGAGAATCACGCAGAGAGCCCTCTGACTGCGCACCTGAGAGAAAATGACGCAGTCAAGAATCCCGCGAAGTATTTCTGGAGCGTGCAGAGACTCCCGCATTTCAATCCCTGGGGCGCCCGGCCCTCAAAGAATCGTGCAAAGTATGAGTGCCCCCAGAGAATTCGACAGAGTAGACCCACGGAATCCGCAGCAAGGGGCCGGCAAGCTCTGTTCCCACATGCTGCCACCCTCCCGAGTGCCCATAGGAGCTGTATAAGCTCCCACCGGCGGATCCACTAGCAGCAGGTTGTTCGGGGCATGGATATGCTGGTTGTCGTGCTGGGATCTGGCTCTGGATCGGGGAGGAGTGGATGGAAGTAATTGAAAAATGCGTACCTATAAGATCGGCCTCAACAGTGTTCAGCCATGAGCTTCAACATTCGCAGGTCCCCACTCTTTGTGACACGGAGACATCAGGACTCTCAAAGCATCCCAGAGCTATGCCCACCTGCTGGGCATCTGCACCCCGAAGCCGAAGATTGGAGTTGAGGGTATGAGAGGGTATGATTGCTGGGCCATACGAAGCATTCTCAAGGAAACCCAACTCGTGCCCAGGAGTCCGCCTGCAGGGCAGATGAGGCGTTCGTGGCAGCAAGGAGCAGGGGCGCATCACCCTGTCTCTTTTCTTCACTTCGTGCTCTTCAGTCGTAACCCGATTTAGGAAGGGTGTTTTGGAGCCTTTAGTGCTCGTTCATGGTTCATTTTTTTTACACGTTCTGGGTTTAGGGAGAGGAGTCCTGGGGTGTTGTGGAACCCACTTATCGAACGACCGCCCCAGCAAGAGTCTCAACCTAGGGTAACCCACTACCGACGAAATTCCAAGATCCCACATAGCCCGACCCCAACACACATGCAGTCATCGTTCGGCCATGGCTGCGGTAGCCCGCAGAGTGCTAGAAAATGCCGGAAACTTACGTCACTATCGCTGTTTCGCAGCTTGCAAAGCCCTGACATTTTTTGTGGGTGGGGTGGGCCCCCGTATCGACCCCTTGAGTGGAATCTGCAGGGTGGGCTTGAAGACTTTTCGTCAATACAACGATTGCCTCAACAACCGAAAACCTCTTTAATAAGAAACCTCCGTTCCCTGTCATTTTTGCAAACGACGTTCCATGATCTTCTTTATTATATATTACGAGAAACTGGCATGTTTCAGCCGTGTTCGGTCATGAAACCTTTGTTTCAAGCGTGAACACCTCGTTTCTTCTTGAGCTGATTCAGAAACCTGCGTCTCCTCTTCACTTGAGAGAAACAGCTCTACTTGTTTAATTTGGAAGGCGCAAATCTTTTCTACTCTCGTGGAAAAAGCTCAGTTTCCTATATGCTTTGGTACGCAAAGCTTCCTTGCTTTTTGATTTACATGGACATCCTAGATTTTCTCCATGCATTGCTTGTAGAGATTGATTTCTTTTGTCGGTTGTCTTGCGTGTGAATAGGAAAGTCTCTATTGTTTGATCTGAAAGCCGGTAACCTCTGCATTGAACTGATCTGAACGGACATGTTTCTTGTGCCATGTCTTTTTGTTTGTGACTGTGCTTGGGCTTCTCATGCTAATACTAGCACGAATTCGAATGCTAGTAGTACTAAGCACTATCGTACTCATGCCAGCACTTATGACTACTAATCCGAAAACTAATGCCAACCCGTGCAGAACAAAAAGGGATACCCACACAGGTGTAAAACTCCCTCATTTGCTTCCGCGGCCACGACACAAAAAGCGGAGGCGTGGGCAAAACCGGAGCATGTGCGCTTACGCCCGGGCGTGCCCAACAAATCAAAGACACATAAACAACCCCACCTCAGCAGTTGTGAAGCGCAAGGTTGCCGGGAGTGGCAGCGAGCCTGGGAAAGATTCCACACGCTCAGTTTGGAACCCCTATATCCGCAATATTACCAGAACAGAATGAAGAGGGCTCGCCCCTTTTTGGTGTCTCACCGCGAAATGTCCAACTGCTAGCATCACGCAACACAGAAGAGCAAAGTGAGAAAAAAAACATCACAAGGGCAATAGAGGCCTCAGCAGCGGGATGAACTTCTTTAACACAAGGCCATAAACAAGATGATACGGGCATGCCCAACGCTCAAGAACTGGCTCCTTCATCCGCAGACCCAGAAGCTTTCCAAAAAAAGCCTGTTAAGAACCTGATTGAAACCAAATGCTGCTTCTGCCTGCTCGAACTGAATCCGGGACACGCAAATACTCAGCAGCGTTCGCAGGACCCTCCTGAGCACAAATGGCTTTCGTTCAGCGCATGCAGCAACGCAGATCAAAGGAATCAAGGAATTATGCCTTCATTCGCCTACATTCCAAGCCCTACTGATTATGCCTCACTTCTATAGGGGCTGAAGGTGATCCAAAATGCTTCCCTCACACACGCCCGCCTCCGGGCCGTCATCCATCTGGAGCTCGCTGTGCTGTGGTAGTGTCTGACTCCCAATCACAATGGGGCCTCAGAGCGTTTTGTTCGGGATTGCAGGCTTTCAGGTATGGTGGCTGTCGTGGGGTTTTCTCTTCCTTCTGAGCCGAACAGCTCAAGCTTGGATGGAAGACAGCCCGTGGGCTCTGAGGGACCAATCTCACAACACCGAAATAGAACTTTCTTTCCATTTCATTAAACCGGAGAACTCGCTAGAGTTGTCACTTCGAGCACAAGTCTTCTAAACGACAACAGACCCCAAAAGTGAAGGCGAATCCCTTGCAAGTGTGCCAGTTCAGAGGTTAGTGTAGTGCAGGTGGAGAGGCTTCGTTGTCGCAACATTGGATGTAAAATGTGCTTAGCCAAGGCTCGAAGATGATCTACCCATGCTTAAAGGAGGTAGATGAAAGCTTGGCTCGCAGAGAATTGTTTGAGCAATTCCGTGGGTAGACGTCCGAAGTAAGCGTGTCGTGGGTATCTTTGAAGCATGTGGCAGCATGCCCAGCCGTTCTCGATGTGTAAGCCAGGGTTAGTCGCGAAAGACCACTCGAGTGTGAAGGCGTCGGTGTGATGGAGAAATGTACTCGCCAATTTTGCGTGGGATGGACATGACCCAAAAGAAACTGAGTCAAAGCCAAACCAAGGCGGGGGATACAAATATACCTACCAACTCAAAAGCAAGGCTCCCTCCTTGACTTCAAGCCGAAAACCCAATCTCGGCCGGGCTGCAGCCCAGCCTCCAGTGCTGCTGGGCACCTGTCTCGGAAGCCTCCCAGCCTGAAGCAAGGAGGGTCCTACTCGAGCAATGCCCTTGGCCCACTTACGAAAGTCAGACTATGTCAAAGACCTGTCTTTTTGAGCCCAGGTCTCTGATCTTCCTATAACGCAAGCAACACCCAGCAACAAGGACATGCAAAAGGGCTCGCCGTCACATGGTAGCTGAATGTGTCAGACCCTGTTGTCGAGAATCGGATTGTGAACAAAGAGCTATAGGCATCCTTAAGTAGATAGAATATCTGAAAATCCGAAAATGAAATAACCCCCTTTCCAAAACGATAGATAGAATATCAAAACCCCAAAACGTTAGATAGAATATTGGCCTAAAATTTATGGCCAAGGCCCACTATATTCTATCTATGGGTTTTGGGCTCTTCCTCCTCCTCCTCCTCTCCTCTCCTCCTCTCCCTCTCCTCCCCTCCCCTCCCCTCCCCTCTCCTCTCCCCTCCTCCTCCTCCGCCTCCTCCCTCCCTCCCCTCTCCCCTCCCCTCCCCTCTCCTCTCCTCTCCTGTCCTCACTATTGTCTGGCGCTTGACGAATCTTGAAACCCATACATAGAATGTGTGTGCAGGAGGGCCCGAAAACGGGCCTTTTTTCGGGGTCCCGAAAATATTCTATCTATGGGTTTTGGGAATCTTTGAGATATTCTATCTATGGCTTTCAATATTCTATCTATTGGTTCCTTCAAAACACATGAGAAAAAGCCCAAAACCCCGAAAAAAGAATAACCCCCCCCCCCCCGAAAACCATATTGTATCTATTCAAGGATGACTATATCACCTCATCGGATTCACACGGGCTGCCGTCACCTGAACCTTGTAAGTACGTCTGAGCTAAGTTGACCTCAACTCCTCATATGACTTGCAACATCTCAAATGGCGCAATACCATCTTGAACTGCAGTCCATCTACAGGGTGTCAAAGCCGAGATGATGACCTCAATGTCCTTGGCTTTGAGTGGCTTGACTGTGGGAAGAGGCAGGGCTTGGCGGCAGGCAGCCGTACATTTCAGAATGCTCCACTCGGGGCGGGGGGGAGGGGGGGGGGGGGGGATGTCGTAGTATTGTAGTAGTGCCCTCAGTAGTATTGTAGTAGTGCCCTCAGTACGTCATAATTCTGCAGAACATGCCGCATGCAAACTTCACTAAACTACACCGTCGTACAGTCTTCGGGTCCTGAAAAATGCAAACGATCACGACTAGGAAGCTGCATAAGGCAGCAGCATTTGCACCTTGAGGCTTTTGTCCTGATGAGGCTGCCACAAAGCTGACCGCATTTGCAAGTCAAAGCTGAACCAGTTGCGCCGCAGGAAGATGTCATCAGAGCAAGGCTGAATCATAGATCCTGCGACTCGCCATTATGGGTGCACAGTGCTCGCTGCACTGACACATTTCGAACTATGGCGTCTAGGAAACGTGAAACTGCCGAGCATTAGGAGCGTCACACAGAAGTCTTGAAGTCTTGTCCCAAAGCATGCTTGGCACACTCTCGGAAAGCACGTATGGGTGGTATGTAGGTGGAATACCAGCCTTCCTGAAGTGCTAAACAGCATACTCAAAGTTCCAGAAGCCAAAAACAAGTAAGTCTGGGTTGATCTCGGTTACTCAAGACAAGAGATACTCATGTGGAAGCGCCTCCTTTGGCTTGTCACCTTTGGCCTTGGTCAGTCTCACGCTCTCAAAGGACGAACCCATAGCACGTCACGAAGTGTGTGGCTGTCGGAAAGGCAGTCGCTCGGGGCTGGTTCCGTTCCTGTCCGCCGATACCTTGCCGGCAGAAATGATCGCCTGGAGTAGAAACAAGCAGTAGAAACAGCTCTAGACATGAGTCGTGCCTTTCATACATGTTCCCACATATATAAGGGTACTGCGATCCCGTTTCCTTGATTGTCCTCTAACATAAGAAGGGCTGGACCCAACCAAGCACAAATAAAGATACCTTCAAAAAGCGCATAGAAACATCCAAAATAAAGATGTGCCAAAAAAAGGTGGCAAGACGCAAAAAGCAAAATGTAGCAACAAGTCAAAGGCAAAACACGATGATACAGGACAAGCAACAAAACAAAGGCAACACATCAAGGAAAGCAAGGAAATGACAAAGCGAAGTGCGATCAGCCAACTAGAAAAAGGCAAAAGAGCCAAGCAACAAAAACGAAAAAACAAAACACCAAAGGCGGTGAAAGCCAGAACGAGACAGGCATAAGCAAAAAGGCAACGGACAAGACACAAAAACAAGAAACCGCAACAAAATAAGATCAAGACGCTAAAGGACAAGGGGAACGAGCAACAAAAACAGATAGACAAAACATGAGAACGGCAAGATAACAAGCAACACTCAATCGTGAGATAGAGGAGGAAAAGCAAAAACTCAAAAACACAACGATTACTCTTAAAACAAACGAAACACCCCAAAATACCCTTACACCAGTGGCTTCCCAATAGAATTCCTTGGCCCAGAGACAGACGTTTCAAAAAAGAAATGATCCAAGATCCTCTGAGGGGCACGCCACCAAGAAACGAATCGAGCTTGAGTAGTTCCCCCCCTTTACCCGGAGATGAAGTAGCCGAAGGCCCAAGGCACGCTGACCGCACCATCGTTGGATCCTAACATCGTGCGGTACTTCCGACCATGAACCTGGTTGGGCTGCTGCACCTCAGTCCGGAAAGCAAACGATGATCGGGAAGACAATGCTCATCTAGGTCACGGAGTAACTTGCTGAGACGGCAGCTGCATCTAAGCAATTGGCCATGCAATCAGAAGCAGTAAGTAGATGTTTGCAGCTGGGCAGAGCGCTTTTTTCAGTGCTTTTGCTCTGCAAGCATCCACTCGTATACGATGCACAAGCTACTTAAAGCAGAATTTCTGCAGCGACTGCTGCGACATGGCAAAAAGAGTTCAAAAGCTTCGCGCGGTAACACGCAACATCCTTTTGTCAAGGAAAGAGGATCGGGGGAGCCCACAGGCTGACGACTATGTGACTATGCGGCATTCCAACGTGGGAAATTTGGGGTCTAGCTCATGTTTTGTCGTGTTGCAAGTGGCTCGCACCCCTGTAAGCTGTAGTTGTCGCAATGTTTTTAACTCAACCCCAGATTGCCCTGCAAGTGCAACATGAACCGACAAGATGTAGCTCGGATTAGCAGTGCGCCTCCCCTAAACTAAATGCGACAACATGGGAGCATCCGGCCGATGTGCTATTTCCAGCGACCGAGTGCCATCCTACACGTAAGAATCACATCACCAAGTTTAAGCATCTCATGCCTTGGCAGCACCTTGCAGTTCTAGATGATCTAGGACTGCTTCCATTGACCCCCGACTGACCCAAAGGCTGTGTCTGACCTCTCATCAACTCCACAGCATCTCGAAGACCCAACACTTTCAGCTGGCCCTGTAACAGCTCTATGACTTCTGAGTGCGAGCCATCCTCATCTTTGGCAGCGGCGAGATCAACCGCAAGCATCCCTCGCGAAGTCCTCTGATTCGGGTCCGCCCCAGCAGCGAGCAGCATGTGCACGGTGTCAGCGTCCCCAATTTGCGCGGCGATGTGAATGGGGTAAATGGAATCGTGAAAAATGCAGCAGCGAGTCGAGAGCCTCGGCTCTGAGACGTCTGCAAACCGGTGCTCCAACAGGAAGCTGCGCAGCTTCTGCTGGCGCAGCTGACGAAGCCCCTGGCGTTTTGAAGACTGGCTGGTGCGTGGCTGGTGCTTATTCACCGTGCTCTCCGAGCTTGCTGTGCTGATGTCAGACAAGGGAGAGCCCACAGACTGTGGAGAGGAGCATGTACTGGTGGAGTCTGCGTGAACTGCATCTGCTTGCCCGCTCTGTCGCGCCTTGGGCGGCTTGGAGCTGACGCAGTCTACGCAACCAGGCAACGTGTCCTCAAGCATGGCCATGTCTCTATTTCTCTGCCGGCACTCTCCTTGAGCATCGAGGCAACGGGGCCGCTCAGGTCAAAGTTTAAAGACACCCTTCCCCAACCGCCTAGCCCAGCCTGAAGCTAGCTAACTTTTTGATATACAGGTTCGGCAAGCACCTACTTGTTCTTGACCCCACCTCGACAGCACTCGTGCATCCAACCATGACCGAAAACAGCCTTCAAAAGGATACTGCAGTCGACATTGCACTTGTTGCCTCGGGCTTGCGCTCCCTGCTATGCTCCGTCACCCTCTGCCCGACGGAGTAATTCCTCTTCCATGCTACCTTCAGCGTGCTTAAAGGGCAGAATGCAGAATGATGTAGGAAGCATTCTGCAGAGCGTACTTCAGGTTTGGCCACATGAGAGGCACAGCACTTGCCACTGAAAAGCTGGAACTGGCCCTAGCCATATCCCACGCCCTGGCCCTGTATTGTAGGCTTGGGGGCTACGGTTGGTACTCTTTCCACATCTTATCTTTCTCCGAAAGCTTTGAAGTTTGTAGACTGGTTTTCCCATAATCCCGGTCTGTCAACGAGCTTTTCATCTGTTCGGGATCCACCCAAAGCCGCCTCAGCCACCTAACGCCTAGGGAAGCGAGAGATGGTTTGCGGAGAAGATTGACTGGAATGGTTCGCAATTCTAAGGTTCAAGGAACATGTGTTTGGCTTGAGGTTTAGGGCGTACGGTGAATGCTGTGATTTCTATGGATTGACCGCGAAGAGCCTGCAGGGATCGAAGTACAGCGCGCGAAAGTAGACATCTAGGGTTCCACTTCTGACAAGACCAGATGTACGTTCGCCTAACACGAGTCAGGAGAGAAGCTGCAATCCGCCCGGCATCCCACGGCCCAAGCATCCGACATTTCCGCAAACCATGGCTCCAATCAAAGCAGAAGAAACCAAACAAAGGCACTCGCACAATTACTGATGCCAAACGTAGAAACAAAAACATTTAACTAAGTGCATTTGAGGAACCCGTCCCCGGCAGCAGGGCGCCAAACGCAGGCGGCTGCAGCCAGGAATGTGAGCTGCCCTGCCTTCCCTGCTATAAGATATGACGTCGAGATCGCAGCACGGACGCCGGCGCTGTGTCCCGCGTCTGACGATGGCGTGACAAACTGAACATCAGGAGGTTCAGTGCGCTAACTTGGCCTGCTACCGGGTGAATAGCTGAAATGGCTGCATCACGCATGGCGAAATCACCAGGCACAACGACCAGACAAAGCTCAATCTAGGAGTACTGTTCTTGCTCCCAGGGGGCTGTGGGCTTCTGTTGAACAAAGCCGATCACCAATGACACATATGAACAATTAGGAGCGACATTGCCACTTGTCTGGGATGCTTGCAGGCGCAGCTACATATTGCCGTAACGCCAATTGTCTGCAAGGCCCCAGCGGTTTAACCCCAACACCTGACGAGCGGCAGCTGCAGAGCACTGCACGTGGCCTCAGATTTTTGGAGGTTCCTCAAGCACTGGTTATTGCCACGGCCTCTTATCTGCAAACTCTGTTCCATGGCGTCTTGAGGCTGACCCAACCATATGATTGAAATGCCAGTAACTCTGACCCTCGGTCAAGGCTGTCCAAGCAGCGTGCAGCGCGCGGCGCTGTACCGCGACGGAGCTGTGTCAGTCGCTGTCGGACCTGACCTCCGCTGGGCATCGGTCTTTCTTCTGGATTCGAATCGTTCCGCTAAGAGAGGGCGTCCACGGTGGATTGGCTATGGCGGTGATTCACTTGATCGCCGGCATGTGACATCGGAGGCTTTAGTCGGGAACTCTGCCCTACAGATCATTATTCTGCGTGTCGTCAAATCCCAAGAACGATACCAAGAAACGGCGACTGTCCTCCGTGAATACTCTCAGATTCCTGATCGCGCGAAGGATCCTAGCGCCAGACCTTGCTACGCAGATGAGGGCCTCAAGGTGTTGATGGTGTGACTATCTACTTGCATCAGAAGCCTGGACAATTCCGAAGACACGCCAACGCCAAGCTCCAATATGCCAAGACCGCCCATAACTCCATATGATATATGTATATCTAGAATGCTCGCCCCCCCAAGATCTACGTTTACGGTTTCCAGAACCCTAAAAGAGTCAAAAAACAAATCAGGATGCCAAAAAGCCCAAACCAAAAAAAATTGACAAAAAAACAAAACAACATTAAACTGAGGCTCTTGGAAAGGTGAAACCAAAACAACCCAAACCCTAAAAAAACAAAACCAAAAAAACATTTTCCGAGACTCTTGAACAGAGGGAGTTATTACCCCTTGACGTCAAGAGCTCAGAAATAATGTTTTGTTTTTTTGGTCTGCTTTTTGGTTTCATCTGTCCAAGAGCTTCAGAATAATGAGTTTTTTGCTTTTACTTTTTGGTTTTTGGTTTGTGGGGTTTTGGTTTGTCTGATTGCTTGCCAAAAACATAGGAAAATTCTGCTTTTTTGGATACACAGTGCCTGTACCAGGCAAATATTGAACAAATACTATATGAAAGAGGCGAGTGAACCATCCTAGCTTTTGTTCATTCATAGAATATCTACTGAAAAATATAGTGGTTGTGCTCGGCAACCTGGAAAAATAGACAAAATATTGTTGTCTAAGCAATTCGTTCTGTTTCTAGAGAAGCAGTGCTTGTTCCAAGCCCAGGCAAATACTTTATTAAATACATAGTGCAGCGGAAATATTGAACTAATACTATATGAAAGAGACTAGTGACGTCTCCTAGCCTTGTGTCGAAAACGACAAATCGCATAGAGAAGCTTACAAGTACACAGTTCTCCTAGAAACGTAGAACTCTTAAACAGCATAGACAAGCTTACAAGTGCATAATTCTCCCAGAAACGTAGAGTTCTTAAACAAAGACGACTTGAGCACAACGATTATGTGTAGTAGATTTGACTATAAAACAAGCACTTCATTACTCAAAAATGAAACACTGCTCACACACTCATTAAATACCACTTGTACAGAATACATGTTGTCTAAAAGCGCACCATTCGCATAGACAAGCACAAACACACACAACTGTTTCTTAGAAACCCGTGAAGATCATCGTACTCGGAAATTCACAAATCCTAAAGCCTTGAGAGAATCTCTGGCGAAGTTTGGACTTTTGGGCTTTCAGGTGCTTCGATACAAAGAATGCAATTTTCCTAAGCAATTCGTTGCTTAGAAATAGTGATTCTTTCCAAGCAAAATGTTGATCAAATAGGCAAACTAAATACGACTGAAACACCGAGTGCATGTTTAAACGCATATCAATGCAATATTCATTGCATAGAAATTCAATACTAAGTAATTACATACTAGTTTTGTCGTTTTTTGTTGTGAATTCCTATTTGCATCTCGCTTCGAGTGAGCAATGAAGGACAGCTAGGGACACACGCCGCAAGCCGCCTTACTATAAATAGTAGCCATGATAATATTGTTATGGTTAGTGGTAGGAATTGTCCCATTAGTTGTTGTTATTGTTTTATGAGAGAAAGAGACCCTTTCCTGTGAATCCTGAAAGAAACCGCGTCAGACCCAGTGTTGACCCGTGCAGCTCAGCACGTATTTGTTTACTAAGACAACAGTATAAAACACAAAAAACACGAGTTGTTTGAGGTGTTAACCTTCCAGTGTTCTTGGCTTTCGAACCCGAAATTCGGTTGCACGAAGTTCGGTTAATTACAGATTTATGTATACATTTTGCATGCATGATGTGTTACGTAAGTTGGCCGCGTAAATACTCGACAAGTACGATGTTATCGGTCTTTCCAGTGTTTTCGGCGTGCGCTAACGCGTGCACTGCTTGTACACAAGTGCGTGAAGCAAGCAGAAGAGTAGTGTAAACAAGGGAGTATATAGATCTTGGGGGGGGGTGACCAATTTAAACATGTTGGAAAACAGTTATGTATGCACACCTCTCTTTCTACGGCGGAAGGCTCGCCAAGGCAACAGGGTCGTCGAAGAACTCTGGCAGGGACTTCAAGCGATCCCACTTCGTCAAGACCTGGGACAGCTTCCGACAGCCGAAGGGTTGGGTTTCTCCCATTTCCCACCCCGGAGCCCTCGGAACGGAACGCCGGAACGAACTTGAGCATCTTGTCTTGCTGGCCGTTGGGTTTCAGAGCTGGGTTAGTTCATAGTCGGGCATTCCCGCTGTGCTTCCTGGAATTTCCTGGGTCACGGATGTGTATGCACGAAGACCAACAGTTGTACGCCGATGCGCCACGTTCCGCCTTTGCGGGTGGCGCCGAACCGCAGTCCTTGAAACATGAACGCCCTAAACCCGAAATCCCGAGAGGCCGAACGGGATGTCGAGTTTTAACAGTCTCACAGGAATAGTTCAGGACCGTTTCAAGATCGTCTACGGTTTAGTACTTCTGACTGTGCAATTTCCAATAAGAAGGATCTAAGCAAGCCCACAGGCCCACCAACCCCAGAGCCCCTTAGCAGCTGACAGAGGTCGATGGTTACGTTGCAAAGTCTCATAGTCGCATGACAACCCACAACAGGCATCTCACTGCCCCATGGCAAGCAACCAGCACTGGAGGGAGCGGCTGCCCACTGCGCCTTCCGCTGTCCAGGCACCAGAAATTGGGGCTCTCGGGAAGCCAAGGGTGAAGGGCTTGAGGTTCAGTGTGCCTGACGAACCTTTATGACAGAAGCCGAACTGCAATGATCTAGTCCCTTGGCACGTCACCATTGGGGAGACCAAAAACCTTGGACAGCAAGGGAAAAGTGCCAGGCCCATCATGACAGCCGGTCTAGCGGTAATGTAAGTTCCGATGAGCGAAGTGGGCCAAAGTAAAGTAGCCCGGACTAGCTGAATGGCGCGACCCCTCCCCTCGCCCAGGCCCCCAATCTTTTCAAGTTGTAGAAACTCAATACTCCAAACCCAAGCTTTCAAGGCCCCTTCGGATTCCAAGCTTCAGAAAGGCCCTGGCCTCTGAAACTCCAAGGCCTAGAAACCAATTACAATACCCATGTATAATTTGAAAAGCATCCGTGCGAGCCCTGGCAGTCTTGTCTGGTTTGTCTTGGGGCTTGTATACGGATCTTGGAGTGGAAGGCCTTCTCCTGCGACCCACATCTCCAAGACCCTATCCTCGACAGTTCTGATAAGCCCGAATGCCATGTCCCAGCATTCACAGAAGGTCTGGTCTGGCGATGCTGCGTTTGGTTCTCGCGCTTTGTGAAGGAGTCTTTGGGAAGAAGCTAGCAGTAGTGGGAACATGTTCCTTGGGATTGTCGCCCCATAGGCTCAATCACGATTGGAACCACAACATGGCTTCGTGTGCCTGCTTTACAAGTAACCCATGAACCCCGGTCCACCTCCCGCGTGCCTGTACAGTTCCATGAGGTGGTGGCCTTGAAGACCGAATGCAGAGGTCGAATCCCAGGAGGCCACCCACAAGAAGAGGAAGGCCTTGGGACTTGAGAAGTCGGCTTGTATAGGGGCTCACCAGGCTCGCCTGAATACTCGACACTTACTAGAAGTCCACACTCTCACAGCTCCGGACGCCTGCCGAGGTCATTTTAACATTTTGGCTAGAGCGTTAAACGCTCGATTCGCTTGGACTATGGGTCCAAAGTGTAGGCATAGAAGTCAAGGTTGAAATAACTTGCTTGGTCTGATGATGTGTGAAGCTTTCCTCGAACACTGGAGGCTACACTGGCATTCGCTCGCTGAAATCACGCACTCCGAAGCACCTTCGACTGCACCAAGTCGGAAACCTGCTGCCACACCTTAGCCCCAAGAGCTTTGCTGGGGGGGGGTTGAGTGCGCAGCGTTAGGATCCTAAGGTTTGTAGGGTGTTGGGCGAGTTTCGGGTCGGGACCTGCAGCACATGCTAACTGATGCGGATATGTGGAAGCACAAATTGTTGTGCTCGAGGTCTTCTTCTACAGATTCTACAGACCTGCAGCCACGCCCTGCCTAAAGCCAAACTCACTGGTCAGATGACCCCATGGTCCGCTGAGGTGCGGATGGGCTGTCCAAGCCGGGGGTATCGATGATCGAAAGCGCACGATCCAAGTTCCGGCTGGGTAACCTGGGACATTGATGATTTGGGTTTGGGACTTTCGCGACCAATTTAATATACCGGCACACCTCACTACGATTTGAGCTCGCACCAGCCACAGCGCTCCCTTCCCCATAGACTTGGAACACATGCGTTCAACCTCAGAAACATGAATGATACACACATGAAGAACGAGACTCGCTTGAAAGTACCGCGCAGGTCCGTAGACGCGAGCACGCACATGAGACTCTGCGTTTACGGGTTGGATTATGCTTCAGAAAACTTAAAAAGCCACCGTGACAAGTCTTTCCAGGCAACAAGTCGTACTTCTTCCACACTCACATTTCAGGGTCCGAACCCGAAGCAACACATCGTATTTCTGGCAGCCAAAGCAAGGCAGGGCAACAGGGCCAGTAATTAATGCGACTATGTTAGGACCCTGCCTGCCGAATGTTGTATTGTACGGTAACCTGACCTCTGTGATGAGCGGGGCGATGGCTTGGTGAAGCTCCCTGCTCCCTCCTTCCTCCACACCGCCAGTCGTTTGCATATCTACATGGCACGGCAGCCTTAGTCATACTTCTTCCTGCTGCGCCTCAAACATCTGGAGCCGGAGCCAGACGGCAACACATTTGCCTTTTCCCACTCACACTGTTGGAGCCAGCGCCACAAGGCCATTTTGCGACTGATGCGACTGCGTAGGTTGCCTATGTACATATACACAAATGCAGTTTCAAGCTGTCAATGTCCATTGCGAAACAATCGCACAATTCAATGTCCCATGTTCCCTCACATTCCCACCATTTCCCACTCTTACCCAGCGCTGAGAAGCACCACATGAAGGCGCCGATGACCTGCCGGCGCCTGAGACGTCAGAAGTTGGTGCCGGCAGATCTTTCAGGAACTCTGGGGGCAAACAAAGCATCGCGGCTGGCACCGTCTACAAGCTGGTTGCGACATTCCTTTTCTGTTCCTGGATGACTCCTTTTTCGAAAGGGAAGTGACAAGGCAGATTGCTAGAGGGGGGGGGGGCTTGGCGGCCGGCAAGCATACTTGCAAGTCGTAACCCAGATGTCGTTGAAGTCTGGCATCACGCACGGCCAAAACAGAACATGCCATGACGCAACACACCAGTGAGGCCCCACCAGCAGCCACGCACAGCCCCAAAGACATCGGCGGCGGATCCCCGATGATCTAATGCACACTCCAGATGAAGCTCAACATCCTGCTATTACCAACTTTTAATTTTAAAGCATACTTCAAATCACGAGGCCTTCTGTCCCAAACCCACATGCCCTGTCGATGGCACCTCCGCTGCGCAGAGCTCTCGAAGATGCTTTTGCCTCGGCGTTGGTTAAGCTGAAGTCCCCATGCACCCGCTGCTCAGACATCTTGGCCAGAAAGTGGAAGCAACAGTCTTCATCTCAGCTTTTGTGAATGTGTTTCTTGTGCTGAGTCTAGTAGTTGTAGGAGGCGGGGCAGCGATGGTGGACGCATGCCTGGCTGTGGTTCAAGGGTAGGCAAGCTCCAGCATGACCAGACATGCCACACGCCCGATACGCCCTCTCCCACCACCCCTCCCCCAACAAGAAAGTGCTTGATTGATATCCCTTGAATCCCGGGGGCAAACGCCGGAGAGGTCGCGGTCCGGAAAGGATGACCTTGTGGGGCGAGGCTTCAAGGCAGGCACAGCCAATTCTAATTTGCTTGCGTTGGTTGCCTTGCTGTCTGTGCAGCGGGCAGGCAAGTGCACTTTAACGTCTGCAATTTGTCACTCGCAGAGTTCTATTGCCCTTACAGGTATTATTAAGGTTATTAGATGTTATTAGAGCCAGAGAAAACGTGTTGCGATTGCACGTCGGTTCCCCTAGCTTTCTTGGTTCGCATGTTTTTGCATGCGTTTTGCTACATGGCATGTAGTGCACATTTTCTGCACTTTCAATACTTCCTTCATTTTCCAGCTATTCCGAAAAAACACTATAAACTCATACAAGCCGTGTGCTCATTCAAAGAAAAATGTCTGGTCGTGGTCAGACCGCTGAGTCGATGAGGGCTGTGCAGGCATCTGTTGCAGAATGCACGGGTCAGGCCTAATGATACGAATGCCTCTAGAACCTTGTGGTGCAAATACCCCAAAACAGACAAAGCACAAGCGAAGGTCAACGGGAAGACCTGCGTAAACTCACATCAGCAGAGGACTGCTATAGACGGGGAAACAAAGGATGGCGAGCCACTTCCTAAGCCTCCATAATCTTCAAATGCTTGCAGCACGAAGGAACAGCTGCACGATTCAACGCACTACAAGCACCTGACGCACCCTGGGCTTCTACTGCAGCAGCCGCTGGAACTGCAACTTCGCGGCAGGGTAGCCCTCGCAAAGCCTGAAATTTTGCGGGGTGTGCAGACGCATCTCGTTGTCGACCTGTCGAGGGCAACTTTCTTCCGGAATCTGGAAACGAAGCTGCAGAAAGCTACCGTAGTGCCAGTCTTTGCGCCTCCCTGTGCGCAGCGGTTGAAAGCTTTATAGGGTCCCCCTGCCGCATTGCGAGCAGCAACCGCGAGCCCTCAAACCTTGCTACCGGCCGGCCGAAACCGCGCAAAAACATGAAACCCAGCCTCCAGGGAGGGCGGGTGCTCTGCCTCCAAAACCATTTGCAGGAAACAAAGGGGCGCAGACGACTCGGGACATTCTTTTGCCACACAGGACTCTCTAAGGGTGGACGGCTTTGATGCTTGAAGTGCACGGCCTTGGATACAAGCTTTACAGGTTAGCATGGGACATGCTTGTTCTTTCGTGCTGCACTTGCCCGGCAGACGCTGCTTCCTCCAAACTGTGAACTCCACAGTCAATCTAACGAGTTCTGATGCATGCCTGATATGCATGTATACTGTATACGTATAGTTTTGAAAAAAATATGTACACACATGAATATGAATGATTCTTGTAAGCTCCTATCTGTGACGCAGCGTGGCCACCAGCCGTATCAAGCGCACCAGAGTGCAACAGTGTGTAACTACAACCTCGCACACTTACACATTCCAGCCGACTGTCCATTGAGTCCATTGAGGCTCATTGATCAATGAGGCAAAGACGCGCAGCTATCGCAGCTCCCACTATAAGTGCAACATACACTGCTTTCAACAGCCTTTTTCCCACCTCAACAACAGCCATTTTTTCGCGTTCAGGTTTGAACTTACAACCCCCCCCCCCCCCCGCCCCCCCCCTGTCCCTCTCCCGAAGCCACCGTCTGCGGCAGGCTCTCTAGGAGCCGAATCTCGATGGCCGTGCAGGAAGGGCTGAGCTCAAGCTCTGTGACGATGCCTCAAGGCTTGCTACTCAGCAATCGTCTGCCACGAATATGAAACTAGAATTGAGGTTAGATGAACTACAAGCTGTTGCTCGAGGCCTTAGGAACGGTTTTCTATCTGTACGGAGACCGTCTTCTTTGGAGATAAACTACGAGTAAGGGAGCTAATAAGTCTTCCTTGGAGATAAACTTTGGGTTCGGCCGGTCCACACTAACAGTCAAATAACGCCGTGGCCTTATAACACACAGGCCAAAAATAGCACCAGGAATCCCAGTCAATTTTAGCATTTACCGGGTGCTTATTTTTGTGGGTCTGCTGGTGGTGACTGTTAGTCACATAGCACCAGCAACAGCACCAGAATTAGCACCAGAAATAGCACAAACAATAGCAAAACAAATAGCACCAGAAATAGCACAAACACTAGCACAAAAAATAGCACCAGAAATAGCACAAACAATAGCACCAGAAATAGCACCAGGAATCCCAGTCAATTTTATCAGCTTAGCATTTACCGGGTGCTGTTTTTTGTGGGTCTGCTGATGGTGATTGTTAGTCACATAACACCAGCAACAGCACCAGAAATAGCACCAGAAATAGCACAAACAATAGCACAAAAAATAGCACCAGAAATAGCACAAACAATAGCACAAAACATAGCACCAGAAATAGCACCAGGAATAGCACAAAAAAATGCACCAGAAATAGCACCAGAAATAGCACCAGGAATAGCACCAGGAATAGCAGGAATCTCAGTCAATTTTTTTGCATTTACCGGGTGCTTTTATTTGTGGGTCTGCTGGTGGTGACTGTTAGTGTGGACCGGCCGAACCCAAGATAAACTGCGAGAAAGGGAGCTAAGACAGCTGGGTTGTTTCCTGCAATTTACTTTGCTCAGGGTACTGTCTTCAAGGTTTCCCTCAATGAAGCCCTTTATTTTCAAAAGTTTTCCTTCAATGAAACTCTAGGTTTCTGATTGTTTCCAATATTTTGCCGTCAGTGAGCTCTAATGAAACTCACAGATTCTGCTATAAAGTGCCTGGGGGGTTTGCGGCTTGGCCATTTTTTCTTTGGCTCCGAAGATGATGGCCACGAAGCGACCCCCTAAAGTGATCCTTTGAGAAAAACCTGGAACTTCCTTGTGGGCTTTATTGATCGGCTGGAGGCTTGGAAACGTAAAGCCAAACAAAAGTCACCGACCCCCCCCCCCCCCACATGGTTGAGCCGCGGGTGTTCTCATTGAAGGACGTGGGCATCAAGTTCAACTGCCCTCCGCGATCCTCCTTCAGCTCCTTCTGAGCTTTGGGCTGCATTGGGCTTCTTTCGGGCGCCTTAAGCTTGAAAACGGTTGGCGAAAACCCATGAAGCTCAAACAGCTACACTCCTACACTAGATTACTTCGTGGCAATTTCCAGCACTTGAACAGTGCAACTTCAACGAAGAAAGACATTCTAGTGCACTCCTCCTATACCCAACTGGTACATAAGCCAGGACGACGATGCGGAACCCTAAACATGCATGCTAAGTTATTGAAGTCAACTTTCAATCTCTGCAACGCCTGATCTCAAGTATCATGAAGCTGCCCCTGCCCTCGCAGGACATTTCGCATGTTGACAAGCCCAATTGGCCCAGTCAAGCCGTAAGCACCCCCCCTACACTCGCATGTCTCAAGATTCGGTCCTCGCGCGCGCCTGCGACTGCTACGAGCAACAGCGCATTGACCAGGCTGGTTTTGCCAGCCGACCTGACATGCTTTTGATGGCTTTGTTAGTCTTGTCTTTGATCTGCACTCTTGAATCCTGGGTTCGAAGCGTGAGAATGTACTAATCAGCTGAATCGTGCATCCAAAGACGTCAAAAAAAAAACGCATATGAGAGCCTGGGCGCACTAGGCCTCCCAGGACCACATACCGAGTCTGCACGTTCAGGGCATCCAAGTCTTTGTCCAGAGCCTGCTGCATGCCTACATCCTATATCCTGGATGGTAAACTTATAAGCAAGCTGCTTGGAACATTCGCTGATCTGCCTTCCTATAAACCCTAGATGTTAAGCGTTCACAACATGCTAGGATGCTATGGGTAACCCCTCGAAAACAACTGCCGCAACGTCCCACCCTAAACTCTCCCACAGTGCCCTCAACTGCCCCTGAACACTACTACCACAGCTTCCGCCGGGTGACGCTGCGCAACTCCCTTACGGACTCCTGCTCCGCAGGGCTTAGGTGAGCCAGTGCAATCCTGATCGCACAAGGCTTTGGTTGTGTCATCAACTTCAACACCGCTGGCTACACACAGCGTTCACTTGCTCGGCTAACGCTGAAACATGGCTTGTGAGGCTGTAGACGGTTTCGAGCTTCTTGTCGGATATCGAGATTATGAGTGTCGTGGTTCGGGTTCGGGTTCACAACTCAGACGAACAAAATGAGGGTTTCGGTGGGCATATGCGTCTTCCACGCCCCACACGCATCACCGAAGCTCCGCAAGCCCAATCTGGCCCAAGCCCTGAAAACAACTCAATTTGTCAGCACTGGCTCTGCAGCATGGAAGTCAAGGCGTCGAAGACGTCTCGGGATTTCTGCAGCAACTCCTGGTGCCGGGGCTCCAGGGCTCCAGGGCTCTGGAAATTTTTGGGTTCAGGCTTTTGGCCCATGTTTGGCCTGTAACTGCAGCCATCAACTGCCTGCGCATTTTTTATATCCTTGCCTCGTGACGAATGCGCTGCCTGCACTGAATATGGCAAGGATGTGTGTGTGTGTGGAAAAAGCACAAAGTTGCAATTGAAAGGCTGGTGCCAGCGATGCCACAGTTGCCACACGCAACATCATGCCAGTAGCATCACTAAGGCCATCCCCTTTGCAACTCGTGTCCTCCATGCTGCGTGTGTCATGAACCAAGGCATGCGCCATCTGCTGCAGCGCCACCGAGGACGACACAGAGCCTCTGAAATTGTTTAAAGCTGCGGGGTGGTTGCGGGTCATGGTCTTCGGATATTCATGATGTTGCCTGAAATGAAGAGTTCCCGCACTCATGCTTGTCCTCTGCCAAAAAATGGTCTCTGCTTCAACTCCTCCCGGCAATGGCTTTCAGGCCTTGTGCAAGCTCGAGATCTTGGACCTGGATGCCGCTGGCTCTTCGGATGTAGGAGCTTTGGGTCAAGTGTGGCTTCTCGATTTGGAGCCTTAAGGGTTGATCTTTTATTGTGGACAGGTCCAGGAGAGCCCTCGTCTTAAGCCTCGAATCCCACAGTTCTCATCCGACCCATTCTACAAAAAGCCTCTGCAACTATATACCCTCCACGGCGTGTGTTATTAGGGTGCCCCGAGGTGCCGTCCATTGTGGGGGGCCCGATATCACATGGATCAGGGGGGGCACGTGATCTTCTGACGACCATTTCAGATTCGACACGTAGTTGATCGATGGTTGAATTTCCTGGCGTTGGTTATCCAGGTGCTTTCGCCGGATATGGTTTGTGAGCCGTTGGTTGCGCTGGCCCGGCCTTCCCCCCTCCCCCACCAAAGCCACTGAAGGACTGAAGGCAGATGGTATGCAAACATGCAACAACAAAAGCCAGCGGTGTCCCTGACAGTTTTTGCTTCGTGGGGGTTACCCTCGCACCAGGTTTCCGGTTGACGCTGCCATTTTTAAGGGCAGGTGGCACAAGAAGGCCAAATGAACCGGGGTTGTCGGCTCTTTTTTGAGCAACGGACTTTGGAGGCTGCCGGCAAACATGCAACTTCTTAGAAGTCACATCACTGCCGGCTCTTTAAAACCTAAACCTTTTCGACGCTCCGCGAGGAACTTCTCCCCTGCTTCCTCGTGCATCCGTGATGCAGTGGCGACTCCGGCAAGCCAGGCCTGTGGCAACGCAGCAGGCTCTCACTCAGAGTTCTTCGATCTTCTGATTTCAACAACACACTCAGCCCAGGCCAATTGCTGTGTGTGTGGTTGGGGAAATTTCAGCGTTCAGGGCTATAAAAGAGGATGAAGACAACAAGATGGCACTCCTGTGACTTGTGTTCGCTGGTGTGTGCGAATACCTGTGAACCACAAGAGAAGTCTGCAAGTACTCCCCGAAGCGGGCGCAAATCGAGACCTAAACCCCAGATATTCTCGACCAAGAGCCCACACAACTACAAATCCCAAATGTCTCATGGAACATGCAACTTAAATCCTCACAAACCCTTGGGGTTTCAGGGACAGAGTATGGAAACGAATTGTCGTGTCGTGGGTGGCGGCTGGTGCCGTGAAGCCTGCAGTTCCTCGGCCAAAGCACCCGGCAGCACAAAGGAGCCGTGAAGGGCAAGGGCCAAGGGCACCAACCTTTGGCAAAAAAAAAACCAAGCCTTTAGCTTTTGCAAGGTTCGGTTGAGGGCGGGGGGGCACTTCCTTAAGGGAACGGCAAGCCCGAGCTCAACATGCGCATGCATTTTGCAAAGCACAACGAACTGCTTCCGCAGTGGGGGTAAAGTTAGGGATACTTTAGGGTTTTCAAGCGGCTGGGCTTTCTTCTTCGGGGTATCCGCCCCTGGGGGGGATTTCTGGGTTGGGTGTTGCTTCTCCGCATGTTTTGGGCCGCTTGGCGCCGTGCTGATGTTTGTTTCGTCTGGGACCGGGGGGAAGAGTGGCTTGCTCTCTTACTCTGGCAGCATACATGGTAAGGTCAATGGCTACCTGTTGTAGCTTGTTCCGTTCGTGGAGTTCGTCTCGCGAGTCTTACCCCCGTGCTAAGGCACGCCCCTTTGCTGCGTCTCTCGGGGCTCTGTACACACCAGCCTGGGACTCGCTCGATCTCTTTCTGTTTTTCTGTTTCGATGTCTGTCTCTGTCTGTCTTCGTCTGTCTCTGTCTCTGTCTGTCTCTGTCTGTCTCTGTCTGCCTCTGTCTGCCTCTGTCTGTCTCTGTCTGTCTCTGTCTGTCTCTGTCTGTCTCTGTCTATCTCTGTCTGTCTCTGTCTGTCTCTGTCTGTCTCTGTCTGTCTCTGTCTGTCTCTGTCTGTCTCTGTCTGTCTGTCTCTCTCTGCGTCTCTCTGCGTCTCTCGCTCTCGGTTTCTCGCTCTCTCTCGCTCTCTCTCGCTCTTCGTGGCCTTGGGTTTCGATTCCCCCACGCATTGCTTAGGACAAGAATCTTATCATCTAGTTGCTTCAACAGCCCTTGTAGGACTTGATTGCCAATGGCAACGTCTGTAGAGTCTGTATAGGTGAGTTGAGATTTCCAGCCACATCGCCTCGAAGGTGCTGGTAGCCAGGTGGCCATGATAAACCCCCAAACGCAACCAAGCTGCCGATGTGCCCTTGCAGCATCTGAGAGGCCACCTGGGAGATCGAGTGTTTCCCAGGGCTTGCGGGTCAGGGGCTTCTCTTTCCGAGGCGCGCCACGCGGACTCCGGCAAGCGATTCTCTTGTCCACTGAAGGACTTCAGTGCAGAAGCTAAGTCTGCCCCGTCCAGCACCAGGCCTCATGTCTCAGACGCCCAAAAAAGGAGCTCAAGGTTTGCTCGCAAGGCTTGGAGCTAAAATGGGTGATGGGCTGCACCTTGGCCTCCAAGTGGATTTTAGATTCAGTGCAATTCAGCGGACGAGGCGCGCAGATAGCTCCGAGTTGGCATGCCAAAGCACAGAGACATGCCCAAACAGTTGCTCTGCGTATTCGAATGGAATGTCCGCAGAATGAAGGCAACCAGGTGCATGTTTGCATTGAAGCAGAACCTATGCCTTCGCCCATGATCGTCTTGCACCCTCCAAACTAGTGACTACCTCAGCCCTCAGCCCGAACACAACCAAAGCAGATTGCCACCAGCAGACGGTTCCAGAGCTGCGCGGTGGAGCTGGGATCCACCTCACTGCCTGGAACCTGAAAGAACAATGAGGATATAACTCATCACAAAGGCACACACAAACATAGAGACACACAGAGATACAATCTCGCTAGCGTACGCACGACCTCCCGACCTACATGAGCTTACCCAACCTAACTTGACCTGGGCGACTGCCGGCCTACCCTGCCAAGACCTATAGGTAAACCTGACGTGATTCCCCTAGCCCTGATGATCACTGAGGAGCTGGGACCAGCCGCGCCAGGCCCTGCAAGAAGAGGTCATCCGAGGCCACGTCGCCTGGTTCGGATAGAATGCTTCCGGATCAAAGGTGTGGCCTAAGCAGTTCCAGGATTGAGGGTCCTAGTATTTTCAAGATTTGGATAGGACAGTAATACAAAATGGCCCACAGTGCCAAGTCTCCGTCATGGCTACCGACATTATCATCGATGGCCATCCACGGATGCGAGGGAACAGCAACCTGCACATGGCGAAGCACATGGACATTGATTGCGCATGCGAGCACTCCAGGCCTCACTACTTGGCTGGGCCCTTTGGAGCTCGAACCCAAGCTGAGAACCGATAGGGATTGAAGGCTTCAGGGTTTGCGCTCTTCAAACTGGGGATCGTCACAGCCCCAAGTCTTGCAACATCTACGTAGCATCACAGCACTAAGTCTGAACGCCCTGCTTGGAGCTCATCGAGGATGACCACTCAGGTCGAACCGACCGAATGAATGGGCCCAGCAGATACCCGGAACCCCGAACCGCAGACCTGGCTGGCTGAAGATCCTGGTGCTACAAGCTGCAGCGCCAAGGAGATGCGGAGTTCCAGGCTCCTGGATTTTGGTTCGCTTGGGGCATTCTTTTGGGTTTTTTTTTGGCCTGTGCAATGCAATTCTGGCACAGCCTTGTCAGGGACTTGCATGGAATGGATCTGAAAAGGCTTGCTATGGTTGACGTGCCAGGCACTGAACTCCGTGAGCAAGAGATGGCTGTACTGTCGGTTCAGTTTCCGAAGGATCTGAACTACGGGAGAATGGCGATGGGCCTTGCGACCTGAACTAAAGATGGACGTGAAGCTCGGCGCGGGAACTGTCACCGAGCGTGGATGCTTGCACTCATCCTCTGAACATGCTCCTTATGCAGAAGTATGCGGCACGCCTGACCCTTGAGACGACAGTTCATGCTTCACTCTTTATGGTCATATAGAACAACTTAAGCAATCCCAAGACCTAAAACTCCAATACCTCTCCGAGCGTGTGCAAGTCCAGGCCTTGGTTCCACAAAGAGCCCGGCATAGAGCCGATCGTGTGGGGCGCTGAACCTCTCACTTCAAAGACGAGTGGCTGTGCTCCTAGCCCCATTCTAGGACCGGGAGTTGTTTTTTCGAACTTTTAAGGCCATCTGCAGAATGTTGGGGCTTCCCCATCACGTTGACTGCTGTCAGCTCACTCTTGCAGCTCAGCACACGCTGTACATTCGACGCGTAACCGCGGGCTTGAGGTTGCTTAGAGTTCAATCAATGTTCTTCGGACCTTGCGTTGGGCTCGGAAGGCACCCGCTACACACTTACGAGGTAAACGATATTCAGAAGAACTACCTGGAGGCACACCTTGACTTCTTCAGCTTGGGCTTAGAACTTGCTGAGTGCATGCACTCAAGTGGGTTTGTCTTGGGACATGCAAGCTGAGGCTCGCCAGCCGGCCGAATGGGTTCTCCGCCACGTGTGCCGGGCCCGAGGCTACAGCAAAGACAATGGCCAGAAAACGAGAACCTGAGCAGTTGCCCGGCTATGCACGAAGGCTTACTTGGAAAAGCGGCTCGACAGTGTCTGCACGCAATTGTATACATGCATCGCTTGCCTCAGCTACTGACGAAAACAGTTGGGTGTTTAGTCTCTAGACTCTAGGCTGTGCGAGGCCAGACCAAGACTTGCCGATGAAGGCAAGCGCAAGATTGTTCCCGTCACGACCACAACATGCCACATCCCTCGTCATGCTCATCAGACCTCATCATGCTTCTCCTCCTCGAACGCCTCCTCCTCCGCCTCCTCCTCCTCCTCCTGCTGATCATCATCCGCCTCATCGGCATCATCATCGGCATCCTGGTCACGTGTTGTGCTCGCATGCCACCAAGCCAGTGGCAGCACACTACGCCCTACTGGGATAAGCGTGCATGTTCTGAGCTTTGACCTCGTCCACCCCCTCCTGCCCGGAATCGACGCTTTTCCGCTAAGTACAAAGCTAGTCTTTGCACCGCGCGATTGGCTTCACTGAAACTTGAGTTCTTCATCGTTTTGGAAAACATCTGCGGCAGGAACCCGCTTCCAGGATCCGGGCTTCTTTAGGCTTCGAGGGGCTTTGGAACGTGCATGTGCCCCCTTAAACCATCCTCGACCCTGAGCTGCAAGATCCCCGGCACCTCTCGGCTTCTTGGGGGGACTCGGGGACGCAGCCGTCCAATAACATAACCTTTCAAACGAAGCGCGGAGGGCATCGATCGTCTCTCGCCACGGCTTGTCGTCACCTAGGGACAGGGGCCACAATCCAGATCTTGAACCTAAAGCCCCAAAGCCTTGCGAAGCTTTTATGGGTTTGCGGTCTTAGAGTTGTGTCCCTCACTGCGAATCGTTACGACATCAAGAGTGTCGATGCGCTCGCACACGGCATGTTCAAGATCTAGGGTCTACTGCGCTTGGGTGCTCTGTTCTGGAAAGACATGCGTGCTTCCACCACCTACTGCCCACAGCCCCTTCACTCATTCTGCAGGAAAACGAAAGATTATATCTTGAAAGCCATTGAACACCTTCTTTCTACGGGTCTCAGACATGTACCGAACTTGAGATTGTAAAATCAAAATTTCAAGAGGATGTTCGATGCATGTCGCAACATCAAGGCTACCACTCAATTGCCAATGCTACAGGCATGGCCGCGTGCGAAAAGCTACAGCATTTATTAACATGGGCAATATGACCCTCCCCCAACCCCCTCGGCACCAGAATCCCTCCACCCTAGCGACATCTGCACAGCGTTTAAATAGCGGATCCTGAGCCGTTCGAAACGAACTCTCCAGGTTTTAGCTGCAGGTTGGAGAGTCAAGGGTTGGTGCCAGGCACCATCGCCCACGTGCTTCCAGTAGAAGCGGCCGACGGCCGGCGCTATCCGGGCGAAGGCCTCCAGTCGAAGAAGCAGATGATCCCCGTATCCCCAATACCACTGGGAACTCACGAGCCGGTAACCGTTCCTCAGACAAAGAACTATGTCGAACATGAAACAAGAATCTGAAGCGTCCAGAACCAACCATCTCCAACCCATGATCTCTAAGCCCTAAGCATTTCCGAAGCACCATGGCCTTACTTAACCACGAGTGCTTGCGGCCTGGCCGGCGCGCAAGGCTGCGGACTCCTTGACCAAGGTTTTTGGTGACTGCTTGTTATCCGTGGAGTTGTTCGTCTTACATGTTTGGCCATGCTCTCAAAATCTTGAATGTCTGGACTCGGGAAGTTTAGGCTACTTGAGGTTTACGGATGTTGACGGCTGTCCAGGAAACTGCACATGGAACCAGGGAGCCACCGACGGACGGAGACGAATTCAGGGTTTCTTTAACGCAGCACAAGGTTTGCCTAATGCTGTCCTCATCGACCAGTGCGTCAGCCAACAACGCCTCAGTCGGAAGCTGCTTTCTGGGCACAGAACATGCATAGCATTCCCGAAGTTCTAGTCCGCAAAGGCATGATGTTGTCGAAGAAATCGATTGAATCCAAAACTCCTCCTGCGGCCTATCACAACTGCAGCCCATCACAAGACTGTGGGTTTAAACCTACGTGGTAGGTGAAGGCACGAAGGCCCAGTGAAGGCATTGGATTCTGTTGACAATTCTACCACAGGTTTGGCAAATCACGAAAAGAGCTGACTGAGACCTTGGCGCATGTGGAGCTCTGGAACAAAAGGCTTGAAGTAATGGCACGCTTTACAAGATCTTGCGAGGCTTGGTGGCCCTCGTGCTCTCGAAGCAGCGCAAGTACTGATAACCCGCAATCTCTCAGAAGCTCACATTCAACTACCCTCAACGCCATGGCTGCAAGCTCCGAGGCCTTGAGGGTATTTCTTCGTACATGATCTGTAACAGGTAGGGTGTAGGGACATGTGCTTCCAAAAAGGTGCCGAACAAGGATCCTGCTTTTTGAGAACTTGTTCCGGCTTGAGAAGGAAAACAGTCCATGTGGCTGGAAAGGTTGCCTCATGTTGCCTCGTGGGCGGACTATCGACAGTCGAAGCGACGAGTACCGTTCGACAATCGGACGGCCACCAATTGCCCTTCACGGCCATTGCAGCTCGGGCACTAATCTGCTCCCTGAAAGGAGAACCTCCAGCAGCCTTCGACAAGCAAGAGGGGCCACAGCAATCGTTGCAGGTTGCGGTGAGGGGGGGTGCATGGGCTCAGCTGCTGCGGATGCTGGTCCTGCGCTGCCACTGCTCCTACTGTGAAGGACCAGGCTCCCGAACCCTCCCTGCAAGCCTCCAGAATCCTAGAGCTGATGCATGTAGCATGAAGACACAGTCATGTAGCCCACCGCTCAAACGAAATTATCTTCTGAGGATCCTGCCGAGCGTTTTGAAGCCCTTCCAACTGAGTCTCTTGGGATCGGGCAACATGCACTTCACACATGTTAGCGGCAACCAACTTATTGAGCTTGGAGCTTAGGGCCTTGAAGCCCGGCCTTGCAAGGTCTGCAGCTTCTGCGCCGGCCTCCTGCCAGAGTATGCAGGATCCGACCACGGTTTCGTCAACAATGCGATGCGGCTAGTGGCACGCGCCGGCAGCCTAGTAGCTCTAGGCAGTCAGAGAACCAAGCCTTCCACTTGCTCAATGCCGTATTCTGTCTTTAAGGCGCGCTCTTCGGAACCGCCTCTGGCTTGCTCCTCTGGGCTTCTACTTACAAGCGAAGCATCAAGACCTTAAGCTTCAGCGGGTCCTCTAACTCCGAGTTGAGCTCCAGCACCTCGGCCAAGGCTCCGCGGAGCCCGCGGGCACCTGACCACCGAGGTTTCAGGGTTTGGGGGGAACCGGGCAGGCCTTTTTCAGAGTTTGGGGTTGCGTAGGGGACATGGTCTAGACTCATAGACGGTCCACCGGCCACGATTGAATGAAGTATTGAGCACACAGATGACGAGAAAGCTTGACATATGACCGGCTTGTGCTAACCGGTGTCTCTCAGGCCGTGCGAAAGCCAGTGTTGATAAGAAGCGCTAGCACCATAGATGGGCCTTCCCGGAGCATCAGCACATGATCTGCAGAAGGGCGCGCGAAAAACACCTCCTCAGCTGTGCTCTAAGGGCAATGTGGGGAAACCTGCCTGCCAGACGATGGTGCATAATCTCTTTCACTCCATGGCCTTCGTAAGCCCTACGCCGAATTAAGCCGAGCCTCTGCATGCTACTGTAGATTTTCAAATGTGCATGCATGGAGTAACTAGAACGGAGGAACGTGGCCAGGCTGACCATATTTCAGCTGACGGATGCTTGGGTAGGCATCTGGTGGCCGAGCCATGCAGGCTCGAAATAGGCAGCTGGCCTGTTCATATGCGTTACCATGATCGGGCTTCTTGACAGAGTTGCCTTGCAGAAATTGATGTGCCTCCTTCTTGAAATGCATCGCATTTGTGAACACTGCCCCCTCCCCCCCCCCCACCCTCCCCACCAAACAAAACGTGACTCAAAAACCTGACTTCGACGAGCCGGCCATCTCACCCGCAACTAAGCGACCAAGTCGTCCGTCAGCTGCTTGTGGCCAGCCCGCGCCCGACGGAGGATGTTGTCCACGTTCTGCCTGTCCGCACACAGCCGTGAAGCCCAAACCGAATGAAGATGGGCTCGAGCTTCAGCAAAAACAATCTAACAAACTTGTTTTCGATCACTTGCTTTTTGCAACTGGGCGGAGCACCTGTGCAAAAGCACTTCAGCTACAAGGTGCATTTACGAATTACATGGGCATGGGCGATTATCGCTTGCAAACAAAGCAGAGGCAATGGGGATTATTTTGCATCACGCCATGGAGGTGCGTCCCGCCTCTGCAGGAACGCGGACAAGTCCTCAAAGCACGTGGGCTAACACAACATGCTGTGAACGTGAGAACTGCTGGCAGAGCTGTGTAGCCCCTGCCCCGCTAGTACCTTTCCAACAGGGGCCGGCGGGGGGGGGAGGGGGGGGGGGGAGGCGGGGGGGGGGGGGGGAGGCGGGGGGGGGGAGGCGGGGGGGGAGGGGAGAGAAATAACAACGGCTGTAGTGTGCGGTTTGCGGTGCTGCCAGCCTAGTCCAGCTTCTGCTTTGGATGCTCAATGTCACGCGGAAATCAAATCAATGGAATGTGAGGTCCAAGACTCGGCGAAACCAGCTGTCATTGCCCGGCTGGCATCACGCACCTCTCCAGGAGAGTGGGGAGGGGGGGGGGGCAGAATTGAGTTGACAACGTTCGTTCTTGTAAAGTGGCGGAAGGTCCAATAATTCAAGTGTTCAGGGGCTGAAGGGTGAGGGAGGAAACTATTCGGCGGTTCGGCAAGGCACTTTGCACATTGTTCTTGCTAGCTAGCTAGCTGTGTACTCATCTCATTGCTGAACCTGAAGCCCGAAGTCCTTAAACCATGTGCCACCCGAAACCCCCCCCCAAAACCCAAAAAGTCATCAAGAAGTCCTTGCCGAAGGTGATCCAGCCTCCTCAGAAAGTGCCCGAACAGCCACACTCAGAGAGTCCACGCGCCTGCACTTTTAGGGACAAGGATTTCTTGATGCATTTGAGGCTTTTGGGCCTCAGGGTTAAGGGTTCTTGGGTTCCAGAAAAGTTTGGCAAGGCTTGCGGCCCAGCGATTTCCTCCAGAAAACTACCTAGGGCTGACTTTGCTGGATCGCAGCTAGATGCAGCTAGGCTTTTGATCTGGGAGGTCCATGCACATCTGAAGCTACGGGTCTGGCTTCGTAAGCTTCCCAAATCCCAAAGAGCATCCCTGAACTCAAATCTCTTACAGCTCAGCTGCCCAGCTCAGGATTGCAGTTTTTGGGCATGAGAATTTGAAGGCTCGGAGCCTCAGGGTTCCTTCAAAGGGCCCAGCAGATCGCTTCGAAAAGCTGACATTGGGACTTTTGCAGGGGCACTTGATGGTAAGCACCATCAGCCCCGAACTCGCAAACCAAGATCGCCTTCCACAAGACCTTGGAAGAGTCTAAATGGTCTTCTTTCGAGGGGCCCTCTGGTGTGAGCAGACTCTGCGCCAAGTTCTTGTGAAACACGGCTGACCTGCAACACGGCCGAATTTGGTCGAGGGAGGTCGAGCGCAATGCAGCCGACTGGAGATGCCGCGGATGGAGTGCTTCAGGTTGTCGGGCCGGGCTTTGAAGGAATTCCATCGATTCTAGATCCAGGTTCTGTTAATTGGCTGCGCTACGACGTGCTTTGAAGAAGGAAGTTTTAATGGAACTTGAAGGGTTTCACTCTCACACACGGCAGGCATGAGATTCTTCTGAGGTTGGGGTTTGATTATCCAGGGCTTGTGGCTGTGAGTGGAGAGGCGTGCATTCCTGAAAGCATGAGTCCGACTCACATTTGTGGGTCGCAACCTTAGTTGCAATTTTGGCCATATTGGACATCCTTCAAGCCTTCTTGGCACCATGTCAATAGCATTGCCGCCAGCGCATGCCCCGATCGCGAAGGCCAAAACTGGTTCACGCTAGGTGACCAATCCGGCCCATTCGCTGCTTCTGGCTTCACAAGTCTAGATGCTGTGGGTCCCGTTGGGGAAGCCATATTATTATAAGGCAGATGCACTAGCTTGGTCGGTGCCAGCAGAGAAGATACGACACTTGCGGCATACGCGATGTAGCTCTGTGCATGGACAAAACAGCTTCGATCGAGTGGCGGAAGTCCAGCGACACAACTAAAAGAATTTAAGGAGATGCGGACTCGGCAATGTGGAATTCTTGTGGCACACTATGGCACGTGAGACAATATTTCCCATCACTGATAGCTGGGAGCTGCAGTGTGGTCAAGCTGCTGCGAGTTTTCAGATGCAAGCCTTCGTCCTTTAAGAACTTTAAGTCGTTGAGAGCCACGATGCAACAGAAATTTTCTGGTGTGAGACGGTGCTTCTCTCCAGGTGAGGCATATGTGACGGTGTCCCTGGTGTGACCAGGCTGGTACGCAGGACCAGTTGTCACGGTCTCTCGATGTTATGTGATACTGCATTCCTTTCTCACGATCACCCGGTGACAGAAACCAGCGCCTGCTGCGTGATGTAGAAGCAGCCAGCGGCTGAGATCGAGGCACCCAAGACGTGCGGAACAAGCATCGTGCCTGGACATCGGGACACATGATCCCAACTGAGGAAGAACTCAGGCCTTAGTCCTTCATACTGCGGCCTCCTCAAGATCCCCTGAAGTTTGACTGGGTTGGCAAAGGCACCGACGCTGATCCCCACCGATGCTGCCGACGCGGCCTCCAGATGCAGGCAGGATGCTCCTAATAAGTGGACACAGAAACACCTCGCAATCGCACGTAGATGTGCCCCTATTACGGCAGGCACATGGGTCCGTCTGGGGTGGATCTAGGGTTTTTTTGCCATTGCCAGCCTCAACACATCTCATGTTTGGTAGGGTCTGCCATAGCGCATCTCCTTTGCGGGGTTAGGGTTTCCTACACCACATCTCTCCACGCCGTTTCTTGCCATGTCACATCTCCTTGTAGGGCTCAGGGCTTGCCATGCCGCATCTCCAGCAAACTCCGACCCCCCGCCCCTCAACCCCAAATCCAGCAAGCCTTATAACCACTCAACAACCAGTCGCTTGGCCACCGCATGATGCCGGACAGCCTCCGCCAGGCCGCCGGCTTGCTGGGGGCGCAGGCGGCCCAGAGCCGCGCGCAGGGGCCGAGCAGAGTCCAGGAGAAGGGAGGACCTTCTGCCGCAGTACTTCGGTGATTGTTTTGGAGGATTGCATGATGTGACATGCCCGCCCCTCCCCCCGCCCCCCCACCGCGCTAATTTACGCGCGCATTCTGAACGTGGTGCCCGAGCGGCACAGTCAGCCACGCAGGCTTCGAAGCGGCTTCCAGAGTTCCTCTGCGGCCGAGGCGGCGGGTCTACGGTTGGGAGAGCGCTTGTGCAGCCTTGACAGAAGGCTCTACGTTTCAAGGAAGCTTTTATCATTTGCAAGTGTGGCGCGGTGGCTTCCAAGTTGACGCATAAGATGCGATAGGATGCATGCAGATACTCAGAGCCTCTCAGAACCCAAGCAGAATATCGGCAGATTCCGGCCAGGTCGCAGGGGAGCTGAAGTTTGTTCGACCCCACTTCTTTGGATTTGCCCCAAGAAGCGTGAGCACTCTGCAAACATGCCAAGGACAGCATTCAATTCATCAGTCCTGCCCCAAACGCTGAACCCATTTTCTGCCAGAGCTGACCAACTGATGAGGTATATATTTGCTTGCGACGGTATACGAAAGAGCAATCCCTTTCCTTGCACCCTGAGCCTCTCTCTCCCTGAAGCCTTAATCACCCCCCCTCCCGTGACGGGCGACACCTCGTTCCTGAAGCCTTCATGGACCCTGGGCCCCCAACCCCGACCGCCAGCAAACGTGCGCACCCTTTCAGCCAAAATACGAAGATAGCTCTGCAGCGAGTGCTCCTTTGCGGCTGGTCGGCGCGTTCAAGCATAAGGCTTAGGTTTGCCCCAGAAGTGAAGCCATTCTCGGTCACACAAGTAGGGGCTTAGTCGAACATTAGTTGAACCATGCAACTGTCGCTACTAATCGTAGCAAGTCCTGGCACATGCAACCACCAACCTTGGATCGAAGACTCCGAGTGCCTCTCTGCGCAACAATGTGTGGCCCTTGTTTGTTGATAAGGGTTGTTGCTACTGAAGGCAAACTGGTAGAAGCCCCCAGCAGGAAGCATAATCCTCAGCGTCGAGAAGCTCACTGTTAAAGCAAGATGCACAAGGCCCTATGACATCCGAAGCGGGAACCGGTGAACCTTGACCATTCCAGGCCCTGAATCTTCCGGACGTGCTGTTTTCGCATGGTGTTCCTATTAAAATTCGTGTTCCTAACCCTGAGCCTCGAATATTGATTACAATCAATATATGGGAGGGTTTTTGTATTGATATTGATTTTTGTGTCTTGTGTTGATTAAATCAATATGAGCCATATTGATTTCATTGTGTTGGACATATTGATTTTTGCTTCTGGTCATATATTGATTTTTTGGGTCGTTTAGCTTGGTTTTCATATTGATTTTTGTTGGGTGTTTTTTGTGTGGAAACAAGGGTTCTGTCATGGCTGCAAGGGCTCATGTCTTTTGCAAGCATGCATGTGGCATGGCATGTCTGTTTGTACAAGCATGGGGGTCATGGCATGTCTGTTTGTACAAGCATGGGGGTCATGGCATGATCGCTTGGCCTGCCGTCCTCGCAAGGTAGTATTTTGCTCGAACCTGACCTCGAACCCGACTGTTAGATCGCTGCAACTTCCCTTGCGAAAGGGGTTTGCCTTGTGAAAGGCATTGCATGGCAAAGGCCAGAGGTGGTGCAAGACACAGAAGCAAGACCATGCTGGAGAGTGGTGCTGTTTTCAAGTGCTTGGAACAGCACACAGACATCGTCCGTGACTTCAGGGGCTACGAGACATTGTCCCGGAACTCTGGGGTGGACTGGAAAGCCCTCATGCACTGCCTGCCCCTTGTAGAAGGGTTGCTAGGCCTTTGCTCAAAGGCAGAAGTGCACCCCTTGCCCTTGCGACAGGGCCTTGTGCAGCTCCTCACCACCAAGCCGGACCTCAACAAGACTCGTTTCAATGGCTCGACTTGGGTGCAGCTGCGAGCGGAGAGGGTGGTGGTGCTGCTTAACCATGTGCGAAAGCTCGCCCGGGACCCAAAGGCCGGCAATGCCATCTGCAAGCTTAGTGGGGTGGAGTATGCCAGACTGATGGATGTCCTGCAGATGGTGACCTTCGATGACGAGCCCTTGGAAAAGGCCCAGACGACAAGTGCAGCCTCGAAAAAGGCAGCGTCCTCGGCAAAGGGTGCCCGAAGCACATGCTCTGTGAAGGTGACATCGAGGAAGCTTACCAGGGCTGTTTCCGAAGACGATGATGGCTTTCCGAAGATGCTGGCCAGTCCAGAGAAGCCTTCTGGATCCCGGGACCTGGCTCCCAGGAGCCTTTTGCGACCTGGGCACAGGGCTCGAGCCTTGCAAAAGGCAGACTCTGGTGGAGGCGACTCCATCGAGCCCCCCAGCACGATGCCTGGAGAGATGGTTCGCGAGAAGCTTGGCTACAGCAGGCAGCCCTTGCCAAAGGGCAAAGCGATGAAGCGACCTGTAGCTTCCCTGGCCGGGACCTCGAAAAAGGTCCGAAAGCCTTGGGCGAAGCTGTACCAGGTGAATGCTGCCTCGCCTCGTCGGGTGTACATCACTGGGAAGAAGGAAGGTGACGACAAGGCCCATCTGGTGGTGGAGATCTCGCAGGCCCGGAGCTGTCACTTCAAGCAGATCGCGAAGCGACTGCTGTCTGCCTTGAAAACGGAGCACCTCACCAAGGCCGAGGCTCTGCAGCTCAAGGCATCTCTTTTGAAGGAGTATGGGTGATGGCCTGTAGATCTCGAGACCCCTTGCAAAAGGGCTTGCAAAGTCTCTCTACCCTGCAGCACTTTCAGATTGTGCAGCTTCGTGGCAAAACGGTTTCGCGATGTTTGCTGTGGCTCGTGCAGTTTTGTTCAGACGGAATGGGCAGGTGTGTTGGGACATGTTACACCCACAAACGGTTTTGTGATGCTTGCTGTGGCTTATGCAGTTTTGTTCAGACGGCAATGGGCAGGTGTGTTGGGACATGTTACACCCATGACACACACACACACATATGTATGTATCGTTTCTTTTGCAAATATGTGATATGATATATATATATATATATGTGTGCAAAACTGAAATGTGTATAATAGTCTTATATACATATATATACATATAAAATATTGATTGTAATCAAAATTCGAGGCTGAGGGAATAGGTTTCGGGTTTAGGGTTTAAGCCTTAGGGCCAAGGGCTTAGGGTTTAGGATTTAGGGTGGGTTTAGGGCTGAGGGCTGAGGGTTGAGGGTTTAGGGCTTAGGGTTTAGGGTTTAGGATTTAGGGGGTTATGATTTTTGATATCCCACCTCGGCCTTGCAAAAGGCCCGCTCTCTCTGTATCTCTGTCTGTCTGTCTGTCTGTCTGGGTGCGTGTGTGTGTGTGCGGCGGGACCCCACCACTGAACCCTGAACTCCCTAAAGCTTCAACCCCCCAAAAAAATTCAAGCAAAACCCGAAACTGGACCCTCCTCTACACCCTAAACCCTTGCCCCGAGGTTCAGCCCCAAACCATGCACTCCCTCGCCCAAGGGTTCAGTTGGTGGAGGGTTCGGATTGAGGGCTTGGAGTATTGATCGAGGGCTTAGGGTCTTGAGATTCAGGCAGTTGATGGTTTGGGGTTGAGGGCTTAGGGTCTCTAATCCTGAGCCCTACACCCGAGACCCGAAACCCTGAGCCCGAAACCCTGACATTGAGGCAGTCGGTGGAGGGTTTCGGATTGAGGGTTTGAGTATTGATCGATCTCTAATCCTGAGCCCTATACCCGAGACCCGAAACCCTGAGCCCGAAAACCTAAGCTGCCTGAACCCCGAACCTTAAACTGCAGATCCTCATAAACCCTACCCTAGGCTTTCAATAGTCTCCCATATATGTATATTTCTGCCCCCGGAACCTTAAACCCTAAACCTCAAGCCATAAACCCCAAACCCTAATCTGATTCTGTTCTCCCGCGCCCGACCAGGCTCACGAAAGGGGGAAGGGGACCCGAGCCTAGCCCCTTAAACCTTACAGTAAACCGAAAGCCTCAACCTTAAAGCCCAAGTACATGCACAGAAATATTGTATATAGATGCAACACCTGAACCCCAGAGGTTCAATAGCAGATCTTAGGATCCGAAACCCTGAAGCCGACACCCTGAACCTATAGCCTAGACCCGACAGCCTGACCGAAAACGCTAAAGCCACCTGAACCCTTGACCCTAAACCCTAGAGCCCCGTAACCCCTAAATCCTAAACCCTTAACCTCGTAGATGTTCCATGTTCTAGCAGAAGAGAGAGACACATGAAATATATATATATATATATATATATACATATATATATATAACTCTCCCTTGCAAAAGGGGTGCCTCCTCGAGTCCCTTGTGAAAGGGACTGCCCTTTCGCAAGGGCGCGCCATGTCTGGCGCTCGCGAGCCTCACCGTGCTGGCCCTGGTCAGAACCGGCAAGGCCGACCTGCAGGCACGGGCACGACGAGCCGAGCCAGGCAGGAGAGGAGGCGAGACCAGGCTGCCGACCAGTTGGAGAACGACGTCTGGCACTGGTGGAACAGCTGGTGGACCGACCGCGACTGGCGGTGGGAGGCTGCACGGGGCCCTTCTCCCTTGCAAAAGGGATTCAGGGTTTCAGGGTTCCAGGGTTGTTGCTTTTTGTTTTGTTTTAGGGTTTTAGGGTGTTGGGTTGGAGGGTTTATGTGTTCTACTGTTTAAGGGCCTGTAGGGTTTTAGGGTTGGCTCCTCAGCCCTGAACCCCTAAGCCCTAGACCCTAAACCCTAAAAACTCCCTGTAGGACTTCCCGGCCCGGCGGGAGCACAGAGAGGAGCGAGCACGATCCCGGGACGATCGTGAGTGGACCTGGACACGAGACCACGGCTGGCAGCATGTTGGTGGGCAAGCACCCTTGCAAAAGGGTAAAGGCAAGGGCCAGCCCAGCCAGCCCAGACAGCCCAGCCAGCCCAGGCAGCCCAGCCAGCCCAGGCAGCTCAGCCAGAGGCGACTCAGCCAGCAAAGCCCCGCCCAACCACCCTTGCCAAAGGGTTTGATGCCCAAGGCCGCCGTCAGTCTGGGCATGCCGAAGGCCATCGCCAAAGACCCCCCACCCAGGGCTACCGGCAAGGCCTGCCCGCCCAACAAGTCGCCTCCAGGCAAGGCCCCTGCAAAGGCCATCCCGGCCAAGGCCCCTCCTAAGAGGCATGCTGGCCTGTCCAAACCTGAACCTTAAACCCCTCCTCCCAAACCTTAAACCCTTAACCCTCAACCCTCAAGTTTAGCTAGGGTTTAGGGTTTAGGGTTTAGGGTTTAGGGCTTAGGGTTTAGGGTTGAGGGTTGAGGGTTGAGGGTTGAGGGTGTAGGGTTAACCTTGAACCCTAAGCCCGGAACCCTAAACCCCGAACCCTAACCCTGGAGGATGGATACAGATGATGCTTCTTCTCTTTCCTCTGGGCCACTGGCACCCTCGGAAGAGGGCCTGGAGCTGCTGAACCCGGAGCAGCACATCCCTGTAACCGTGGCCATTGCCAACCCCTTGCAAAAGGGGATCTGTATTGACTGGCACAACGTCTTGCAGTTCGGCAATGAAACCTACATCAGGGACCTGACACTTGAACCAGCAATGCTTTTTTGTTTTCTGTGTAGGGGTTAGGGTTTAGGGTTAAGGGTTAAGGGTTTAGGCTTTAGGGTTTAGAGTTTAGGGTTTAGGGTTTGGGGTTTGGGGTTTGGGGTTTAGGCGTTAGAGTTTAGGGTTTGGCTTTAGGGTTTAGGGTTTAGGGTCTAGGGTTTAGGGGCCTGGGTCTAGGGGTCTGCTGTACTGCAGGACAAGGAGAAGACCGCCTTCAAGAAGCTGCTGGCCTGCCATCGCTACCGAGTTTGGGTCATTTCGATGACTGGCAGAAAGCGACAGAGGTCGAGACTGGTCTTACTGTGGAAGCCGTTTTGTACTCCTATTCTATGGGTCCTCCATATAATACACCACCCTAGTAGCCCATAAACCCAGAACCCTTAAACCCTAAACCGGGAACCAGCCCAGGACGGAGAGACTGCTGCAGCAAGTGCTGGCACCACTGAGGGCTGCCTTTCCCGGGACGCTGGAGGGCTGGGAGGTGGTGACCCAGCGAACTGGCTCAGGTGGCAAGGTCCACAGTGCCCTTGCAAAAGGGCTGAAGATGTTGGTGGACGACAACCAAGAGATCTGCCGGGAGGCCTCGAGGATGGGCATGGAGCTGTACCCCATCACCACCAAGCACATGAGGCACTCCTGGTGGACCGGGACGAAGTACACCGACCTGACTGCCGTGGTCGAGGAGCTTCTCCAGCCCCCTTGAAAAAGGGGTAGTAGTATTCTTTTGAACACCCCTTGAAAAGGGGAAGTAGTCTCCCCTGGAAGAAGGGGTGGTAGTTTTCTTTTGGGCGCCCCTTTAAAAGGGAAAGTAGCCTCCTTTGCATGAAAGGGGATATGATGTGCCGTACGTTTTCGGTTTTTTAAAATATATAAAGCATATCTAGGGTTTGGGGTTTAGGGTTTAGGGTGTAGGATTTAGGGGTTTAGGGGTTTAGGGGTTTAGGCTTTAGGGTCTAGGGTATAGGTTTTTGTATTTTCTAAGCGGGTGGGCACAGCATTCCTGGGCATACTAGGTCCACCCTGAGCTTAGCTCAGTTGAGCAGCGACCGAGCCCGCCAAAAGATGGACATCGTCTGGATGTAGGGTATAGGGTTTAGGCTGTAGGGTTTAGGGTTTGGGGTGGGGTGTAGAGTTCAAGGTTCTGGGGTTTGGGTGTTGGGTTTTCGGGTTAGGGGTTTAGGGTTCAGGAGTTTAGGGGTTTAGGGTCTCAGGGTTTTGAGGACTCAAGGGTTCTGGGTTTTGTCTTCTGCTGTTTTGGGGCCTGGGGCTCATGCAGGAACCCTCAAGCCCAAACCCTAGAACCCAACGCCCCGAACCCTAAACCGCGAGCCCCAAAACAGAAGGGTTTAGGGCAGGGTTTACGTTTGAGGGTTTGGGGATCAGGGTTCCCGAAAGGATTAGACCGACACCCCAAACCTGAAGCACTGCAACCCTCGACCCGAAACTCACCCTCAAAGCATCCAACACTGAAAGCCCTAAACCCTAAACCCCAGACCCCAAACCCCAAACCCTAAAACCAAACCCCAAAACAGAAGGGTTTAGGGCAGGGTTTACGTTTGAGGGTTTGGGGATCAGGGTTCCCGAAAAGGATGACACCCACACCCCAAACCCTGAAGCACTGCAACCCTCGACCCGAAACCCACCCTCAAAGCATCCAACAGTGAAAGCCCTAAACCCTAAACCCTACACCCTAAACCCTAAACCCCAGACCCCAGACCCCAAACCCTAAAACCAAACCCCAAAACAAAAGGGTGTAGGGCAGGGTTTACGTTTGAGGGTTTGGGGATCAGGGTTACCGAAAGGATTACACCGACACCCCAAACCCTGAAGCACTGCAACCCTCGACCCGAAACCCACCCTCAAAGCACCCAACACTGAAAGCCCTAAACCCTAAATCCTAAACCCAGACCCCAAACCCCAAACCCAAAAGGTCCCTTTTGAAGTTCAGGTTGAGGGTCTGTTGTATGATTGTGGATACTGCAGTAGCACCCCAAAAAAACACGTAAAAAAAAACACACACACACACATGATGAAACATGATGAAACATGATGAAACATGATGAAACATGATGAAACATGATGAAACATGATGAAACATGATGAAATATGATGAAATATGATGAAAATACAGGATTTCATCATATTTCATCATGTTTCATCATGTTTCGTCATATTTCATCATGTGTGTCTTTTTTTACGTGATTACTTTGGTTTTCGTGGTGGTTTAGGGTTCAGGGTTCAGGGTTCAGAGTTTAGGATTTAGGGTTTCGGGTTTACGGTGTTTAGGGTTCAGAGCTTGGGGCGCTTACGGCGTTTAGGCTGCTTAGTGTGTTTAGGATTTGGATTTTGGGTTTAGGCGTGGGATGTTTGCGGTGTTTAGGCTGTTTGGGGTGTTCAGGATTTGGGTTTAGGGTTTAGGCTGGAATCCCTAAACCCTAAACCGCAACCGGACCCTTCAAGTGGCCAAGGCCCCGCCCAGCCCTTGTGAAAGGGCAAGGTGTGTGTGTGTGTGTGTGTGTCTCTCTGTCTGTGTGTCTGTGTCTCTGTCCGTGTCTGTCTCTCTCTCTCTCTCTCTCTCCCCTGCTGCCCTTGTCAAAGGGAAAGTTTTTTGTTTAGATTTATATACATATATATATGTAGTTATTTAAATGATATAAATAAATATAAATAAATATAAATATATATATATATATATTTATTTATTTATTTATATACATATACTCTATGTCTATATGTACATACAGATATTTATAGATCGAGATATGGCGTGCTATATTATGTATAGAGCACACACACATATACAGTCTCAACCCTAAACCCTAAACCCTAAACCGTATAAGGTATAGGGTTGAGGGTTTAGGGTTTAGGGTTTAGGGTGTGCATGACATGCAGCACACCTGCCCACAGGAGACTGCTGGATTGGGAGGGACGGGTGGGGGGGAGGGCAGAGGGTTGGGACTTGGGGCTTCGGCCTTAAGGGGAGGTGCTGCAGGCACTTAGTACGGTTGAAGGTTTGACAGTTCTAGGGCCTACGGTTTGATGTTTCGGGTTTTCGGTTTGGGGTTGAGGGTTGAAGGCGTTTAGGTTCGGTAGGCCCTTGGGACATTTTTTACGTTCCCTTGCTGGGTTTCAGAGGAGCCAGGTATATTTTTCACAGGGTTTTAGGGGCAATCCTAGTGTTTCAGCCAGCCCTGAAGGTTTTAGAGTTTCCGCGGGGCAGCCTTGCCCTAAACCCTAAACCCTAAATTCTAAACCTAAGCCCTAAGTCCTCAACCCTAAACCCTATAAAACCCTTTACTGTTTCCGGCAACCCCGAAGGTTTTAGAGTTTTAGAGGAGCAGCCGTGCCCTGAACCCTAAACCCTAAATCCTAAACCCTAAGCCCTAAGCCGTCAACCCTAAACCCTAAAACCCTTTAGTGTTTCCGGCAACCCTGAAGGTTTTCGAGTTTTAGAATTTATATTTCTGATTGAGTGTTTAGGGTTTAGGGTTTAGGGTTTAGGGTTTAGTGTTTAGGGTTAAAAAATATTGGAAAACACCTGACAAAAATATGCGAATAAAATAGAAACATCTATTTTCCAAATACTGATTATAGAGGAGGTACTTTTAAAGCGCCAACCCGAGGGAAGTTTAGGGTTTAGGGCTTAGGGCTTAGGGTTTAAGGGGCAGCCTGAACCCTAAACCCTAAATCCTAAACCCTACGCCCTAAGACCTCAACCCTAAACCCTAAAACCCTTTAGTGTTTCCGGCAACCCTGAAGGTTTTCGAGTTTTAGAATTTTATATTTCTGATGGAGTGTTTAGGGTTTAGGGTTTAGGGTTTAGGGTTCAGTGTTAAGGGTTAAAAAAATATTGGAAAACACCTGACAAAAATAAGCGAATAAAATAGAAACATCTGTTTTCCAAATACTGATTATAGAGGAGGTACTTTTAAAGCGCCAACCCGAGGGAAGTTTAGGGTTTAGGGTTTAGGATTTAGGGTTTAAAGGGCAGCCTTGCCCTGAACCCTAAACCCTAAATCCTAAACCCTAAGCCCTAAGCCCTCAACCCTAAACCCTAAAACCCTTTAGTGGTTCCGGCAACCCTGAAGGTTGTAGAGTTTTAGAGGGGCAGCCTTGCCCTGAACCCTAAACCCTGAATCCTAAGCCCAAAACCCTCGACTCCAAACCCTAAAACCCTTTAGTGTTTCCGGCAACCCTGAAGGTTTTAGAGTTTGAGAGGGGCAGCCTTGCCCTGAACCCTAAACCCTAAACCCAAAACCCTCAACTCTAAAACCCTTTATATAGTGTTTCAGGCTACCCTGAACGTTTTAGAGTTCCACCGGGGCAGCTTTGCCCTAAACCCTCAACCCTAAACCCTAAACCTGAAAGCAAACAACAGATGCAAAGGAGGGCTGGTGAGAGTAGAGGTGCAGCTGGGACAGAGACGGGGGGGAGGGAGCACTTCGTGAGAACATGCAGCATCCCGTGTCAAGCCTATTGTACCTCATTGATCTCTATATCCTTTCATTGCCATGGCACCTAAGATGAAGAAGCCAGCAGCAGCCGAAGATGCACCCTTGCCAAAGGGTACCGAAGCCAAGAAGCGACCAAGCGGTTCGCCCTCGGAAGAGGGCTTGGAGCCCTTGAGAAAGAAGGCCTCCTTGGCAAAGGGGGCAGGCCTCACCGATGAGAAGCTGCAAGCCCTCAAGGAGATGTCCCTCAAGGAGAAGGTCGCCGCCATTGCTGCCGAGAATCCCGAGGATGTCGAGGCAGCCACAGAGGCCTTGGGACAGGTCGTCACCCCCGCCGAGAAGCAGGGCCTGTGGCAGAAGCACAAGACCTACCTCAACAACAACCCCTCGGAAAAGGGTGAGCACGAGCAGCTGAGCAAGAAAGAAAAGGGCGAGGCCATCTTGTCCTGGTTCTTGCGAAAGAGCCCAACCTATGCTGTTGAGAAACACAGCCGCGAGGCAAAGAGTACCCTTGAGAGAAAGGACAAGTGGCTCTCGCAGAAGCAGGTCGATGGCAAATGGACCGAGGCGGAGCAGGGCATGCTCATCGAGTCCGGGAGGCTCATCTGGCGAGAAGACCCGACAACCCCAGGGCTCTACGAGTACAAGGACACTCAAGACTTCGTGGGCCGCCACAGTGTCTCCGACCGGTCCTCTTGGGAAAGAGTCAAAGAGGAGCAGCTCGCAGACGAGAAAAGCTGGGAGGATGCCTTGGGAGGTGCCTTTCTTCGCAAGGTGTCCTTGTCAAAGGGTCTCGGCAAGGGAAGTGCCGACCAGGGCGAGACTTCCTTTGCAAAAGGGCACGGCAAGGCGACTGCCAAGGCCAAGACCAAGGCCAAGGCCAAGGCTAGGGCCTTGGCTCTCGAGGATGGCCAGGCCGACGACCCCCCCACAAAGGAGGAGCAGGCCAAAGAGGCCTTGGCAAAGGCTCGCAAGATGAGAGACCTCATCTCGTCGACCACAAGCAACCTGGAAGAGGCCTTGACAAAGGCCAAGGGCTCCCAGTGGGTTTCGCAGGGCCACATCAGCGAAGCCAATGCCATCCTCAAGTCCTTGGAGAGGGAGATGCAGCAGATGAAGCAGCACATCGCCGACCCGAATGTGGATGTGCAGGAATTGAAGAAGGCCATGCTCGGCTCGGCAGCTGTGGTCAAGGAGGCCAAGGATGAGGTCAGGGAGATCATGAGTCTCTCCAGCAAAGCATCCTCGAGGGCAAGCGGGGCGAAGTGACCTTGCAACAGGCCCTAAGCCCTTGAAAAAGGGCCTTGAGCTCTGCTGCATGGCTTGCTATAGCTGCTATGGTAGACCCTTAACCAACAACCCTGTAAGCCTGACCCAACCCTTCAAGCTCTAGGGCTTGGGAGTAAACCGTAAGCCCTAGACCCTATATAATCCTAGACCCAAAACCCTTTAGGCCTTTGGGCTTGGGATGTATGCAATCCAGCTGTACAGTGTTTTTGACACTCTGCCAGATCGAGCCATTGGCAGACCCAAAAATAAACAGTACCTGCTGCCGGGGGGTTTTCAGGAGTTTCAGGTTTAGGCTGGCTCGGGGGGGCTTTTGGGTTGGGAGTTGGAGGTAGGGCTGAGGGTTTAAGGACTTTAGGCTTGAGGACTTTGGCTCTAGAGTTTAGGGTGGGGTGTAGGGTTGAGGTTTTGGGGGTAGACTTTTAGGGTTTGGGGCTTAGGGTTTTAGCTTGTTGGCTTGATGGACTGACATCTTATCATATAAGGCTTTAGCCCTCCTAGGGTTTAGGGCTTCGGGCTGAGGCTAGTCCCAACCAATCCACGACACTGAGCCCAAAACCTTTTTTTTAGTCATTCGAAACCCCCAGCTGTCAGGACTATGCCATGTGCAAGCCCCTTTGGTTCAAACCGTGTTCCTTTTACAAGAAGATCCCTTTTGCAAGGGAATTTCATGCCGCCGGTCGGTGCCAAACGGCTTCGTGGATGGCAGCTGGACATAGAAGCTGGAAGAGCCGAGCAGTCCCACCTTGAGAAAGGTGAGCAGCCAACACACAGTGCTTTGGCAGGTGCACTGCTGGCACTCTGGAGCCATGGCAAGCTCTCGGCCACCATGCTGCAGTGGCTGGCTATGCAGGCTGTGCTTGATGGAGCTCAGCACGAGGAGCTGGCAGCCATGGCCAAGACCGGGGCCTATGGGTCAAGTCCTGGCAACTGCCACCGCGATTTGATGACCCGGTTCTGCAAGGACATGCCCTTGACAAAGGGCAACGTGGTCTCGGTTCCTGCAGTAGACCCGAAGACCAGCAAAACTGTGCAGGTCGATGCCACAGTTTTCCTGCCACATGTTCTTTTCTCGTCTCTCGACGACTACGACATGTTCCCCGACCTCTTCGGCTTGGCGAATTTGGAAAAGTTCTGGAGTCTTGCAGAGAAGACGGGTGACGACAGGCTGAAACAACACCCCTTGTTAAAGGGGCCTGGCTGGAAGGAGAAGACTGTGCCACTTTTCGTGCACGGTGATGCTGCCGAGTTCCAGTCCCGAGATTCGCTCATGATCTGGTCCTTTGGGTCTTTGTTGTGTGGCCTTTCTTCTTTGCTGTCTCACTTCATGCTGGCATGCTTCCCGAAGTCTTGCTCCACTGCAGGTACCTGGGATGCAAATATCTTGATGCCGATCCCTAAACCCTACAATCTTAAAACCCTATAAACCTTGACCCCAGGCCCCAAGACCGAAACCCCAAACCATCAACCCAGTCTTGCTCCGCTGGAGGTACCTGGGATGCCATCATGAAGTGGGTGGCGTGGAGCTTCGAGGCCCTTGGCAAAGGGCAACACCCGACCCATGACCCGGAGGGCAATCCCTTGAAAAAGGGTTCTCCATTTTTCGAGAGCAGGGGCCAGCCCTTGACAAATGGCGGCTACAAGGGTGTTATCTGGAGCATTCAGGGCGACCAGGAATTTTTTTCCAACACCCTCGGCCTCCCGCATTGGCGAAATGCGAGCCCCTGTTGGCTGTGCGATGCAAAGCTCAGCACAGACAAGCCTGAAAAATCTGTGAAGACCTTGGACATTTGTAAGCAGGACTACTGCTTCACCACGAACCGGCAGGCGATGGAGAGTCCTCGAAGCAAGCACCCACTCTTCGGCTTGCCAGGGTGCTCGTCGCACATGGTCCGTGGTGATGCACTACACATCCTATTCTGTAAGGGTGTCTACAGCCACTTTTTAGGCTCCGTTCTGCACTACCTTTGCTGGTACCCCTCCCTTGCAAAAGGGAAGGCCTCTGGGAAAGGAAAGGGCACTGCTTGCAAATCCCCAGCTGAACGTTTAGCACTGATTTTCGAGCTCATCCAGGCTAAGTACAAGGCACTGGGCTCGTCAACCCGCTTGACCAACCTCAAGCTCTCGATGTTCGTTGACAAGCAAAAGCCTCATCAAAGCCCTCCTTTCCTGGAGATCAAAGGCGCGGAGGGCAAACACCTCCTGCCTGCACTTGCGAAAGTGTGTCAGGAAGGCCTTCTCGACGAAAAAATCCCTTGCGAAAGGGAGATGTCCAGAGCCTTGAGGGCCATGGACAAGCTTGTCCAGCTCTGGGACATGTCCGACATGTTCTTGTCTCACAATGATTTTGTAAAAAATCTGGAGTTTGCATCTGAGTTTTTGCAAGCCTATGAAGCTCTTTCACAGTGGGCTCAGGAGCATGAGAAGCTTCTTTTCCACACCGTTATGAAGCATCACATGCTCATGCATTTGGCCCGAGGTGCAAAGCACCTGAATCCTCGGAGCCACTGGTGCTTTAAGAGTGAAGACTTTGTTGGCCGGGTTGCTGCACTAACACATAGTGTCAGCATGGGGGTGAAATCCACCAACCTTTGCAAAAAGGTTGCGCCCAAATACCGGATTTTGCTGCACATGCTTCTGACTCGTGAAGGGTTCGACCAGATGCAGAGGCAAGTGCAGCCTGTCCAGGACGATTGACCCTTGCGAAAGGGCAACAGCTGCATCTGCGAGAGTGTGCAAAAATGACTGGCCCGAGCTGATCTTGCACATGCACATGTGTAGGATATATATATATATATTGAAAATTCATCGCTTCCTCAGGTTGATTTTATATATTGATTTTGGTCTGGGTTCAACTGATCATAAATATTGATTTTTTTCCCGCCGAAATCAATTTATTATATTGAAAAAACTCGGAAATCAATATGAGCCGAACCATATTGATTGTAATCAATATTCGATGCACAGGGAAGTCGTTTCTTAGTGAGCCGTGTCTCGGACAGAAATTCCACTGGCAGCGAGGCGGCCACACTGGCCGCTCGGTTCGGCCTCACGGAGATAGCAGGGAGCTACACAGGATTGAAACCTTCCAGGGTCCAAATATGCAGACTACTTCTGCATAGGCACTTGGCGATTTCTCCCTTAACGAAGTTCAAGGCCTCTCCCCATCCGCCGCCACGGCGGCAAGACGCGACACCATGCCAGTAAGTCCGACAGACAAGCCATCCAGGACGGTGGCAGGGCTGACCTGCTGGTGCAGAATATCTTTGCGTGCAAACTGCATGGTTGCAAGAAGTTTTGGTTGCTAGACAATCTTTATTTCGGTCGTTGACTGCAAGTGCTTAGGACACGACGTGACACAATGGTGAACGGGACAGCGAAAGCCAAAACCCAACGGCAGGCTTCTGATGCGCTTGAGGGTCCTAGAAGCTGGTGATAGCTGGTGTGTCTATGATGCTCAAAAGGCGGGCTCCGTCCGGCCCGCACGCTTCATTCTAAACCCTGGCCTCCTAAACCCTCCAACTGAGATTTCACTGAGCCCTTTTCTTTCACTGAGCCCTGAAGCTACAAATCCAGGGATAAAAAAAGGACCCGACCGATGTAGGATCCCTGCTCGAGCCTGAACCTGTCAGATCCTGTCAGCCCATTGGAGTGAAGGTTGGGGTCAGGCCATTTTCTGAAAAGCAGCGTGTGTGTAGGAACCCAAGCCAGGTCCTGAGGGACTGCCCGCCGGATGGTCTTATCATCTTACAGGCTCTTCTGGGTTGCTTGATGTCTTCGTGGCTTCACAGGCCCTGCATGATTTCATAAACATGTGCTATTCACACCGCTTCAAGCAAGTATAAGATTGAGCCTTCCTGTTGCACACACAGGAACTCAGCAAGTAACTGCCCAGGGGGCACGAAGGCAGAGCTAAACCCATCAACATTCGCCCCATGCTCACTTAGACCTTGCACAATGGTTAAATATTGTGGAGTCCGCAACCGGAAAGGCTGCCCGAAAGCCTCAAGGCAACGTGAAACATGAATGCCCTCCCCCCTCTTCCGGGTCCTGTGAAGTGCTGTTGAGGCAGTCGGCGCATCAAGGTTTCCTCAACGCTTCGCCAGAGTTGCCCTTGCCTGCAAGGTATCGTTTGGGGTCTTTGAAATCGGGCTTGAACGTTCCCCTTTAACTGCTGGTCAGGAGAAGCACATTCCAAGGCTTGACAACATTCCAAGAGATGCACTGCAGGGGAACGAAGTTTTCTTTGCGTTCTGTCTCGGCTCAGGTTCAACAAAAGCGTGCTAGGATCACAACGTGTCAGTGTTCAGAGCTTTTCTGTCATTTCAAAGGGCGGTAGCAGCTCCATGCATCTCCTGCCTTGTGGTATCAACTGCATCAGCAGGATTGAATGGAACCTTCAGTAATTCAGCAGATGAGAAGTGCACAACCAGGCGCTTTTCATGCACCCCAGTTCCGGGAAACACTTGCAGATCAAGCCACACCGTTGCTGTCGTTCTGGTTGCCATTTCTTTGTCTGAGATTGTCCCTGTTGCTGAAACTGCTGCCGTTCTTCTCCATGCCCGCTTGAGTTTCTAAAACCCCTCCAATGCTGAAAACCGATTGATTGTTCCAGCAACGACTACATTGACTACATGCTGAACTCTCACGTCTAAGTGACGTGGGGAACGAGGTCCAGCATGTTGACGAACCGCGCCACCCGCAGCGCGCCCGTTGCGAGGCACTTCTCCCGAAAGAAGTCTCGAAACATTTCCTGACGGTCTCGGACTTGTAAGGTTCAGAGTTTTTTTTACTGCTCCGACGCACACACACACACACCACGCTGTCGGACGGCCGCTAGACCTGTCGTCAAGGTGCTTCAGGACTACATCCTCCCCCCTGCAATGAGGACGTCAGTACCATGCCCTGCCAGAAGGCCACTCTTGCTGCACAGTTTCTTTGTGCTGCGCACTTACTGCGCTCTAGCCACAGAATTATTCATACGTTTCCCCACACAAACTCGTGATTGATGAAGGCTTCTTTGAGATGCCCCAAGCAGCGTTGCAAAACAAACCACTGCAAGCCCAGCAACCACCACATCAAATTCCCAACCTTCAACTCCGACCCAAAAACCCGAGCGAGCCGTAAAATAACTTCGGCAAACAGAGAACAAGAGAAAATCCAGAGCAGCCAGTTGGCGTTTCCGACTCGCGGGCTTCCAAACGTTATCAACTCCTCAGTGCAGGATGACGTGACGAGCAAGCCACGTGTACAAACATGTATGCTTCTTTCAACTCTGGACTTGAAAGGGGCACCAATTGGATGTTTAGCTGTTTCGATCCCTGCAGGCTGCCATCAAAGTGGGAGCTGCGACAATTCGGATATGGGAATGGGTTCGAATGCCGGGCCACTACTCCGTGTCGTCATTGCTGTTGTTGCTTGGTTGTTGCTTGTTGCTTTCGTTGTGGTGTGTTGTTTGTTGTTGTGGGTTTGTTGTATTAGTTGTTCTGGTTTGTTGTGGTGTGCTGTGGTTTGTGGCGGTTTGTTGCTGTTGTCGTTGGTGGTGACGGTGGTGACGGTGGTGACGGTGGTGACGGTGTTGACGGTGGTGACGGTGGTGACGGTGGTGGTGGCGACGGCGGCGGTGGTGGTGCTGCTGCAAGAAGGTTCCTCGGCACCTTCAGACCTGTGAGCATATCGGCGTTTGCAGTGAAAGGGCATGGTGACATCCGCAGGCGACACCCGCCTTTCCCAACCAGCATCCTCCCCAACGTGAACACGAAGTGCCATGTCCGGCCACGAGTTTAAAATTAAGTTGTGACATGTTTGGTGTTCGAGCGCGCACTTCCAAGGTTTATTACCGGCGGCTCTTGGTTGGAGAAAGTCTGCTAGTTGTTGTTTGCTTGACTTTTCTTACTCGAGCCCGCTCGATTTGAGAAGCTTGGGGTAGTTGTGCTGCTTTTCTGAGTGTTCCTAGAACCAGTCTTCGCTTGTGATTCTCATGGGCCAATGTCTTGTCAAGTGTGAGATCACTGGCTTAGCAAAGACTAGCTACATGAATGATTAATTGACGGGCTGAAGCCGCTGAAAAGCCAAGCCTTCACCCTGTTCCTCTTCTTTTTGCCATCATCTCTCTCTCTCTCTCTCTTTTCTTCTTCTTCATCTTCTTCTTCTTCTTCCACTCTCTCTCTCTCTCTCTCTCTCTCTCTCGGGTTTTGCCGCTAGTGCAGACGACCTCAAGCCCTAAAGTGCAAACGAAACCCCAAAGCGTCGATCTGCAGTACTCGTAGCGAAACTCTATGGGACTTTCCATGAACTCTGAGAACTGAGGCCAGGCCACGACCTGAGTGAAGCCTTTGCAGCACAAGTCGAGGGCGGCCAGGGTGGCCAGGGCACCTCCTAAGGAGTAGCCCACCAAGATCACCTGCCAGCTTTCGGGTGGTTTGGATGGGTTCAGAAACTTAACTTTCATAATTTTCCGCATAACGGGGCGTGAGGGATCAGGGTGCGAGCTCTAGGCTTGGGGGCAGTGCAGCTGCCCAGCTTCGAGCTTTCCAGGTAAGCGCAGGCTTTGGCTTCCAAGACCGCTTGTGGCCTGATGGCTTCTTTGGGCGGACCAGGGCGTTCGCGTTTCTGGGTGTTTTGCTCTTGCCACACTCAAGTTGGTCGATGTTGTATTCAGGCTTCACTTGTCCACGTCGAGTTTAGAGGGTACGGAATCTGCTCCTTTTTGCAAACACCTTTTTGTAACGGCCCAGGTGGCTCGCACCAGCCGTACAGGCTAGCCTTACAAGTTTGTCAATTGCAACAATTAGACTGATTTCATTAAGTACAACAATTCAATTACAGCAAGTACAGCAAGTACAACAATTACGTCTTGTGAGTGAAGGAAACCTTATGCCTCTACCCTAAGCCTCCTTCTGTAGTAGTTTAACCTGAAACTCGATGATCCATCGCGCGCCCCAGACGGGCCTTGCGGCTGTTGCTGAGCCGCCTGAGCACCGGCACAAGGCCGAGCCAAGCAGCCTGAAACCCTTCGTGGACGTGGCCTTTCCAAGATTCAGAAAAGCTAAAGGGGAGGAGTTGAAGGATTCTGCCGGGCTATAGGAAATTTATTCACGGGATGTCGAACCACGATTTCAATGGTATGAGAATCGACTCGGCATATCGCAGATTTAAGCTCTCTCCCCTAGGTTCAACATGCCACGTGACACTGCTTTCCAGTTTTTGTGATCGCTAATTAGCTCATACAAACACCCCCCACCCCGGAACCTTGCCTGTGGCCTCTGCGGACATTGCACCGTCCTGTTCATTGGTGCAACAAAGCGGAATCTTCAAGCATTCCAGCAAGGGAGCTTGGCGATGACGAGAACAAGCTCTGAATCAGCGCTGGTTGTCCATTGGCGAGTATGCATGCAAACCCTCATGCCGCCAGCACAAGCACATTTAGCGGGTCCTCAACAACAGAGAACTCCGCACCCTAAATCCTCAACCATCGTTCTTTCAGGCAGGGCTCCAAGGCCGCGAGGCGAATGCGGGCGTTGGTCTGTACCCAACATTCCAGAAACGCCTGGCGGGAATGGCGAGCTGCGCACGCAAAAGGATACAAGAATCTGGTTCGGGGTCGAGGTTGGGGCTTGCTTAGCAGAGCTGAGGTTCTGCTCTACCTCCAAACACTAGCCGTCAGAGCGAAGAAACGCTCGGGCTTTAGCCTGAGGTGTTGGTGGGGTGGAAGGGTTGGAGGATTTAGATGCAGTTTGGGTTGAGCAGAGCACGCTGCAAACAGCATGTTGAAAGCCCATCTAATGTCGCACTGTATGCTGAAGCTTGTTCCCACTACACGCAGATGCTTGCAACATAGGGCACTCAGCGCGGCCTCTTCAACAGCCACTTGATCTGAAGCCCCAAAAGCGCCTCACCCTTCCCCAAGGCCTCTGGACGCTGCATGGCATCCGCCTCGCTGCCCAGCAGGAAGACCTCTGCATGCCACGATTACGAGAGCTGGGGACCACGTAAGGGGAGGACTCCAAGGTCTTCTGAAGACTGGGGAAATGTGCGATCCCAGGATGGATGGGTGGTGGAGCGTGTGCGCGCGTGGTATGTGTGCGACATAGCCTGTTACGGCAAAAATGGTTCGTAGTCGTAGTAGACCTTATGCTATGACTGTCTTTCCGGTAAAAGTACCAGGGCTTGGGCGATTTCGGGCAGTTCAACTTCAATGCTTGGACCGCGGTCTCTTTCAGCTAGGATATCGAAAATACAGACCGAGCCCTCCGCAAACTGCTAAATGACGAGCCTCGAGCCCAAACTCGCCACCATACCCGCCCTCTCCCAGTAGCTCAGCCTTATCAGCCTGGTTGTCGGTGCCAGGCTGGAGGAAGCCGGGGACGTGCTGATACAAAATTGAAAGGTGTTGGGCTGAGGGGTAAAAGGTTGGGATCTACAAGCCTATTGTTGACTTGTGCCTGTCTTGACACTCGGACTCTCCAGCGCACAGAGGGACCACTCGGCTCTTCAGTGACTTCAGTTCCCTCTGACAGCATGAGACTTCTGCCATGATGTATTTTCGCTGTGGTGCGCTGCCAGGTTGAGGGCTTCCAATGCTCAGAGCTTTGGCTCCTAGGAATCTGTTTTTTGGCTTCAGAGGTGGGGGAAGATCTTGGGGTGGCTTCACGCAGTCGGCTGCCTCGCCATCCGCGGCCAGGCGCTCCAAGCCCTGCCAACGGCCCCTTTGTACTCAGGCCCGTTTAAATGGCCCTAATAGCTCTCCAGATTCTGCAACCTTCCTTCGTGGAGAAAAGGCAGTCGACAGCGGGGTCGGGGCAAAGTAGACCCAAACGATCAGGAACTCCGTGATTGTGTTCATGCTTTCTTGTTTCTTCTATGCGTCGCACCTGAACATATACTATTTCGGAAGCTCCTTGAGTTCTTTGACGATTGAAGTTGATGAGTTGGGAGCGCCTGGATCGGCTTTGAACGCAAAGGCCGACAGGCCATTCCATTTCATGGCTCTTCTTGTAGCCTAACCACCTTCCACGGAGCTGCACTGGCATGGCAACATGCCTGCTCACGGCACAGCAGCTCCAACCGCGCTGGGTCCCTATCCTGGGCTCGCTGGCATGAGCGGTGCGATCTCGAATGCAAACGCTGAAGCAGAAGCCGAGGTCATCAGAGGTCAATACTGCAAGTCTTGGTTTCAGACGATTCTCTCATGAAAGTCCTTTCTTTAGCTGACTTGAGAATTAGCTCGCCATCGAGATGTAACCTCTTTGTTCATGCACTTCCCTTCCCTTGCTTCGCACGTGAAGAGGCATGTGCTCACTTTCAATATTGAATGAAGGAAATTATGTACCACTAGAGTTTTGCAGTTTTGCATGTACCTTTGCGTAAGCGGCCGCCTCCAAAACCAATAGATCGCGGACCTGCCTTCACGGCTATTTGTGTAGACATCTTTAAAGACATCGGTGGCAGTATCTACAATTTCCAGCACCTTCTACAGAAGCAGTGCATGAAGTGGGACGTAAACTTCGGGGCTCAGGAGCTATAAGGCCGCACGCATTCGGCCAAGGTACATGCAGCCGCTGAAGCAGCCGGACAAGCGGCAACTGATGCACAGGCTTGCGATTGCGAGCTTGAATAATAACTTCTAAACCCTGAAAGGAGCTTGTCGGACTGCAGCTTCGGTTCTTTCATGTGTGTTTACATTTTAACTCGTCTGGCACTCGAACGGCCCCCCTACAATTGTGCACATGTTACAAACCCACATCGGAAGCAGTCTTGTCTTCTTCCGCCGCGAATGAGAGTTGAGAGCATCGAATCCACAGCTAAGCAGCTAACACACACTCACACACAAGAAACTAGATTGAGTAAACTACGGGTCTGCAATACAAAGCACATCGATGCCTCGAGCACCCCTACCCAAAGCCTGCAACCCTCAAAATCTAAACACCGCACGTCCCCCTGCCAGCTCGGAGCTGGCGATCAGCTTTTGGGCAAAGTCGCCGTCCGCATCCTGGAGGGGCTTGGGGCCTTTCGTACAATGAGGCCCCGTTTGAGCTTTTGCAATTGTTGGTCTGCAGCTCACATGCAATGTCCGGAATCGACGCGTGCGGCTTCGAGTCTTTGTGCTGCGAAAGCAACCCTCGCAGACTTTGCAGAGTGGCAGCTACGTGTGATTCCGTGTGATTCCGTGTGATCATGTCATCCAGTAAAAAAAGCCCTTTTCCTGCACTTCGGGCTCCAAGGCCTCCTGAAGCTCCAGAGAGGGTCTTGGCCTCATTTTTCCCAGAGAAGCATCAGGGACGCGCAAAGTGTCATGACGGCGTGGGAACGGCTCCCAACCCGAGATTGAATTGGCTGGTCATATGTAGGATTCTTTGCGGGGTTTGCGGCAAGCATAGTTTTTCAGGCTCTGGGCACAGACTTTACCGGGGGCCGTGCGTCTCCTCTGACGCCGTGGACTCAGCCGCCTCCTGGAGGGCAGCATGAGATGGGTTCTGGGCCCAAAGCACGGGTGTGGAAAGTCCACAGCGCGGGAAACTGCAACATCAAATCGTGACACTGTGCGTCACAGGCCTCAGCAGGTTGCGGCCGCAAGACGCCATTGCCGTCATCTGTCTCTGCAGGGGCCTGTGCCGCAGGTAGCTCTGGAGCTTCCCCACGGGCCCGGTCGGAAATCTCAATCTCCGAGCTTGGCTGTTCTTGGAGCTCTTGGCCTTGCACCTGTGATGCCCTAGCGGCTGACACCAACGTCCCCGCCAAAGCAACGGCAGCAAGGGCACCAAGTGCTCCTCCGCTAGCAACTGCTGCTACGCCCAGGGCGCCGCCAAGAGCACCGCTGGCTGCACCCGCAAGGGGACCCGCAAGGGGTGCCGCAGCACGCCCCAAAGCCTGCAGGCGACTCTCGGGCCTCTCGGCCCCATCGTCTCTTCCAGGGCCAGGGTTGCTTTCCAAGACATCCGGCAGTGCAGCGTCTGAAGTTGCTTCCAACTCTGTAGCCGCTTCATCGGCTTCTCCGAACGGGACTTGTGCCATTGGAGAACCGCCGGCTTCTTCCATGATGTGAACATGGCATGCATGGCATGCAACGTCAAGTGGTGTTAAGCTTCTACAAGTCTATAAGTATTTGCTAGCTGCTCGCCTTGTGCGGACATGAAGCCGACGGGCCTGCGTCAGGAAATGGGACAGCAGTAGAGAGCCTTTTTCTGCAACTAGTTCGATCCTGGCTGCAGATTGCCCTGGCCACAGACTCTATGGAATGATCGCTTCTGCCTCGTGGTCTGGCATGCTGCTGGAGTCTGTGTAGGAAAAGTAGCTTCTACATACTAAAGTCTACAAGATGATACAAGCCTGGCCTTTGGCCACTGGAAAATGGCTGCCGGAAGAAGCAGGACTTTCAACCACAGCAGCCCCAACCTGACCACCCCCCAACCTTCCAGACTGCAGGACAGTGGGCCCATCTTGTCACGGGGATGTTAACGTGGGCCTCTGAAACGAGCTGATGAATCCTCGAATGATAGCAACCTCCCCACCGCAGTAGCTCACAGCTGCAGGGTGCTGCGGGTCGGGAGGTGGCACAGGTCCAGGGTCCGCATTAGCAGGCTGATGCCACCTGCATCACAGAGGGCCTTAGCTGCACGGTGCAAGGCAATTAAGGGTATGAGCTGGTACGAGTACCGACATGAGGCGGGCGCCCGTAACAGACCACTTCAACCATGTCCCTGCAACAAAATGCTCCCTCGTGCTTTCAGGACGTCCTGCTCTTGCTCGTCTGTTGCAGCTGTACAAACATCCACATGACCCAAAGCATGACAATACAGAAACGGCAGAATACCCTCGAACATTGCCGTCCAGTCACTTGGCGGCAAGCTTCATGGCCTTCGGCCACGATGGCTAGGAAGCCTCTGACAGATTTGAGCACATCCAGCAAGAACAACCGTAGCATGATGAGTTGCAGCCTTTCTTCCCAGTTTGAAGCTCAACAATAATGGACACCTCCGGACAAAACTTTGCTTTGACCTGCCTGCGGCATAGGCGCAAAGGGTCGCAGCTCGCGGGTCGACCTGGAGGTACTGCAGCGTAGGAGGGCTTTCAAGTTTTCTGCGCTTCGGGTGGTCTATAGGTAGGGTCTCGGAAAAACCCTCCCTCCCCAATGGTCCACGCGCCACCTGTGCTGTCCCGAGTTGTGGAATCAGGGTTTCGATTGGCTTAAGCTTAGGCTTCAGGGTTGCAGGGTTCAGGTTCTGTATTAGGATTAGGGTTAGGCAGACAGGTTTATGTTTGAGGTTTGGGCTTTGTAGGGCTTGTAGGGCAGGGTTTGTATAGGTCATTTTGGCCTTGTGGGGTAGACAGAAGGTTTCACATAGTGCTTACAGGGCTCACCAGGGCTTATATGCGCCAGCGACACTCTGCGTTCTCGACGTCCTTTCCATGGTATCCCCGCCCCAACAGTACGCCCCCAAACCCACCACGAACCACAGGGACAGAGAGGGAAACCCTGAACCCAAACCTCAACCCTAAACCTCAAATCCTAAGCCTTTAAGACCCACCACGAACCATCGGGGGGAAGAGGGGAAACCCGAAACCTGGGGGGGGGAGGGGGAAAACCACAAACTTTCGCAAGTTTTTTGAGTTGCTTTTCTCAAAGATGCATTGAACCTGGTCCTGGGCGGGGCTATTGCACACCAGATGTTTCATCTTGGCCGTCACGGTTGATCAACCGTTGAACCGCTCATGGTTGCTTGGTGCTGCCTGATCAACAACAATGTACCGGGCTTCATGTCATGATCTGACCGCGCAGCGCGGTCGTCATCTGACCAGGCCATCTCTGACACATGCTACCAAATCACAACCGCAGTGAGTCGATTAGATCAGTCCACTAGAATGCACATCGCTGCATAACGGATGTTCTTGCAGCAAATAGCAAAGTCTTGCAAGTGGAGTACCATGTCCCAGCAAACACCTGTCCCGGGTCATCTGCCGTGTCTTGACCAGAATGGGAGCTACAGCTCGAATCACAAAGGCGCTTGCATGTCTACTTGGCCATCAGCGGAGGTGCCGGAACCAGTGGTCACAAGGCTCACGCTGCAATGTCGCCGGTGTCAGAGCAGCAGACGCCCTGTTCTGCTGGACACTGGACAGTAGAGCAAACAGTAAGAAGCAGCAACCTGCACGAGGCATCTCGGCAGGTCAGGAATCAACAAGTTGAACATCACGGCTTGCACATCATGTGCAGGTACGACCTGCAATACTTTTTGCAAAGGCCACCGTTGTCCAGAAGGGGTTTTTCAGCTTTCCGTGCATGTGTTACTCGCAGTGCATCAATCAGCCTGCACCAGTTGCTGAAGCGGTTGCAGATCCAAGCATCGCTTTGTAAGGACAGCTCCAGGTTCAACAGGGATCGAAACAGTTCCTGACTTCGTCCTTTTGTTGACCTCAACAGCACCTGGAAAGGGTCCAGATTCTTGCGAGGGACGTCGACATACGTAATAGCCCAGTCGCGGAGCTTCCGTGCATCAGATATCACGGAGCCGTCTTCTGATGACACGAACCTCAGCTGGGGAAAACATGCGAGTAGCAGGATCAATCGGAGCCTAGGCCTGAACTACCACAGCGATGCGATGGACAACGCCATTCGTATGTATGCAGCAGGAAGCAGAAGGGGGAACGAGCAAAAGCAACGCAACATTGTCTCCGCCTGCCTAGCCCCAGCCCTCCCTGCACCACATCAGCACCGGTATCTGGGCTGGCGAGGAAAAGCAGCATGCGGACGATACTTAATGTTCGTAGACCCCTATAGCAGCGGGCGGCACTTGGCCAACGCTGTGGGCCACCACATCCCAAATTTATTGAAGCTTGGAGGCACAGGGGACACACAAGAACTCGTGCAAGAGCCTGTATAGGAAAACAAACATCACGGGAACCTAAACAACTCGTAAAGGCTTCGAAAGCAGCAGCTATTGCAGCCTTGGGTGGCATTCTGGTCAGGGTTGGCTCCACACGCCTCAGCGCAGACGCTGCTTTCCAGAAGTCCTGCAGTTCAGGGTTTGTTCAGGGTTTGGGTTCAGGATGGTTCAAGACACGAGGGACTACAGCACAACGCAGCGCCCCACAGCGCCAGCTTCAGGCTCTAGGACTGCGAGGGGCCGATTCAAGTGAGGGTCAGCCCCATGGCAACGCGGGGTCCTTCGTCGGAACAAGCGTGGCCTCGGCAGACTTCTCGTTGGCATGTCGAACCTGGGCTGAGGTTCGTCACGGCGTTTGGTGTCTTTCCGCACGACTTAACTGTTCCTGTTGGGACTCCTTTGGGATTTTTCGGGCTGCAGCCAAGGAAGACTCCTCCCAAAGCCGGCCCCCCAAAACCCCGAAGACTGAAGACTGCCTTAAGAAGCGTCAGGCCACATACACTGAGATGGTATCTTCCGCACCTCGAGGCTCTCGGAAGGCAGTCGGCCAAAGCCTCCACAGGATTTATGGGGGGGGGAGGGGGTCCGATATTTGGGTTTTGTTTAAGGGGTCCTCAACCCTTAACCCTAAAACCTCAGCCCTAAACCTGAAAAAAGATAACCTTAAATTTGGGCGGTCAAGAGCCTTGAACGGTGGCTCCGAAGCTCCTGGAGAAGCTCCTTGTTGGGCCGCATGATGTACGCAACCGCCTGGAGGTGGAACCAAACCTCAGGATGCTCTTTGTTGCTTCAAGGCTCCAGTGGTAGCTTGCCTGTGAGGTTGCTCGGTTCAGGATGCTCTTATAAGCAAAACGGCGTTGTGGGGACGACGCATTCTTGCTCCCGCATAGCTGTTTAGGGTTTAGTCGCTCACTCTCGCAACAAGGCCGGCAGGGCTCGTTGGTCTGAGGGGTACAGCAAAGGTTCCAGATGTGTCACTCGGGCTCCAAGGAACAAAGCCGAACAAGACATAAGACCGCCCCCCTGCCCCTCAAAGCCCGTCACTTGTGTCACCAAAGCAGCCAAGGCAAACTAGAACTGGTGTGATGGTGTGACACTACATCCTGGCAGTCTGTCAGTCAATAAAGTAAGAAAACGAAGAAAAGTAAGACCCATAACCCCAACCCTCAATTTAAATGACTCGCCACATTCCAAGGTCATAGATCGTTGTGCATTCTGGTGAAACACCCCCTTTGTCTCCGCTGCACGTACAGACATTGCACATTGTGCAGTCAAGGCGGTCCTATTGCCACCAACCAAAATCCAAAGACACTGTGCTCTGTTTATAGGGTGTTTGCCACCCGCCTACACGGTTAGGGTTTAGGGTTCGAGGGGCTGGAACTGACTTCATGATTTCGCAGGCGGGATTAGTGCACGAAGATCGCCTTGCGCAGGCCCTGATTCGCTTGAGCTATAACCCTGGTCTTCGACTTAGGCTCAGAACAAGCCTGGGTCCGAAACTCAATCAACTTTTGAGTCAAACTGATCAACTTCTGGCTCGGATCGTTTCTGAGGTGCGGTTTCTGAACCGTTGTTGGCTTCCGATCAACAAAGTCCGAAGCGCAGCCCCTCAGCCTTGAAGGCAACATCTAAGCCCCGTCCCCGTGCATGACAACATACAACTTATAGTTGCATGCCTGCTGTGAACAGTGTCGAAAAGGGTGTACGAGGAAAGGTAAATGTAACCAACAAATCGTACTTCTTCCTATCTTTTGACAATCGAACACAAAGTGGTGGCAACAAATCGTACTTCTTCCCATCTTTGACAATCAGGCACAAACTGGCGGCAACGAATCGTACTTCTTCCCATCTTTGACAATCGAGCACAAACTGGTGGCAACAAATTGTACTTCTTCCCATCTTTGACAATCAAGCACAGCTGATGGCAACAAATCGTACTTCTTTACATCTCTTAACAATCGAACACAAACTGGTGGCAACAAATCGTACTTCTATTCCCGAGCACAAACTGGTAGCAACAAATCGTACTTCTTCCCATCTTTGACAATCGAGCACAAACTGGTGGCAACAAATCGTACTTCTTCCCATCTTTGACAATCGAGCACAGGCTGATGGCAACAAATCGTACTTCTTCCCGTCTTTGACAATCAGGCGCAAACTGGTGGCAACAAATCGTACTTTTTTCCCATCTTTTACAATCGAGCATAAGCTGATGGCAACAAATCGTACTTCTTCCCATCTCTGAAAATCGAGCACAAGCTGATGGCAACAAACCGTACTTCTTCCCATCTTTGACGATCGAGCACAAGCTGATGGCAACAAATCGTACTTCTTCCCATGTTTGACAATCGCGCACAACCTGGTGGCAACAAATCGTACTTCTTCCCATCTTTGCCAATCGAGCACAAACTGGTGGCAACAATTCGTACTTCTTCCCATCTTTGACAATCGAACACAAACTGGCGGCAACAAACCGTACTTCTTCTCATCTTTGACAATCGAGCACAAGCTGATGGCAACAGATCGTACTTCTTCTCATCTCTGACAATCGAGCACAAACTGGTGTCAACAAATCGAACTTTTTCCCATCGTTGACAATCGAGCACAAACTGGCGGCAACAAATCGTACTTCCTTCCCATCTCTGACAATCGAGCATAAGCTGATGGCAACAAATCGTACTTTTTCCCATCTTTGACAATCGGGCACAAGCTGATGGCAACAAATCGTACTTCCTTCCCATCTCTGACAATCGAGCATAAGCTGATGGCAACAAAATCGTACTTCTTCCCATCTCTGAAAATCGAGCACAAGCTGATGGCAACAAACCGTGCTAGCACAAGCTGATGGCAACAAATCGTACTTCTTCCCATCTTTGACAATCGAGCACAAGCTGATGGCAACAAATCGTACTTCTTCTCGTCTTTGACAATCAGGCGCAAACTGGTGGCAACAAACCGTACTTCTTCCCTTCTTTGACAATCGCGCACAAACTGGCGGCAACAATCGTACTTGTCCCATTTTTGACAATCGAGCACAAGCTGATGGCAACAAATCGTACTTCTTCCCATCTTTGACAATCGAGCACAAGCTGATGGCAACAAATCGTACTTTCTTCCCATCTTTGACAATCGGGCACAAGCTGATGGCAACAAATCGT